TCCAGATACTATTTTGAAAGGGAATTGCTCTCTATTTTTTAGATCAAAATGATGACTGCATGTTGCAGTGTCTGTCTTGCTTTCTTCTGCTTATTTCAACAGGTTGAAATCATGTTGGACATACTGTAATATTCTTGCAAGATACTGGCGGTAAAACTTGTCTGTGGAAGGATTGGGTATCATTGTCTGTGGTTCCTACTTTTTTAGAGCAATAAATTAAAAAATAAATACTGGTTTTAAGTGTCATTCTAATGTTTGTTTTCAAATAAGTAAATGGCTTTGCTTATATAAAAATTACTCTAAACTGTGCTTGTTTCTACCTTGATTTAAAGTATTCAGTGTAAAGTACATTTAAGGCTAGTTTTTGATGTTTATCTTAACATATGTAAAACAGTTTGTGTTGTACAAAGTGTCTATTCATGTCTCTTTTAGTTTGCTCTTTTCACATATTTGTGCATCCCTGGGAATCCTCTAAATTAAGACAACAATTTATTACAGTTTTGTCATGCTAATTTCTTGTTTCTTAGAAAACATTTTCTTTGCGAAGTAAAAAAACTCTAACTATATCGTCATCATTACTCCTTATGCCCACACGACAAGAGTATAACTTGCATTTGCACACTTTCCCTGTAACTGTCATGGATTTTCTTGCCTTTGCATTGCACTTAAATGTATAGAACTATTGAATATTTTATTTCCCTGTTTTATTCAGTCATTTGAAAGAAATGCAACTGCTAAGTAGGAGCACAAAACAAAACCAATATTTCTACCTACAAAGACTGTAAATAAACAGGTAAGTGGTTGTAGTAAATATTCATGGTATGTATCATCACCTGAATAAAACATGTAAACCAAATATTCAGAGCTATTTCTATGGAGCAAGAGGAGACTTTCACCTCTCCTGCTGCCGCTTATAAAGTCCACAAAGGAGCACTGTAGGCAAACCCTCCAGCTAATGATGTCAGATTTGAGTAGCATGACCCTAATGATTCGCTAATGCAGTCTGCAGCGAGTATAACATTACTACTGGAGCTCTCCCTCATTGTGTAAAATAGCTCATATAATGCTGTACAAAATGTGCTTCGACTCGGCAGAGACACATATCAGGTACATACCCATCAATGAGGATGGAGTGAGCCTGAAGCTGATCCTGTTATGGATCAAAAAAAAAAATTTAAATGTTTATACAAGAAAATAAATCTTTCAAATAACCCTAATGACCTAAAGGAAAGTGTCTGAGACAAACACCATTTAATCAAACATGTTAGAACACAAACTTATGTGCAGGAGGAAATGACACCCTCCAAGAGCACTTTTGTTTCTGTCCCAAGTCCATCTGAAATTTTGCTCGGACTAACTCACACACACACACTTTTTCATTAACAACACAGTCACATGTAGTCCCAAGTATTCCCAGAGAGGTTTTGGCTATAAGATATGCAAATACAACATCTCTGTGTGAAAGTATTGAGAATTTATCTTGTTTGCTGTTCAGAGTGAAAGTCCAAAGCTTTTGGTTTTCAATTCAAAATTCTATCTGCAAAATAATGGAAAAGAGATTAGCTGTTGATGTTGCTGCTGCTGTTGATGGCAGTAATGATAGTGGATGTAATTGAAAACTGAGTATTCCTCGCAGCATCACATCACTCCTCCCTTCTCTCACTGGACTAGACCCAGGGGAACGGGCAAATGGGAAATATGGGAAACAACTGCTTCATGTGAAGGCAAATCAGATTGTCATCTCTGTCCATTTCCCTCAGTCTACTATCCCCAGTCTCCAGCCCAGTACAAAGTGATCACCCCACCACTGCTACACCCCCACCCTAGTCACTAAATGATGCAGGCACATGCAGAGTTACAGCAGCACCTACTGGTTGCATAACATAAATGCAACTGATCGTTTTCTGAGCTTTGATCAGGTATGTTTATTGAAACATTTGCAGTCAAATATCAAGCATATTAATAACCAAAATAGTGCACAAAGTTAAGGTTTAAAGTAGATACCACAAACATGAAATAAAGGTGAGAATAGAGATTACTATTTTTCCAAAGCTGCAAACAAGCTTTGTGTCCATCCAGTCTATGTATCTACTGGATGTAACCACTTCAACTTGTATCCATTATCTGAGTCAAACAGATTCGCTTAAAAAAAAAAAAAGAGCATCAGACACAATCAGATTTGTATGTTCAAGCTGTTAAATCGTGGGGCCGGTAGGCACTAATCTTCCCTCTTATTTAATCAGTAAATCAGCATGTTCAACAAACCCTGTTTATGCAATAAAGATGTCGAGCACCAATCTGTGTTCAAGTGCACCACCCTTCAGTTTCAAGATCAATTAGCATCACACATGCAGAGATAGTGAAGCACTTTTGTCTCCAATTACTGACAGGACTACAGTCCCTATCTCACATGGACAGAAACCAGTGACCTCAGAGAGTTCAAGCTAATATCAAACAACATGAAACAGGGAACAGAGGCTTTTGCACAATAAATAACTCAGACGCATATACAGCTAATCCATTAATGTCCTTCCCAGTGATAATGAGCAATTTCCTGTAGGTTTCCTCGGCTGTAGACATATTTATCTAATCATCTCATGGTAAGAAAACATGATTATAAAATCACTTCAGCATAATTTCACAACATTGATGGAACTACCAGCTGCTAAAAGTGAACATGAATGTTTAGGATCCAAGGAAAAAGGATAATCCTTTTTAGAGAAATAATATCACCAGAAGAAGCAGGAAATTATATTGTAATTTCCTTTTAAAGATAAGTTCTGTGAAGATTATTGATTCCCATAATGTTCCCTGCACTTTTAATAGGCCTCTCATTAAATTTTTGATTGTGTCCTTCACCTCCGTGCCTCATTTTACTTTAAAATACTCTGATTCCATCACTGCCCTTGCCCTCCATATCCTGCACCTCCTTGGGCATTTGGCAGGAAATTGGATTGGAGGAGTATGTGCTGTAATACAAGATGAAGCCTACCGACCTGACTCTTTTTACACTTTATTTAAAATATTTGAGTAAACAACGATAAAGAAAAACATCCACTATTCATAGGCATGCGGATCATGTGTGAAAATGACATTGTCACTGTCTGTCTTTCATAGCTTAATATAAAGAGAGAGCGAGATAAGCAAACTGCCTTTACAGTCAGAGTTTGCATATCAGAGTGCTGCTATCTTTATAGGAGAGGTAGGGGAATATGAGGGTACATTAAGACAGATGCAGAGTGTTTAACTCTAGCCTGAGCATTTCCCTTTAAATGTTCACATCAGAGTGCTCATCATCCTCTGTAGTTAATGGTTACACAAAACCTTTTATACTTCTTTTCCTGCAGTTAGATCACATGAGAATAACAGGAATTCAGGGACTAAGCTTGGCAAGCTCAAGTAAATGTGCAACAAACAGCAGGATACTAAAAGATTGAAACTTATCGGCTCATGTCGCAGAATGTAAAAAGGCAAATTTTTTAGGAATCAGTATTATAGTTCAGCTTTATACTGTCTACAGTCTTGGTTGGAGAAAATAAACTCAAGGTTAGTATTTGAGAATCAGTGTTTGATCATTTCATTACAAAACGTTGAGCCAAAATGCAAGTTGTGTGAGGAGTATGTCTGGACGATTCACCAGAACTTTATGACTTATATGTCATCCAAACCACAAAGGGGAATAACATTAAATAGGTGTTTAATTGGACTTACGACTGAAGAGTTGAGATGGTTTAAGGACGGAAATATCTGGTCAAACTAAAATCGAATTAAAAAGCCTCTGAACACCTTATTTTCTATAAAACTTTTATGTCAATCATTGATTTTATAACACCGGGCTGTAAGTGTATTTTGGTTCTTTTAGGTCCATTCCTTTTCTCAGTAGCTTTGGTGCATTTCTCACATCACTATTAACGTTTGCTCAACAGTTAGTATATTTCTCAGAACAATTAATACAAACTGCAAAACCTAGTGGATAACCTTCAAAAGCGCGTCACTTGCTCAAAATGAATAGTTGAATCCTCAAATGAAAGTGTCTGTGTCATCAAAACATGTAGTCCTGACATCGTTGTTTACGAACAGTCTCTGTTTTCCAATGCAAAAAAGTCAGATCTTGGTGACACTATACTCTACCCTGTACAGCCATTTGAAAACTACAGTCAAGTTACACATTACTGTATTTAGTGAGGTAACTGAGTACAAGACATATGTATATGTTTCACATATTTACTGCATATACTCTTTGCTATTCTGTGAAAAAAAAATTCACAGTCACTTACTGAGAACACACATAAGATTCACAGTGGTTCTCTCTACATTTGGTTGCACACACTATATCCTGCTGTATATATGCATTGGCTTGTCATTGGTTACAACTTATGCTTCACACACCTCCTCATGAGTAAAAGATTCAATTTAGGAGACATTTTCAGGAAAAAAAAAGGATAAAGGGATGTATGAAATCAGCTTGACAGATTTCGACGACTAGTTCAACAATTTTGCATGTACTGACTCAAGCAATGAAATGAGGACTGTTAGTTTTATAGGGAATGACTATTCAGCATTCATAAGTATAGTTCATTTTGACTGACATGACATAAGCAAATGATAATGTTGTGAAACAGCAGAGAATTGTATGAAAGTAACTGATACATGTCCAAGAGCATTTTGCAGTTTGTTCAGAGGAAAGAGAAAATGCTACCGTGATGTGCACAAATGACTCAATGTTGCGAGAACGTTCATTCTTATCTGAGAAATGCACCAAAGCAACTGAGAAAAACTGTGAAGTATGTCCATAATTCTGTCTACATGAAGCCGTTTTGTCCCTGAGAGCACAGTGTCATACACTCACAGACCACCAGGGGGCTGAGAATTAATCCCCATTGGTTTCCTCTGTGTTTCATTTCACCTCAGAGAATCTGCATGAGGTTTTAGGGTGGGCGGAGACTTCCTCGTCCCTTCAGCCAATAAGCGGAACTTGTCAGTGATGGAAAGTTTGTTGCAGAAGTGTGTCCTCTTAAACTGGATGTCAATTAGTGGGGAACTTTCAGCGGTGGGGAGCTCACAGTGCACAGGTGGCTCAGCAAACTCAGGTAGGCCCCATGAGTTAGAAAACAAAACCTGATTGTCTATTTTTTTTACGAGTTTCTTTTTCTTGTATTAATTAATTTGATTAATTCAATAAGTCTGTGGTCTGGTCGTCGTGTTCTCCACAGTTCATTAGATAACGAGTGTAAATGACTTCATTAGAGACGTGGTTTTGCTTGTTCAGAAGATAGAAGATGGAGTGGCGCCAGCAGACCAGTGTCAGCTGTGCAGACGCTTTCACCGAGGCTCAACGCTGGATTGAGGTATACAATCTATACTTGTCTTTCAACATGTTTCATCACAAGTCCAGGAATCTGCTGCTATTTGTGTTTCCTTCCCCCCATCATGAAGATCTGGCCCCTTATTTACCCTCCTCTTGTGGTAACATGTTTCCTGTTAGTAGGTGACAGTCAGTTGAGTTCAGCCATGAAAGATTTCTTGCCCATTTTGTTTGTATCATTTGGTCTTTGACTTGCTAGAAACAGTTAGTGTTCAGGAGCTAAAACGAAGGCACATTCATAGACTGAGGCTATCTTCATTTAAAATGCAAAAATCACCTTGATAAGACTCAGGTGAGTATTTGCCTCCGGACACAGAGCACACTTTGTGAGAATCTTTTGTGGCTGTGCAGATAAAAGTGATAGGACTGCAAGACTAGGGAGTTTCACACAGGATACACATAGAGGACATGCAGATATAAATAGATAATGTTTTAAAGAAAAGACTTTCAGGACTATTCTTCAGCGACTGTCCCCTTGTTGTGCTTGCTCATGTGTCTATCTTTTGATAAGTCAGTTCTCTGCACACATGCTGTGGTTAGATGTGATCAGAGCATGGCAGACAGGCGGGCTGTTCTCTGCACACATGATGGAGGATGTGGTTTTAAAACAAATGCAGTTTCTTGGTTACCCCTGTCAAAACACTCGAGATGAAATCTTGAAATCATAAGCCATGTTTGCAACTTGCAGAGAGTAGGAGCTGAATGTTGACCAACTCTAAATGGAACCAGTAATGTCGATTGTGTCTGAGTGGATCATTATGAGAGTTCTGTCCAGGGCTCACTTGGCGCTGAGCCCGTGCCAATTTTACCCCTCTATTTTCCTGCACTGATGGATGAAAGGTTGGATGAACACTGATGAGGTCTGTGTTTGTGTGTATGGGTGTGCTGAGAGGGAGAGAGAGAGAGTCAGCTGCTTTAAAGGTAATACTAAATGGTGTCTTTAGCGTTTCCTTGTGCTACACAAAAGTGAGAATATGTTAGAACTAATGTTCACTGTTACGGATTGCAGGGTAATAAGCTTCTGTATATAAAAACATCCACAAATGGTTACTGTTTATCATTTTAGTACTCGCAGCAAATGCATTTTTTTTCAGTGCCTGGCTGCTGAACTGGAGTGGTAATGAGGGACTGGCCTCTTTTACATCAAGTTAAGAGGTTATTGAGTTATTTGTCTGTGAACAGTAGTTATGAGAGCAATCTCCATGTGTTTCGGTACAGTGATGTACTCCTGTTTCTACTGTCACTTAATCAGCCAGTCATCTAACAGCTGACACTTTCAAATGAGGTCTTAAAATTAGGTAAAAAGTGCTAGTTATAACTTCTAAGGGCCCAAAGTGACACATCCAGTGGTCTTGTTAAGTCCAATCACCAAGCAAATGTGGATAGAGGTGTGATTTATCCTCATATGTGTCTGAAAGTTTAAATAGCAAAAGTACAATGCTAAAAACTAGTACTGAATGGTTGTAATGTTTGAGTCCTTGAGTGGCTCTGCTGTGAAAATTCCCTCATGGACTGAAATTGACCTCCTTTAACCATTGTGCTAGGGCTGGGCGAGAAAACGATAAATATCAAAAATTAATTCCCTTCAATATCAATATAAAACACGGTCAAAATCCTTTTCGACAGTTGGCATTCTGCCATGTTTTGGTTGACTAAACGAATAGCCAATGAAAAGGGGAGTTGCTTCGGGTCACGCCACGCTGAGCCAAGCATGTTTTGAATTAGAACCAAGTGGCAAACAACTGCGTAGTAGCAGGCTGCAGCTACATGCAACCATAGCACTTTAACACGTGAAGCCGACAGCACTGTTGGTGGGGAAAAAGAAAATGTTTGCTACATATTTAAGATTGACAAGTGATTTTGTTATATCATGATACATATTGATATCTCACCCAGCCCTATGTTGTGCATGTGCACAGTTTGTCGCTGCATCCAGAAATCAATTTTTACCAAAGAGGGAACCATTTTCAGATACGACCAAGAAATGCAGCTGACTTTTCCAGGCCTGAGAGACGAAGTTGAAAAAGTGTCCTGGCCTGTAAAAATCACAATTAGATATTCTTTTCAGAAACCATGGATGTGGGGTTTCTTTTTGCTCTGCAGAGAAGTGGGACCACTGCCCTGTTACAAGTCTACAGTTCAAAGACCAGGATCAACGGGTGCATAAATGTTCAAGCAGTTACACATTTAGGGAGTTACCATCAACGCTCAATTGGTTTTAGAGCAACATTTGCTGCCTTCCAGATAATGCCCTTTTTCAGGGAAGACCCTCCATGGTAGTAGAGTCTGAGTGCACATGCCTGCAGTCCTGACTAGTCCTTCATATCATGAAATGAAAACTCCAGAAACTGGTCTCTTTAGTTCCTAATCCTTTGCAGAGTACTGTTAAAGACGAGGGAAACATGCCTCTGTCCCAACTAATTTTAGTGCCTTACCCTAACCTGCTGGCATCAAATGAAAGATAAACGTGTATTTTTCATAAAAGAATTAAAACTTTCCCTTTGCAACATTTGATAACATCAATATTTGACAACAGTCTTTGTATTTTCAGTTATAATTGGATGATAATACTCAACATTTTGGGAAAAACACTGTAGTTTTAGATGAACGAATTCAGGAACCTATCATCTTTGAGTGTTATCGCTGTCTGTTAGATACAAAAAATACATAACTAGACAATTTCTCTTAAGATAATTTCCTTTTTATTTGAAAACAACTGAAGCTCTCCAGAGATGTTTATCATGACAGACATTTGGCTGAAATCAATCTAATCTGTGGTGACCAGGGCAGCGGTTGTTTATAGAAGTGACCAAGCACAGCCATGTTTTGTAAACTAGACAGTATCTCGACCACATGATTGTTTCATTGTGTTAACCTGGTGTTGCATTGTTTGTCGATTCTGCTGTGAAGCATCCGGTCCATGCCCGCTGCCCAGATTCACCAAGAACGAATAGTGATGGTGGATTCCTGGGGGGACTAATTAGTGAGAAGAATAGCCTTTTGGGGCCCTGTGTTCGTTGTGGAGCTGAACCTCAATAGCCCCATTTTTATGGCCTCATTACGGAGCCCTCTTGCCTTGTGTTTGCTTCTGCCGTGGTAATTCATTTAGGTGTTGTATTCCTTGATTTGCCCAAAAACATATTTTCAACTGCGGGGTGGGGGTGTTTGTCCACATGCATTTTTTTTTTTAGGCTCATTGTTTTGCCTGATAGATACTTTGTGTTTGTTCTCACACAGAGATCATTTGAACCGTATGCTCCTGCAGCTGTTGGGAGTATTTATCAGTTGTACAGACTAAATTTTAAAAGTTTCCATCTATGGTTCAGGTTATAGGAGTTAAGGGCCGGTTTATACCCCATTTGTGACAAGTCATGGCTTTATGGCACTTGATAGTCAAAGCTGAGTTGTACAGAAAGTTTGGGAGAGCAGACTGGAGCAATGTGTTTGAGAAGTTTGTTGTGAAGTTGCTCTTGCTTTACTTTGTGTACAGTGCCACTACAAAATTAAGTTTATTGCAATATCACCACTGCAACTAACAATATATCATCATCATTGATGCTATTGATTTCATGATTCCTCTTGACATTGTTGTGTTGTTTAGTAGACCGTGCCCTGCCTGAATAACTCATGGATCAATATTTTGTTTGTGTTTTTTTAAGGAGGTGACTGGAAAACCTTTTGGTTGTAACGACTTCCGGGCTGCCTTGGAGAACGGGGTCCTTCTTTGCGAGTAAGTAATGGCGGTCAAACAGAGGTGTCACTTTTTACTGGTAAAGCCCAGGCCTACAGGATTAGGGTGACCATACGTCCTCTTTTACCTGGACATGTCCTCTCTTTTGGGGGCTGTCCGGCCTTGTCCAGGGGAGTTTATAAAATCCTTCAAATGTCCGGAGTTAGAAGCGCGTAAAAAAAAACACTCGACCCAACCTGAAAAAACTCTTGAAATTGACTCAGAGACTCCGCCTCGCGTAGTGGTGTCCTCTTTTTGGTGATTCAGAATATCGTCACCCTATACAGGATGTGTCAAAATTAAAAAGCACGAATATTAGTGACTGTTGAATGTCAGTACAACAACTTAAAAAAACAGTATAGGATATTGATAGCTCAAAAACATAAGCTTGTTGCTGCACAAGAACAATGAGGCCTGTAGAGTCATCTATACAGATCAGCACCTTAGCCCAGAGACTAACACTACAAGGCAGCACCAGCAAATGGCCAGTATCATTTGGTTACCCGTCTTTACTAACTCTGGCAGAGAGGTTCACGCTAAGAGGTCCCAAAAAGCTTGTTACTAACTTGAAAAGTCAATCCAGCATCTGTAAACTCGCACATACTGTCGGCACAATCATGGAAAAAACTTTGAGCAAATAAATACATAAAACTCTATTAGAAAAGTCTATTAGTAAGACTCATCACAGCTGACAGTTGAGATAAAAGCCTAAATTGAAACTTATATCACTTTCTCATTGTTGATAGATCCGACTATAACGACTTCTATTTATTTTCTGAAACAGATTTTCTCTAGTTTATTCTTGCCTTAAATCTAATATCCCAGCTTCAACAAGCTGAGTGATATAATATGAAAGCACTCGTAACTTCAAATCTAATAAAGACAAGAGGTTGAAGTTTCTGATGTAAGTCCCTTCTCGTCTCTGTTAAAATAAGCTCAATCAGTATCTGACGTCAGTATTTTCCATATGTAAAATCACACAAGGAGAAAATGAATGTTGTCTTTTGGTGTTTGTCTCTTCCTCCTTCACTCATGATCAGCTCACGAAGCTCCACAATCAAGCATGTTGATTTCTCAGAATTTTCTAGTGAAGTAGTGAAGACGCAGTGTCACTCCTGAAGATACCACCAAAAATACCGTTGTTTGAAAAGTTGATTTTTACATTCCCTTTTTTAAATGAGAGGTCTGCTTCTGGATAATCACCTAACCTTAATTTCATCTGTTTATGAGACTTGGGCCCTAGGTCTCTAAATCCACAGATATGTGAATCACTAAACTGGATTTCTTTGATTTTCTTCACAGCTTGATCAATCAGTTGAAACCTGGAATCATTAAGAGAGTAAACAGACTTTCTACTCCCATTGCTGGCCTGGTGAGTGTTTTTAAAGTACTGACTGTGTGTGTGTGCATGTGAGAAGGTGGCTGTAGATATAAGTCCTGTAGGCAAATGTTATATGATTGCTTCTGTGGATAATATCATTACATAAGAAAATAAGAGGCACCTGCTAGCCAGGATGTTTCAACACACTTTTGTGGTTTCCTGTTAAAGGCAGTGAGAGACACAGCGTCGCCGCCACACGCCGAAAGATCTTGAAACTGCATTTTAATGTGCAGATCCCGCTGCTAAATATGTAAAAGCTTCTTTTTTATTGGTGATGAATGCAAATGCAGATTTTTTTGTTCTGGCTTCTGGCTGCGTTTGGATGGCACCATACAAGTATAATTGCTTAAACTGCCCTAAGCAAGGGCAGGTAGAGATCAATTGCAGCCTCCCATCAGAGGGCAATAAACAGACAGAGCCCTTAACAGCGGGCACTGGAGATACGGGGATGGGTGTTGTGAGAGGCAGCGGAGAATCAGCAGCTCTGTGACAGCATAAAGGAGCATGCTGCTGTTGTTGCATGTTTTAACCTCTCCAATACTAATTAAATTTGCTAAATGTTTGTAGTGACATTTACTGGAGGACCACACAGGACTCTCCATTGATTTTTCTACCCTTTTTGAAGTCGTCATTTGAATAAGTGCAGGCTTAAAATATCCAGTCATCTTTAAAACATTCAGTGTTACGCTTTGTGTAATTTGCTCTAAAGTGTGTTGATGTGCAGATCTTGTAGTTTGTCTGTTTGCCACCAGAGAATGCCAAAGCATTATCAGACTCGGCCTGCCTTTTGTTTAAGAGTGACCGCGCAGTTTTGGTAAAATTCAATTTAACCGTCTTGCATATTAAAGAGCTCGAGACACTGTCTGTGCTTACGGTTTTATTTTTTTTATTAGCTTTTTGTTAACAGAGCTAGAGCGGGCTGAAGTTGTATTAACTGAGTATAATATTACTGTCCATCCTCAGCTGAGCAGGTTTAATGTTTCCAGACAACAGCCTTTTTTTCATCAACCACCTACATTTTCTTCTTACTGACTACTGGTGATCAGTATGTCATGTTTGACATCTCAAACCTTAGGAGGAGGAGAAAATAGGAGGAGGACTCTTTACCATCATTTTATTGAATTAAATGCATTTAGTAAAAATCTGTTTCTACAAGTGGTTTTTCAGGGAAACTGAATATTTCTGCTGCAGGTGGTCATTAAAATGTTATCAGATCACAGTTTTTTATTCATGAACAAAACGGTATTTTGTTGAATCTTGAGCATATGTAAATGGTGATGACTCCACAAGCCTTCATAGAAAAGGTCGGAGCCTGTTTTTTATAGGTTTCTTGGTGCTTTTTATTGTATTTTTTATTATTTTTCTGTTCAGGTCTCATTTCTGTGTTTCTGTAATGTTCAGGATAATGTCACTGTCTTCCTCAAAGCCTGCGGGAAACTGGGACTGAATGTGTCACAGCTGTTTCACCCAGGAGACCTGCAGGACCTGTCCACTCGAGCTACACTCAGGTCAGCACTTTCCTCACGCCTCAAGATGTTCACACAACATTTGATGAAGTCGTCTGTCTTCAGAAGCCTGCATGCTTTTTGGACGAGAGCTTTCACTTGTTTGATATTCAGAGAGCTCATCCGCAATGTATTTTTGGTGCCTTATCTATGCTGAAAGAGGCGTATAGTTAGGCTGCTTTGCATTTATAAAGATATAAGGTTTGCTTGACAAGCTGCTGATTCATACTAGCTTTTTGCCAGCATCCTATAAAATGTGATAAATAGCTGATCAGTAGAGCTTTGCAAATGAGATGGCTCAAGTGTCGTTGTAAGGACTGTCTGTTTACAGTACAAGCTGCACGTTTGTGTTTTAACTTCATGTGCAGTCGATCAAATTATGAGCAACATCAGTGTTTATGCATTTCAATTTCTGATATTCCTTTTCTGTTTTAGACGAGATGAAAGCAACAGGAGACTCAAAAATGTAAGTCTGACCAGGTTGATTACTTGGTTCATTCTCTTTGACTTTTGTTGCCATCATTTCTATATTTTTCTTACCCTTGCTCTTCACGGAAGAGTTTTAAAGGTTAAGGAAGACTTTGGTCTATTTCTTTAAACCCACTAAAGCACAGTCACAAAATTTACCGCCATTCTATTAGTACCATGATCATTCAGGATCATGGTACTAATAGAAAACAGGGTCCAGGTCCTGATGCAAGATTCCATAAATCCTCCAGCAACAACAAAAATTAGATTGAATTTGGGGCTCACACTTATAATCCAGGCATCCAATCATAGAGAATATAGTCTTGTCTCATATCACCATAACTGTGTCTGTAAACTCACTGCTCCAAATGCAGTATTTATGTGTGTTGAACATGTGAGTCCTGAATTTGTACACGCTTGTGTGCACTGCTGCTATTTAACATGTTCCAAAGCTGATGAGTTTATCTGGAAAGCCTCATTTGAATCACACAATAGCTGATAACGTGGACCCAGTAATGAGGCTGTTCATCAGAGCTCTCTTTCTTTAGAGCGGGTGTTGCCGTTTTCTTTTTCATTCACCAATTAGGGTCAATTTGCAACAAACAGAATTCAGTTTTTTTGACAGCTCTCTGACCAGATCTGCAAATAATTAAAACAGAGTTGTTAAATAATTAACCACAATTAGTTTCAAAGTAGAACTGAGTGTGTTTTGCAGGATTCTTCCTTTTTTTAGCAGAGGTGAAAGTAGATCTCCTTTCGTGTGCATGTATGTTTTGGTATTTTGTGTCACATTTAGGATTTAACCACAGTGTTCAACCTCAGCGAAGAAAACTTTTGGATCAGTGATGCCTATTTTGAAGAAGATCTCAAGTTTTCTGTGATGTGCTAGTTATACATTTTCTGCAGCAAAAGGACATTGTTTACAAAGTTTTAGTTTTGAAGAGACAGAGCTTTTACAAGTTCTTTTTTTAATAAGACAACACTCACAGAGTTATATTCTCTCTAGATAATCTCTAAAGTTTAAACCCTTTTCATGCAACACTGATGTTAACTATTGTTGACAGGACCTGATGAGTGATTTCTTCTTAATCTCCTGTGACTGAAAGGATGCTGTTAAATCGGGTTGACCTGTGATGATCCACTGCATGCTGCGTGGAGATTTTATGGCGTCATGTAACTGATGAGCTTTTATTTTGGTCGAAAGCACAAAAATTGAATTTTTCAGTGTTCAAAACAAGCTTTTATTTAGTATGATGTATAATGGAACAAACCAGTTGAAACCAATGTGTGCGTATTTGCACATTATATATATCGATGTATCGTCTTTTTACGTTTGTCTGTGTTTCCTGCCAAGGGACTATGGATGTAAATTAGTAACTTTACTAACCCTGGCATATTTTCATTTGTATAATTATTCTTATGTGCATAAATGTGCTCTGTCCCTGTCTAATTGCCATCAGCAGCTCAAACAGGATAGTAACTGACAGATAGTGGATCTCAGTTCAACATCTGTGCAGAACGAAAGGACAATAAGTAGAACTGTGAAATAATGTCTGTATTCAGTGGATGTTTTCTATTGACCCTCATCATACAGACACTCATGAGGCATAAATGGGAATCTATTAAGATTCATTCATTTCCGTTTTGAAATTCTTATCCATTCATCAAGTAGCATTGGTTAAATATTACATCAATTCCATCATCTCTCAAGGCCTTTCATGGATTTTTTTATCTGACTGCTCAGTGATGACTTTGTTAAGATACAAATTGAGCGCTACACAGGGATGTCCATGGCAGCGCATATCAGGATTTCTCTTCCAGGGACAAAACCAGGCCTTCAAAAACCGTCCCTATCCACCTCGAGGCAAATTAGAAGTGAATCCTGTCTAAAAATCCTCGCTTGCTGAAATATTATCACATTGAATATCAGTTTGGTGCCCACATTTCACAGACTGTTACCGTTGTTGCTTCTGGTTGCTTCACAGAGTGTCAGCTGGAGGATTCAGGGTTTTCATCTAGCCCATGAAATTTTGTACAGACATTTATGGTCACGAAAGCAGCCCTTCCCAAAGATGGTCAGACATTTACAGATCTGGGGGGTGCGAATACATGAGGGTATTTTTTCATTGTTTTCCTTCAGTCTCTAACTTATGATCCACTGCAGGCAATATCCCTTTTAAATAGAAGCATGTTTTTCACAATACAGGAAATAAAGCAACCCAATCACTGGGCAACAAGAAGATCAAAGTAGAAAGCCTAAGTCATTTTTAAAGGGATATTTTGGTGTAAAATTAATTTAGGGTCAAACACACCATAACACAGAGTTAGACACTCCCTCGAGAGATGAATGTTGCTGACCACTTGCTTCTCTAGTTATTCCAACTTTAGTAACGACCGCATGATAGCAATACACAGCGATCTCAGGATTCATGCGCTCAACCAAAACGCCACTCTATAGCCACAAATAATGCTCAGAACAGCACCTAATTCATCAACAGGACATATAGGGTCCCCGCCACAGTACTAGCTAACAAACATCTTTTTAACTTTGCCTGATTTCTTCAGCAAAGAGACTAAACACAACTCACCTACTCTCTTCCAGCAGCCACTTGTTTGTAGAAGGACCTTGAAAGAGTCCATCACCGACTGCAGCGGGGTGACACAGCTCAAGGAAGAACATTTATGATCATTACTTTATCATTTCCTTGAAGTAATAATGACCATATTAATAATTTTGCACTGCAGACGCGGTAGTTCTTCTGCCTTCCATGAAGAAATGATCATTAATGTTCTTCCTTGAGCTGCGTCACCCCGTTTGCAGTTGGTAATGGACTCACCCAAGGTCTCCGTACAATCAAGCTGCTGCTGGAAGAGAGTAGGTGAGTTGTGTTTAGTCTCTTTGCTAAAGAAATTAGGCAAAACTAAAAAGATGTTTGGTGGCTAGTGCTGTGGCTGGGACCCTATATGTACTGCTGATGAAGTTAGGTGCTGTTCTGAGCATTATTTGTGGCTATAGAGTGGCTTTTCGGTTGAGCACATGGCTCCTGAGACCGCTGTGTATTGCTATCCTGCGGTCATTATTAAAGTTGGTATAACTAGAGAAGTAAGCGGTCAGCAACGTTCATCTCTCAGCAGGTGTCTAACTCGATGTTATGGTGTGTTTGACTCTAACTTAACTTTATGCTGGAATATCCCTTTTTAAGATGTGATTTTTTTTCTCTTAAGATGAACACAAACAGGGTTATTTACAGCCACTGTATGTATTTACCCCAGTTGGAATGCATGTTTTTGGTGGGAGGGTCTTAACAGAATTAAAAGGCAGCAGAGGGAGAAGCAGGAGGGTTATGTTGGAGTATGTTGTGTTCTGCTGCTTTGATTTTGTTTACTCAATATTACACCTGCCATTCCAGCATCGAAGTAGAAAACCGTTTTATTTATTTATACTTGACTTATGTCAATCATTTTTCAGGTTTTGATCACAATCTATTGGTTGGGTCGTAAGGCTCACCTGGATGCATTCTACAGCGGCCCTCAGCTCAACTTCAAGGCCTTTGAGGGGCTGTTAGGGTTGGCTCTGTCCAAGGTAAGCTCGTTCTTCTGAGCCCTTAAAGACGATCCTTTTTATCCGTCTCGTCTGCACTAACGCTTCTCTGTTGATCAAGGCTCTAGATGAAGGTGGTACAATGTTCAGAGACAGCTGGGACCAAGAGAAAGAAGAATACATGATGCACAAGAGGCCGAACTATAAGATGGAGAATTCTGTGGACAGTGTGGACTCTCTGGACTCCCAAGCCCTCCGTCCAAACAGTGAAGGTGCCTCCTCTGATTCAGTAACTTAGAAGAAACAAAATACTGAGGATCAAAGATAAATTTATGTCCATTGGGGGAGTTTTGCAGCCTTTTAAATAATTTGCGAGTCGTTCAGTTCAGTCAATAGTGATGTTTTTTTTTTCTTTTTGCTCCAAACATCGTTATTATGCAGTGCTCGTCTCTGTAGTTCTGTCTCTTCCTTGTCTAAGTGAACTTTTTCATTGATTCCTTACAAACAGCTTTGGCTGGGCTTGAAGACATCTTTCTCTTGAAAATCATTTTGTTTCTACAATCCATCTGCTCCTGCCAATCAGGAAAAAAAAATCAACTCTGACCCGACTCCGTCATTCATACTCAATCCATTTGAACTGATTTCCTCGGATCAACATGGTTCTGAAAACTGCTGATCCTCTGACTCATTCTGTCATTACTCTGCACTCTGCCGCACTCGCTCTCAGTGCACACAAGTGATAAATGGTAGCAAGTCTAACACCAGGGTGATGGAAGAGGGTGAAATATTTGACACATGGCTCACTGGAGGCTTGTCTGTGTGAAGACTCAGTCCTCCACTGAAGGTTCTCCTCTCCTCTCCTCTTGTCTAAAAGTTTTTTTACTTTTTCACTTTTTTTTCAGCTCAAGTTTTCCTCTGCACGATCTCCAACTTGTGTCATTTCTGCAGCTATAATTTATCATCTTTGTGCCACCTTCAAGGTTGTGGAAGTGACGCAGAGGCCGAGCAGGTGTTCAAGATGGAGTCCTCGCAGCCCTCAGCACAGCAAAACAAAGGTTATAATCCTCCACCTCTCCTACAGGGAAAACAAGGACAGGAGGAGAATGGAGTACTTGCCAGGTACTGCAGATGAATTACTTTTTCTTTTTCCTCAGAGTTCACTCGCTGCTTTTTTCTCACTCACGTTAAGCTGCGAAAGGACTTTAAGAAGTGAATGTTTGTGTGATTAAAACCACTCCATTCCTTCACTTGAAATGTTTTATCTTTTGTTTGTGCTGTGCTTAATCCTCATAACCTTGCTAAGTAGAATTTTTACCACACATAACGAAAGAGATGATTTTATTCCTGTATCAAGTCATCGTAAGAAACATTACCAGGAACATAAACAGGTTATCAGCAAACTTGTGTCAGCCAGGTAGTGATGGGCACAGCAGTGCTTAAAAATGAACTGAATCACTAGAATCAGTTCACGAAAATGATTCGTTCAAAAGATTCATTCACCGAATCACCAAATCATTCAGGGCTTGGCGGGAGGAGCCTGCGACTCCGACCTCCTGAACTGATCCACATCTGAACAGTTCAGGATTCAGTTCAATTCATAGCTTCTCGGACCGGGAGATGAGAGTGTTTGGCTGTGTTGATTTGGCAAACAGGTTTGTAAAAATGAACTTCTTTATAAGTCATGATATTTTAAGTGTACTGTCCTATGGTGTGTTATTTATCAGGTTTAAATTGGGGTCAGTGAGTGAACTTTTAGAAGAATTTACGCTGAACATGCTCCATTCCCTTGCAAATCGCTCCAATGATAGGATGCTGCAGGTTTTATGCACTACCTTGTTACATGCTGTGTCCTATTGCATGAAGTTGTTGTGGCGGCACTTTAGCAGTAAAAAAATGTAGTTTTCTCAGACAAAAATGATTCCAGAGAGTGAAGTTCAATGCGTGATTCATTTACCAAGTGATTCAGGCGTCGTTGCATGCAGTCCCTCGTTCACCTGGCAATGCTGCATGCTATAGCAGCTGCACTTCTGACAGCTCAACTGAAGCGAGAAACAAATGAATCACTTGAAGAAGTGATTCGGTTCAGTATGTTCACTTAAAAGATTTGGTTCTTTTGAACGAATCGTTTGCGAACGACACAACGCTACAGCCAGGTTCACAAGTTCATGTTTGTGTGTAAGTTCAGCCTGGTTGTATTAGAGGTGCCATAGGTCTGTGAGTAATGTCTGATATTATGATCAACATACCCAATAATACAAACACTTCTTTCTTGTTTTGATAGTAACGATATAAAGTTCTTTGATGACTGTTTTATATCGAGTGCTCTCAGCTGCTAACACCAAACTGAAGCTCGGTCTCAGTTGTTTAAGATGAGCTGGCCTCCTCTGTACAAGCTTCTGTCATACTGTGGTCTTTATGCAGTTGTCCTCTCGTTACCATAGTAACATTACTCTCAAGATCATCTCAGGGTCTGTCTGGCAGCAGTACTTCAGCCGTCTCCTCAGTCGCTGTGGGTCAGATATGTGCTCGAGAAACGGCGCGGCCTTTATTCATTCAGAGATGAGTGTGCAATATTTGATGAAGGCCAAGGTGTTCGCAGCGATCTCTGCTCTCATCTTACTAATTCAGCGAGAAGCTGCTGTGTAAAGAATTTTGAATGTCAGCACTCCTCATTGCTCTGGTATTATTTCACACTACCAGCTACCTCACTGCTTGGAAATTTAACAGCATGAAATCTGAATCTTATCATCCAAATTCAGCAAATCTTCACACATGCATTAATCAAATCATCAGACATGAATATTTTGAGGCAGATTTTTTTCGCTGTGACATCCTCTTTCCCCTTGTAAGCAGTTGTGGGTTTACCATTCTTTGCTACAGCATCGAAGAGGTTCCCATCTCCGCTCAATCTCCCCTCGCTTTGTTTCCCACTGCGTGCTCCACCGATGAAGATATTTCCCTACAAGCTTTACGTGACGAAGACTCCGAAGATGATTATACTGATGCCGACCCAGTTCTGGATGACTTGTATTCCCGTCGAGTAAAGCAGACCCTTCATCAGACTTCCACCAATCCACACTACGGCCGCTTCTTACCACAATATTGGACACCTGAAGAGGAGACACGTGTGCGCACAATCTACCGTGGCTCCCAGAAAAGACTTTGGTATCATGAAATGCAGAGATTAAGGTCTGTTTGCTGTTTTTCTGCTGCTCGATGACGCAACGAAGTGAAAGCAAAACTAATGCTGCAGGTTTGCTTAATTCTTAAAGACCCACTCCGATGAAAATCATGTTTTTCTTGTTTTTTTATGAATTCACATGGCATTTTTCTGATGCTACAGGACATTTCTGAGTATTTCTTCATTCAAATCGCTGTGAATCTCTGGCAGACCCAAACGGCAGGTTCAGGTACAGTGAGATTTCATATGTAACCAATCCAAGCTCCGCCCCCGGAGGCTATGCAGGCCACACTCTGTATATAGAGGAGAAATACAGAGGATACATACATAATACAGCGGATTGCAATGCTTGTAAGAAAGCTAATTATGATAATATATTTCATTGTGTCGCTAAAGACGTTAGTGTCCAACAGTTGAATATCTCCTTTGTTACCTGCCACTTCTGCTGCATTGGCTAGCGTGAAGATGAGCATGCGGAGCAGCGCTGTCTCCGCCCACGACTCAGAGGTGAATTGCTAATGATCTACTGGAGCTCTGCAGAAGAAAAGCCCTTGAAAACGACACAAGTAATGCGATTTTTGGTAAAAATGCCATAATCACGATTTAAAGACCACTGAGAGTACTTAAAGTAGTAAAAAATATGATCGGAGTGGGACTTTAATGTAAAAGCTGTCGACTAGTTGCTCAAAGTCATCGATGCATGGCTGAGTTTGCAGGCTGGAATCTGACTTACTGACTGGATCTTTTACCGTGTGATGCCAAAGTAATCTCTGCGTGGTGTGATAGTTGACTTTCTTTGTTGGCGAATGCAATAGTTTGTCAAGTCAGGCTTTGAATCTGCAAAAACTATCTAATGTCTAGATTGCAAGTTAAAACAACAGAGCAAGTTAGGGCTGGGCGATATGGCCTCAAATCAATATCACAATATATTGAGCAGTTCACCTAAATTAAGATAAATAGACGATAACTACTCCACAAGCTGCTCACCCCCTCCCACATTAACTTTGTCTACTTCAGCTGCCGCTCCAACTTATGAACCGTCCTCCATCTCCTCACCTCTCTTTCATTTTTGTTATGGACTTGATGGGGTGGAGTCACGTCTGCGATGTAGGACAGGATCTTCAAGGGACATGAGACCATAGCCTATCTTCACATATCCAAAAACAACTTTCATTTATTTCTATTTTGACACTGAATATACCGACATGGGCAAAATGACGTTGGTTATTGTCGTAAATTTCGGTAACGGTAAATTTTTGGTTTATCGCCCAGCCCTAGAGCGAGTGCTGCTAAACCCGTGTACCTCAAAACCTTTCAAATGTTCTCCTCTCCTGTTCCCTTTTCTTTGACTGCAGCCATAAAGCGATGAGTTCCTCTGAGCAAGAGTTGGATATGGATTTTATTTCCTGGCTTGCGATGTCTGCTAGCGTACGAAACATCCCTGCCACATCTGGAGAGCCTCGAAACAACTGCTCAGAAACCCTCTCATAGCCAGGGACACACACTCACACACATGTCCATGAGAGCCATACCTGAAACACACATGCATCAATGTTCAGACTGTTGAATCAGGCTCTAACACATTTCTACTCATTATGTCTTGTGTAATGGAGTCAGTGCACCTGTAATTTTTGCATTTTCCTATCGTATCAACAAACCAAATTGAGTGAAGGTGTGACAATTTAGCTGTTAATGACGTTTGCTGAAGAGATGTTTTGTTGCAAAGTTTTTAGGAAATTAAAAACGTGTCTAATTTGTGTGGTTGCTGATTAATGTTCCCCCAAGTACAGCCTGTCTCATTATCAGCATTCATTCTGCCACCTTTTGTGGTTCACATGACGTGAGGACGTTTTAGCTGAGTGATTTATTACTTAATACAAATTTGACAGATGACTCACGTTGTCGTACTCTGACGGCCGTAACTTTTTATTTTTATCACCTTTTACGCCAGCACAGATGCTTTCTGCATGAATAATATGAGTGTATAAATAGTGTGTCATAGTGGATTAAATAAAACAGCAAAAACAAAGTGGGATTAAATTGATTCTTTATTCCTGGATCTTCTGTTTGTGATGCAGGTTAGTCTGACAGCTTTTATTTTTTTATTATTTGTGATTTAAATGATTTTTTTTTCTCTGAAACAAGGTGCTTTTGTTTTATTTAAATTTTAGAAATATTATGATGTTGATCAGTCTGTGTACTTCTTTTTGGTTATGTAGGGCATATCATATCAAGGTCAAACCTGAGACACCAGTCCAGGTCAACCCTGGCTGGATTTGGTAAGTCCTAAAGTTCTGGGTCCAGTACCTGGTGCAACAGTGTGTGGGGCTTGGGTCTTGCTGCTTTGCCTTTTTTTGCTTTAGTTTGTATTCACCTCACACTAGAGGAAATTGGCCTGCAAACATCATTTGTCTTTTCATAAAGATGGAGCACTTCGTGTACCTCCCACAAATGATTTCTGGGCAGAGACGTGACGGTAGAATTTATGACGAGCTGTAGGATTGTTTGTTGGCACGGTCCTGGTTCCTCCCATCAAATGATGTCACAGTCCTGATTTACCACCTGCTAACGGCAGCTGTAAGTTACTTGAATGTCACATCTGACATCCTCTGGTGCTCACTGCGGTACTATTTCTTGTAACAAGTCATGGCTGTTGTGCTATCCAGACAGCAACATCTGTCGCCGTTGTACCGCAGCGTTACTCGGCTCGAGTGCTCCTCGCTGCTGCTCACACTATGTGCTAAGGATTGTGTTGTTTGGGTGCAAAATGTGCCACGCTGCAGCTGTAAATACTGGAACGTGCTGATCTGTCATGTAGCGTGTGTTGGTTTAAAATGGCATGTTTGTGTGATTCTAATCCAATTTCTAGCATTCGTCATTCTTGCTACTGCGTGGGGCTGCTAGAGTGAGATTTTTTACATCAGTGTCTTTAAATATCATCTGTTTTTACTCTATGTATTCATATTTTGCAATCATATCTGACTCTTTTATTCATTCTAACCAGGAGCAAATCACTGAGTGACATCCCAATGGTGTACCCCGTGCGGAAAGCTCCTGAAGGGCACACCATTTATGATCACGTAGACCAGAATGCTGGCCTCGCACAAGAGTGGGATCAAGAAAACAAGCGCAAATGTAGCGTCGCTGCCAAGGACAGTGAAGCCCAGTGGCAGGATGTAGGTGTTAAAACACGAATTTGACAAATATGTGGTCCAGTTTCTTCAGCAGTAGAAGCTCATCTTTTTGGATCACAATTCAATCATCTAAAAAGAAAGGTGCTTCATTAGATTCCTTTTTTTCCCAGGACTTGACGAAGTGGAAGAACCGCCGCAGGAGCACTAAGTCTGACTCACGAAGGAAGTCCCAGGATAGAGAGCATGTCATTAGCCAGATGGTCAATGGGGTCGGGAGTACACTTGACAGAAATGGAGCACAAGGTGGACTGCTAAAGAGGTACGCTTCCACTACAAATGGGAAAAAAAACCTTTCCCACTTCCACACTGTGTGCTTCCAAGAGTTCATATGGTGACTGCTTGAGAAGCTGCTGAGCTGGCTTCATGGGTGTTGAATGTGCTAATGTAATAAGACACCAACACCCCTCACCTCTCTTCTCATCTCTTCTGCTAACTATTATTACATCGCCTTTCTCCCCTTACCTGCCAATTCCCCAGAGACCAGCAGTCACCACGCAGACACAACCCTGCCCCTTGTCCTTACTCCGCCCCCCCTTCATTCAAATCCTCGAGCTTGGACCTGAAACCACGTACGCGGGCTTTACTGGCCCGCAGCTACGCCACTGAGACACCCGACAGCCCGACAGCTCCACTCAGCACTCGTACCCCAACCTGCAGTTTGGTAAGTCTCCAGTTTTGATCTGTGTGACCTCAATGTTCTTTGACTGTATGTCTGGTTGTGTTGTGGTGGAAATACCAGTATGAACTATTATTATTACAGGAGATATTATTCAGATGCAGAAACTATGTGACACACATAAAATACTTTTTACTTTTAGGGGTCATCAGGTGGATCCATGCCTGCCTCTGACGGAATCATCTTAGGAGAGGTGACCCACTTGGCCTCCCTAGCTTCGGATGGAACAAGAGTTACCACACCTTCCCCTGACTGTCCTTTCAGCTCACAGACCCCCACCAGAGCCCAAGGCTGCATGGATTCTGTCCAGTCCACGGCTGAAACAGCCCAGTCCAACACCAACATTGTCTTCACAAACCAAATTTCCACTCTAACCACAACTCTCCAGGCAGTCAAGCCTGCAGAGTTGACCTGCACCAGGGTTTCATCCTCCATTGCTTCCAAAGTTCCTGCTCCTTTCCCTCATGTGGTCCATCACGCAGGAGCTGATCCTCTGGCGGACTTGTCCCATCAGAACCATGAGCCTCAGAAAGAGAGCCAGAAGACATCTTGTGAACCAGCTGTGGAGACAGGTCAAGGCCAGCAGGATACAGGCAGTTACAAGTTTTACTCCAGACCTGGGTCTTGGTCTGGCTCTGCCAGCCTGCCTCGTGGATACAGAAGATCTGAAGGCTCATCCCGTCTCTCCTCTGCGATCACGGCCAGACCGTTTGGGAGCAAGCAGTCTAGACTGTCCTCTCTGCCAAGACTGTGCAATGTAAGTATAAATCAGGGTTCCTACGCAAGTATGGAAATCAATTTGATGGATATCCAGGTCTTTTAGAAGTACGGAAAATGAAAAATAAACAATGGAAAAATATTTATGTTTCTAGACTATTACCACAGTTATAAAATACTGTTTTCTAAAATGCAAAAGTAGGTATTTCTAAAAATTGTACCCTGTATAACGGTCAGCAGAACCTTTGTGCTGTTGTCGTGAGAAAAAATGGGAATGGCGTGCGTGTTGTGCAATGATTTAATTTTAATTGTATGAACATCCCATCTGGGCAGCCCATCCCCATGATTCATTCAGGCGAACTGAAAATGTGTCCAACTTTTTAGTCAAGATCCTTTCAAAACGCTCCTTATTGCTGCGGTGGATCTGGGAGCACAGAGTAAAACAGTGGCAGGGGTTTTGAAAATTGAAGTTTAGTAGCGCTCCAAGAGCCCTGAAGCTTTTGTAGTAGGAAGATATACCACCTGCCATTTTTTAATTTTATGGTCCAGACAGTGTTTGGTTTATTGGACATTTGGTGCTCAGAAGTGTGCACAGGGACAGAGGGACTTGTTTAGTTAGTGTAATGGGAACTTTGTGTGTGTGTGTGTGTGTGGGTGGAGGGGTTTCCATGTGAGTGTGCTACCCTCGTTATCTTACATCACTCCCTTCATTAATAATAGAAATGCTGCTGCGCTGTTTTAAACAGTGTCGACTGAATGCAAAAAACATGTTTTATTTTTGCAGAAGTGCACCGGCTATAGATATTCTGTACCAGCGTGCCAGCGACATTTAAAGGTTGCAGAGGGAATTGTGCAGTCACATGTCACCGTGTCGTTACTCTGAGTACAATCTGTCTTTATTTATCTCCAGGTAGACAACAACCAGGGTCTGCTGCTGAAATGTGAGAAAGAGGAATATCTTTCTCCGCCTGCTGAATCTTCACTCAAAAGACAAACCGCCTCTGCACACCTGAAGGGTCAGTTGCAGACTGCTATCACAGAGAGGAAAGAGACACAGGTGAAGCCGGATGGCAAAGATCAGGGGACGGGAGTGAAAGGTGCTGCTCTTCCAAACCAGATCCCACAGACTAATGGTTATCACCACCAGACCTCCAGCCAAACCAAGCTACTATCAAACCTGCAGGCCCACCACAACAAAAGCTCCACCCCTTCTCCTAATGCAGCCACTGATGGCCCAAAGGTATGTTTGTACTATCCTTCAGCACACATGGTGACAGGTATGCTTTCACTGCAGAGCTTGTATGACAATATTTTTTGAAACTTGTATTTATTTTAAATCAAACTACCATCTTTACATTAAAGAGTGGATAAATCTGTATTTTTCAGTGGAAGACCAAAAAGCTGCAGCTGTCGAAACATTAGTAAAATAATGTACAGCAATAACAGGTCATCAGTACACATGCAAACTCAGCGGGAACCCTCATTGCATGCTCGACTTTATTGCTCACAAAACCTTATTGTTTATCAGCGTGAATACTTACATCTTCAAGTGATGTAATTATGAAGCCAAAGTTTACATCCTGACAGGATCTTTGCTCGCATGTATCTCCACTTTACTTAGGTAGTGTTTTTCCTTGCACCTTTTCTCTGCAGGGGTAAGTGATATATGTAAAAAGATACTGAATTCTGTTTTTGTGGGCTAGTTCCCACTATTGTGCAAGCTAACCTTCATGATTTGAAGAACTTAATCTGCTGTAAGTAGCAATTTCATTTTACTGCTTTGCTTTTACTATTTGGTGTTTTGTGGACATCACGTTCTGGTTCCCAGCTACAGCTGCTCGATCACAGCAAAATTCACAATTATGATTGTTCTGATTGACATTGAGAAAATAATTATCAAACATGAATTATTCCACATCTGCATCAGTGCATTTACATTCCAAAGCATGCCTGTCTTGCCTAAACAGTATATTATGTTTACCCAAAGCATGAGTCTGAGAACAGTTGAGTCATATTACTGAAAAAGACCATCCATCAATTCTTCACTTCACTCTAAAAGCTTTAATTAAGTTTAGGTGGCTCCATTAATGTCAGACTTTCACTTATCGTGTAGTATTTTAACACTGTGCATGATAAACCGAAGGATCTGTGCTTCATTGCCCTCACTTTTATCATATAAAGTTTTATATCTTTCTCCAAAACCGACCAGTCTTGATTTCAGGTTGGGGCTTGCAGTTGTATTTTGGTTTGTTTATCATTAGAGCCTCTCGTTTGCTATGCTTGCTTGGTCCTTTGGCTTTTCAGACAAACCTGCCTCCCCCGTGCTCTTCTCCCTGCTCCTCTTTTCTCCACCTGTGGCTGCATGATAGACATATGTTGAATATAGGGACTTTGACAGTATCCACAACTTCCTTGTGCTTCCAAACTCTGTTGCACATCAATCTAAGCTCATGATGAGGTGAAAGCTGTGTGATGGAAGATGTGAAGGGCTGTGCTTCATTTACCCTACAGGACAAGCGCAACAGTATAAGCAGCACGTTTATCATCAAGTCTTGATCATGATCATGGGAACCTGTCATGGGCTACTTCCAAGCAGTATACACTCCCCAATAAACTCTCAGACGCAGTTGATTCACCTCTTCAAGTTTACTGAGGAATCTTGTGAAACTGAAATGATACAGTAACATATAAAACAATGAGTTACAGCTTACACACAAACAAGCAGTAGAGCTAAGCTACATTAGCTTTAGCCGTTATAATCACAAACGAGCTAGAATGCCGCTAGCAACGAAAAACATGAAGCTAACTTCGTGTAGCATTAGCGATTAGCGCCATAGCCGTTTTAACAACTTAATTACACTTAAACAACCTTCATCTTAATACAACAACACAACAACGTATGAACACTTACAGACGTTGCATGGACTAGAGGGATGAAAACGGAGGAAAGGAGAGGAGCTTAGAACTGAACAACTGACGGACCTCGCGAATCTGCACTCAATAACTTCCGGTTTCTCGGTGACTCGCCGGCTACGTGTTGCCATGGCAACGTGATGTAAACAACTCACACTAGAGCGCAAAAACACTTCAGTAAGACGCATTCAAGCAGCACAACACACATTCAAGCAACATTACAGAACCCATTATCTTAATTTAACAGTATGCTCTTAAAAGTTCTTAAATCGGTGATAGCATTTTATCTTCATAATACAAAAATACATTTTTGGCCAATTTTAGGATTTCTGTTATTCAGTATGTAAGATTTCATCAAAATGTGGCTGAAGGAAGGATAGTTTGCTTCAATCAGGACCACTTTCAACAAAAAATGAATCATTATTTCTGTGCATTGTTATATATTCGGTGGTATGGCTTTGTTTTGAAAGCTCCATGTCTTATCATGAAAAGCCAAGGCAGGGAGGTCAGCTACAAGGACCTCAGGGAGCAGAACGGAGCAGGCATGAGTGACTACACCTATGACACTGGTAAAATCAGACAGAGCGAGAAAAGGTGGAGCTGGGGTAGAGGCTGTTTGCAGAGGAAGCAGCAGCAGAAGAAGAAGGCGGGTCAAAGCAGTTTAAATGGGAAAGCTTGTTTTGACCTTTTGCTGATTAGATGTGTAGAAAGCAATCAGCTGAGCCGTCAGCTGATACGGGCTGGGATCAGCTGACATACTGTGTGCTGAGCTTGACTGTGTGTCTTGCATAGACTAATGCCACACACAAGTAAAACCTAATTAAATCTGTTTTTGTTTTCAGAGATGGAGGTTTAATATCATTTATTGTAGGGCAGCTGTTATTATTGAACGTGCGCGCGTTTGATAAACTGGTCTCTCTGTGTCCCTGTTTGTGTAGCACTCCTTCAAAGTATCTGGTTTCCGTCAGGAAGTACGGGACATTGGATCACAGGGTGTCACCTTTTCTGTGTTTCAGGTGGATCACAGTGACATGAGAGTGAGCCTTACTCTCAAACCCAACAGCAGACCAGACTTTGGCTTTCAGACTCATTGGGACTCCACTGGAGTGAGAGTCAAATTCATTCAAGCAGGTAGGACTTGGAGATTCTCTTGATTATTATTCAACTGAAGTTTTGCCTCATTAATATTTGCAATCATTACTAACGGCTAACGTTGGTGTGACATTGTAACGTATAATTAAGACATTTAAGGTACAGGCATTGTGCATTGTCTCTAAAAGAAATCTTCCACAGATGTCGCTGTTGACAGAGAATACAGTTGACGAATCGTCACCATCAAATTTCTGATGTAAAGCACAGCAACACACCTCATGTGGCAGGAAAAAAATGACAGAAATGATTGTTTTAATCATGCCGTCCATCACCAGCAAAGTAGTCTCGGACATCATTACTTTAAGTCACTTCTAATGTGCAAAACTACCTCGCTAAATATGCCTAATGGTTTATAATGACACCATGAATACTTGAGCAGACCTGAGATGGTTTTTCTCACTTGCTTGCTGCCGCTCAGTTCTGGCTCGCTGGCCTTTATTTCACCCCAGAACAGTTAGCTCGGATTCAGTGTCTGCAGCTTGTTTCTCAGCTCGTGTCGAACAACAATTTCTGGAGTGGCTACTTCTATTTATTTCATAATCTCATGTGTCCTTTTCTTTTTTTCATTTTTTTCCTGACACCTGTCTCTCTCTCCTCAGGCAGTCCAGCAGAGCAGTGCCAGCTGTGTGTGGACGATGAGATCCGGACTGTTAATGGGGCTGCAGTGGCACACATGAACTACACCCAGTGGAAGGATAAAATGACATCTTCCCTGCAAACTGGCAGCCTGACCATGGATATTCGGCGCCATGGCAACAAGGGTGAGATAATGAGGCAAAGAGGAGGATTTTTGCCACCTACTGAAGTTGTATATCATAATTTAACCTTTAACTCATAACCGGCGGTCACAAACATTGGTATACAGCAAGGCTGGAGTTCATGATGACTGGTTGTTTTCATTAGATTGGAGCATCAGTGAAGGGAGTCATTGCAACCAGCCAGGCCAGAGCAGGATGACCCTCAATCTGACCACAGCAGCACCAGCTCTGATAGGTTGCCCTGATCACCATTCCAACAGTGGTGCCTCTTCTGCCACCACAGCCAAAGCGTCAAAATTCAGTGGGCAGACTGACGATGTGAGCATTGTTCAAGCGAGTTTTTATCCCCCATAGAAACGCTAAACTCTTCTTCTGACAGTGCAGCGTCGTAATAAGTGCCGCTCATCAGATGAATCTTGATGTTCTCTCACCTGCCCAGGTGATGCAGGGTAAAGTCATGAAGGGAGAGCTTGCTGACAACCACAGGACAGCAAGAAGTAAAGGTAACATCAGGCATCAAGACAAACACTTCATTATGTGACTTTTCTCGTACTGTGCTGTCTGATTGATCCGTCCGTTCTTCTTCATGTAGATTATCATAGTGTTATAAAGAAAAATCAAAGACGGAGGGCTGAATTTTTCAGACAACAAGGTAAAAACTCCAGTTTGAGATTTAGCTCCACATCAAGCGGCTTTGGTGACGGTGCTTTGCTTTAGTCGACGTTGAATATTCATCAAAAGCAATATAAGAGCATCTTTTCAGGCTTCCTCATGTAGGATTTAAAGTTTGGCCGCTGAATGAAAGAAATGAGAAGATTTATGTAATTACAGCAGTTAACCTTCCCAAAAAACTAACTATAAAAATGATCAATATGGAGCATTTTTTAATACTCCATTAAAGCCCAATGGTTTTCTCCGAGAAGAAAACCATTGCTGGTCTGTGGCCAACCCTCCTCCCTGTTACCGCCGATCTGACAGCATGAATCATGTCTGTAACATACAGTGTGCGCTGTGCAACAGATGCTTCTTTGACTGAGCTATTAGACGTTGTGTGTGTTGGTGGGATGTCATTTTTAATTGGTGGCCTTTTTCCTTCTTTAGCACAATGATGTGTTTGTGATGCTGCTGTCCTTTTGTGGTTGTTAATGAATCTGATGCATGTCCTGCTACAATCACTTCTCTCTCTCCAGGCTCTGCAGGATTCAGCTCATGGGTTTACTTGTGTGGTAAATGTTTGTGCTGTGTGAAGTGATTTTTTTTTTTTTCCTCTTTGAATGCACTATCGGAAAAACATTTCTGTAAAGAATTGTAGTTTCTCTCAATATGTAGGAATATGCTTGTTGAGATGAAGCTTTTGAAATCCTTTTTTTTCTTCTTCTGAATATGAGAATTTCAAGCTTAAAATATTGTGAGACTATCTTCTATGGTGTGTGTTTGCGGTATCATGAGGTCAGGGGCACATTATTATCATTATTGAATTTCCCTTCAGGGATCAATAAAGTTCTTATCTTATCACTACTACATGATCTCATACTGAAAAATGATCCAACTATACTGGACATAAAGTTGTACAAGTATCAAACTTTTTATCCTTTCATTCTGAGGAATGTATTTGACCTTTAGCCTTCAGTTTACATCCTTAACGTCCCACTCCGATCGTTTTTTTCACTACTTAAAATGTTCTCAGGTGATGTAAAAACATCATAATCCCAATTTAAAGACCACTTTGTCGTTTTCAATGGCTTTTCTACTGCAGAGCTCAAATAGATCATTAGCAATTTGCCTCTGAGTTGTGGGCGGAGACAGCGCTCTTCACGTTAGCTTGTAGCCTTACATTGCCGGTGCAGCAGAAGTAGTAGGTAACATAGGAGGTATTCAGCTCTCGGACACTAATGTCTCTGGGGACGTGATGAAAGTTAATATCTTAACCCTCTGAGATCCTTCGTTTTTCTACACTCAATCAGATCCCATTGGGTCAAATTTGAACCGTACGGGTTTCACTGTATAAAACCATGATAACGTAACAAAGTGACACAGATTTGAGTTTTATCTGCTTGGCCAACTTCAGACCAATCTATTGACACCAAGTTTATACTTATTGGTGGAATTTTTTGGTAGCATTTATTATAATAATATGAAATATGACCCCATTTATTATTTAATAAACAACAGAAATCATAGATTATGTCAAATGCAGTTCAAGCCAGGTGGGTGTTGGGGTGTGTCTGGACAGGTGTATAAGTGTGTTCATTGTGCTTGAGATCACAAGATTAGGACATACTGTTCAACAGCATCACTCAGTATCTTCCCAGGTCAAATTTGACTCGAAGGTCTGAAGTGCTATTAATAAACATTTTATTTTATTTGTAACTAGTGTCATTTTGAACTGCATCTTAGAGTTATCTTTTATCTAACTGGCAGAAATTTTATTTGTAAGCTAAGCGAAAACGGTTTCAGGTCAAATATGACCTGAAGGTCAAGCAAAGGATAAATAGCTTTCTTATGAGCATTACCAGGCGCTAACTTACACGCTTGTTTCATGATCGTCCTCTCTATATTCTGCCAAGTCTGGCCTGCATAGCTGGGCTCCAGGGGCAGAGCTTGCAGTTGTGACGTAGGAAATCTCACTGCGTCTGAGCCTGCCGTTAAGGTCTGTGACTGTCAGATATACTCAGAAAAGTAATTTCACACTTTCTTTTCTCATGATTTGTCCTATAGCATCAGAAAAATGCCATGTGAACATTTAGACAACAAGAAAAACATGATTTTCATCAGAGTGGGTCTTTAAGACATGGTTTGATGGCACAGTGTACTGTCAACTCATAATTTATATCATTTAGTTTGTAGTGCAGGCTGTAACCTTCAGCTCTAAGTCATTGTAAACTGTGAAATTCATATTGATGCTTTAACCAGCTTCTTATTCTGATGTTGACAGATTCAGCAGGATTCAGTGAGGAAATTAGAGCTACATGTGTGGTGTTCTGCCTGTTACCTAGTATAGGACAGTGCAGAAAAACACACAATGCATAAAAATCATCCATTATGTGACCGACTCTCATGATGCTTTAAATTATTGGTCCTCTACTGTGTCCTCCGCTGTGATTGTGCTGAATGTGTCACTTTACGATGTCATTTTGCTGACCTGTCTTTTTCTTCCTCAGGAGGTTCAGAATCTGCGATATCTGATGTAAGTCAACCCTCCATGACCATCACTTGATCAGAGCATGTTTGTGTAAACACAAGTTATTTGTGTACGCTGAAAGAGTTTGTGTGTTGCACTCTGATCCTGTTTTATATCTGTTTTTTTGCATCACCAGCTCCAGGTGCCATCCCTCAGCCCCTCCTCATCCAGCTGGTCGTGGGACCACGAGGAGGATCGAAGGCGTCAGGAGAAGTGGCAGGAAGAACAGGAGCGCCTCCTACAGGTGAAGGCAGAGCGTTTCACTCCACTCAGGAGGAAATCACTCCTTTTTATCTTAATCTCCACCTGATGTTTATAGCCGTTTGTGGTTTTTTTTTAGGAGCAGTATCAGCGGGATCAGGAGAGGCTCCAAGCTGAGTGGCAGAAGGCTGAAGAGGATGCATTGGTGCAGGTATGCAGAGAGACACTGAGGGGCCTTTTAACACTCTGTTTACCAGACTCACCATCTTTATTTGCACATAATTGCAATAAAAACTAATAATAATAAATTGATGGAATAGATAAACAACACATCAGTACACAAAATGAAAATTATAATGAATGAGATTTTTAAAAACCTTCCTTAAAATACCAAGACACATCATCCCCTGAACTTGTTCATCCATCTGACTCTTCCTCATCGAGGCTCTGAAGCAAAGCTAAAACCTCCATACTTGTCATGTTTGGGTCTCTTAAGTTTTAAATAAAGTTATAGCAAGATTTTAGCTTCACAGAGTTTAAAGTACAAAATAAACAACAGAGCAGGGAAAGAGCAGGAAAATGTAGCAAATAGAGAAATAAAACACCCTTTGTAAAAAGCACGAGTCAATTTGACTACGCTGGTTATTCGAGGTAGTTATACTCAGATTTTTTAAGTGTTTTGAAATTTTAGTGATAAAACAATGTTAGAGTAAAATACACACACATTTAGGAAAAGTCAGGGTGCGACTGGTATATGGGTTGTATTTAATAAAGTTATGACATTGTAAGTTTTGAAAGCAGTGAAAATGACTGTCTTGGTAGTTTGAGTGTTAAAAGCTGCATTTATATGTGTAATGGGATAATTATCATTTATAGTTTTCAGTAAAAAAATAAAGGCTGCAAATTCTGTACTTAAACCACAAAAAATAAAAATCATTTAGAGAACAAATTCATTTTTTCAAAGCACTTATATACTTAAAGTTCATGTTAAGTCGTGATAATGTGTTATTTATGACTTTGTATTGTAACAGGAACAAGTTTAGCTTTTACTGAGAACTACATCGTTCCTTTAATGCAGTTTTTAAACACCATAAGAACCGATCACATAACCGTTTTAAATTTTTATTCCCCCTTTTATCACGTACATAAAGAACACCTTTGCACCAGAGATGATAAATGGAGGTGCGGGTCCCTCCAGCACCCCTCTGCGTGTGAACGGATTGACAAAGAAAACAAGAGAAGAGGAGCGCAGCCCTGAGAGACATGAGCTGAGACAAGTCGGATCAAAGACTCAAAGTGATTTACAAGGAGCGCAAAGGAACAAGATCGATGAGCCGACCTGGTAAATAAAGTCCTCTTCTCCTTGTTTCTTGCACCCCCAGCATCATCAGCTCTTCCTACTTTTTGCTGAGTCATGTATATAAATAACTATTTTCTATTTTCAGTGCAGATATTGCTTTCAATCAAAATGAATATCAAGCATTTCTTAATACTGTTTTTTCTGATCTTTTCTACTCTTCTGCTGCACCTCCTGCTGCTTTGCTCCGCCCCTCAGGCCTGACGACTCCTGCGGCTTTGCTCAGCTGTCCCCTGCACACAGGTCAGGACTCAATGAGCCGAGTTCCCACTTGGTGTGGCTCAAGTGTCTACAGTTAAAAAGATATTAATATTTAGCTCTCTTGTGGTGTGGTGTGGTATTTGTCTGTAAAGCTTTGCAAAATGTAATATTAATAGCTACTTTTTCTGCCCCGTGAAAGGATAACTCTCTTCGAAGCCAACATCAGCATGCAAGAAGCCACTTGAAACCTCGTTTGCTCTAATTTTCGAGTAAATTAAGTGGAGCTTTTATTGATTTTTCTCCCTGTAGGGCAAAGTCCTTGTCTACCCCAGCATTAGCCGGTCTTCACAAACAAACAAAAGGTACGTTTTTTTGTTTTAGTCATAATACTGCCCTCTTTTCTGGTGATGTGCTGACCTCTCTCACTCTTATTGGCCCAGGTGAACAAAGGAAAAGTTTAGGACACACCGTGTCTCAGGTGGAGAAAGAGCGACAGCAAATTTTGGAGGAGATGAAGAAAAGGACTCAGCTGCTGACTGACAACAGCTGGATACGTCAGCGCAGCAGCAGCGTTTACAAAGAGCCCATCTATGTCGGGGTCCCTCTAAAGAGGTGGGTGCACCTGGACTAAGTGTGTACTGTAACTTGTGTGTTTTTTTTCCTCTCACAGTGCATCAAATGTGTCATTTTCATAAAGGTATGAGTCTCTGGATAACCTGGACAGTTTCCGCCAATCACCGGTCTTGAGCACCACGTTCAGTTATCCTCGTCCACACTCGGCTGCTGCAGGTTATTGTGCTCCCACCAGGAACTCATCCTCCCGCTACAGCACTGGATCAATGCAGAGAAACGCCGCCATGGACTCGATTCATCAAAGCAGGTTCGTTAAAAGACAAATCTAACTCCTGTTTCTCTTCAGTGTGTTCTTTCCTGTCTTATCAAACATTCTGGCCTGACTCTGTTAACATGTGCTGCCCCAGGATCAGTGGCAGGAGGACTTGCTGTGTGTGTGAGCGTCTTCTGGGTAGTGGGGCAGCCATGGTCATAGAGACCCTTAGTCTCTGCTTCCACCTGGCCTGTTTCCAGGTGAGAGGTTACGATCGGGTCATAGTCACAGTAGCTAATGAACCTGCTAGTTGTGAGTCCTTCTGTCTCTCACTGTTTTGGTGCAGGCTCACTGGGTACCACTGGGCATTCATCAACTTTTGTCAGCAAGCCATGTGAACTTGCAGATAAAAGTTGGACAGATATTCTGTTTTGGTGAAGAAATTCTTTTTTTTTTTTTTTTGCTGGGCACCAACACATTTTGCAGAATATTTTACTCATAAGGCCAGTGTTCATTGACTTGTTTTTGTGCACATGTAGTATTCCATTTGGTGCATAAAAGAGCAAAATTTGGAAACACCAGCAGGACATCCTATTTCAGAAAAGAAGTCTGAAAGCAACTGTAGCCACGTTTACATGTGCAAAATTTTTTGATCCGATTAAACATTTGAGGGATTGGATAATCTGAATCCACTCTTTATATGGGTGCAAAATCAAATATACATGCACCAAGCTTTATTCATATTAGAAGCATTTGGACATGCACAGAGTTGTCTAATTTCGCTAAAACAACCGCAGAAGAAGAAGAAGAGTTGTATTTACGCCTGTGCTGTCAACAAAACAACAAACGCGGTAGCGGTTCACTCCATCCAATTCAGGAGTTTTCCCCGGTTAAATGTTGTCACTAGATGGCGCCCTTTGCGCACTTATTTTACTGTTCTGTCAAAGGTTGCACTGTGCGTGCAGATGTGACATCATTACGCTGTTTGTACGCCTTGTTATGTTACCGAAGGAGCAGACACGGCACTCCCCCCTCCCTCCTTCGCCTCTGATTGGCTAGAAGTGCTGGGCTCTGATTGGTTATTCCTTATGGCTGTGAAACGTCATCGTCTGTTGGGTTAGGATACGGGTTAGGATTAGGAGATTCAGAAGTGTGATAATGTTCTATAATGTTCTGTTCGGTGTACAGAGCCGACAGCCCGCTTTTGGCTTGAGCGTGTGATGACATTTCCAGCTTTTCTAGCCAATCAGAGGCGAAGGAAGTGGGACTTTTCCCTACCATCCTGCAAAAAAATATATATATACCCTGTGGTTGTGTTTTATGCCAGAGTGTTAATAATGAAACCTGCACTGACCTCAATAAATAAGCTAAAGAGTGAAGATCGAGTCAGGTTAAAGAGTCACGATCGGAGTAAGTATTTACATGGACACGTTTCGGAATAACGGCAGAAACCACCCTTCTCGATCAGAAAACAATTTCTTTCCGATGGAGCTGAATTGGATCAGAATCTTCTGATTGACATGTTCAGATGGCGCATTTTTATTCTGATCGGGCATTTATTCCGATTATTTGTGCCCATGTAAACGCAGCTTTTGACCGTCTCTTTGAGTAACGTCAGAAGGACTCTTAAGGAGAAATCGAGTCCATGTAATTGCCACCATGAGCTTTCTGATTAAAGGCACCTGCTTGTAGAGTTTTTCCTGACACCTCTCCATGCTTCTGTCCTCCCTGTCTCTCACCTGGTGTGGTCAGGGGCCTTGTCTGTGGTATTTTTAGGTGTTGTCTGTGCATTTGGTTGGTTTAATGGTACACACCCACCTGCTGCCCTGCTTCACGTTTTAGTCGCCCACTGTGAAAATATCACTGGCTGAGCTAGCTGACTAAAGTTAATTTGCAAGTGTGTGTTAAAGCTGCTTCACTTCTTTAACCATCTGCCTGAAATGTGTTTCAGACGAACATAGCACTCAGAATAGTTCTTGTCTTATTTTGCAAGAAGAAAGCTAGATTCAGAGTTACGTTACGAAGGCCCAAAAGGCCCACGCTGCAGGGCGGCATTGTCTCCAGCAGTCCTGTAATCTTTTCCCACCTCTCCCTCCTCTCAGTGTGTGGGTTGCCAGCGACACCTCGGAGGAACCGAGACTGGAGTCCAGGTTCGAGTCCGAAACAGGAAGCCCTACTGTGAGCCCTGCTATTTTCAACTAAAGTGTGAGTACTGCTGAACAATGACTTCCACTTACCGTCACAGACACTCGTCAGGCGGTGCAGTTTCTGTGCCTCGTGTTTCTAGATTGAGATTCCTGACTCAATCAGACCGTCTGAATGCAGAAGATTGCATCAAAAACGACTCTCGTGACCAGTTTTCAGGCTCAAACTGAATGTACTAGTATTGGCCTTCATGTTGCACATTACTTGTCTGTGAAGTAATAATCAGAGTCTTGATCATTTTCATTTCAATCGTAGCTCCTTGTGGCCTCTCTAAGTGAGACAAACACCACACAGGATTACTGAGAAGCACCAGTAATCTGTGAGGATTTCTGCAGTGGGAGCACGAGGGGGCAACCATCATCCACACAGCCAAGCCACGACTTTTTATGTCCTACAGTAACTGCTTGGAAAAAGCGCAAACTCTTTTGTGTGATGTAAAATTTTACCACCTATGGACCCCCAGATAAATAATCCTCTACACAGCTGTTTCCTTTCAAATAATACGACACAGGACTTTGTTAGTTTCTCTCCCTCCTCATGCAAAAATTAAATGTAATATATGAAATAAAGATAATTGTTAGTGTTGCATAAATGCTGTTATTTTAATGGTAGTAGCTGTTTGTCATACTTGTTATTCCCCTATAGTGCACTAAACATATTGGACCATTATCATTAATGTAACTCATGTAACAGGGCACTGTTTTAAATTCCTGTACTGAAGCACTTTTCTTCTGCTATAATCTCACCAAGTGCACTCTGGGATTAATCAGTGGTGTGTGTGTAAGGTATGTATTTCTAACCAGAAAATGATCTTTGATGTTATTTGAATAAAATCCACAGAACATTATCTGTACGTGTTCATTCATTCATACGCCACATGGTGGCATCGTTGGTCTCTGATAAAACAGAAATGTCAAAGTCATTAAAGTCATCACATTTCTACCTTCAGTGTAATTATCGGATATTCAATCACCTTTGAAGCTACATATTTGATGGTTTGTGTATGTAGAGTCCCACTGGTGATGCTAGAGCGTGAGAACTTTGTGGCCTGCACTGATTCGACTTTGCATGACTGAATTACTTACTGATATTTACTTATCAAGCTTGAATAAACCTTAAGTGCATTTTCTAATATGTTTGGCTGTGCAACAACATTTATCAAGACTAGAAAAGAGCCAAAGCGCTCTGCTTATCTGCCCTTGAGTAAACTCTTGATTGTTTAAATATTTGAGGACTAGTGTATATTTTCTGAAGATTTAAGGTTTCTTTTCCCTCTTTTTATCAGACTCCACTGTAGATATGTTTGTTCATCGTACGTCTGGTTAAACAAAGAGCTTTTTATCATGAAATACTCCCCAAGACTATCGGTGTGTAGTGATTTGGTAATGCTACACGTGGACATTATCCAGATCTCACTGCTTTAAGGTTTGATTTTGAAAGCTCCTCCGTTTAATAAAGATTTATTCGCCTCTCTGAACTCCTCTGGCAGTTCACCCCGAGTCCACAGTGCCTTCCTGTCAACTTCTTTAAACACTTAAAAACCACTTTGGGTGATTTCATTTTCCATTTATAGATATTTAAGCAGTTCCCAGGATAACTTTGTAAACAGGACGTTGATTCTGATGAAGAAGAGGGCCCTTGTTACGCTTCGCTTCACATCAATTGCATGCATCTATTTTGTTTGGACATCAAACTAAGACTCCAAAATAAATAATGTTTCTTTGAAAGGACAAGTATGTCGCATGTCATTTGGTGTCACGGCCTTTACAGCCTTGACTTATTTGCAAACTTGGATATTTTGCAATGCACAGACTTGACAACAAATACTCAACATGACACATAAAAAAACAGACCAATCTTGAAAAGAGGCCACAAACTGTCATTTGCGTGTTTCAACGGGAAGTAAGTGAAATCTCTAAAAGGGAAGAGAGAGTTCTCTGTTTGCTGGATGTAAAATAAGAAAGTGTGAGGAAGTGAAATCTGCAACGAAAGGGTAAACTGTGCAGCAGAAAAAGAACTGCTGAAGTTATAAATGGCCACATGTCAACAAAAGTAGTTAATAAGTTATTGCTGACCTTCTGTTAGGTGTTACATACCGTTGTAATAATGCAGTCTATGTGTGGTTTTACAGCGCTCTGGAGTGGCACAGAGGCAGCTTTCGAAGCAGTATCTCATCCTGACGAGGAAGTTGGAATGCAAATTAGATTTGTAGCAGCTCGCGCAAACCTCACCGGGGCTCTTCCACCTGATGGTTTACCAAATGTCTGTCTGTATGCCACCTTTCAGCTTGATGAAGCCGGAACATCTGAAGTGAGAACAGGGAAGCTGCCACAAAGATGATATCCAGGTCACCCAGGCAGTGTCAACACGGTGGTTTCACTTAGGAGGAGTCATTTTTAGAGCTCTGTACTCTCTGTGGACCCTCTGAATAAAACTCCGATGTTTAACAGTGGTCATCCAACAGTCTTGGCCCTGATGGATGGAAATGTTTTCACTGTGACCTGCTCTCTGGGAGGGAGGGAGCGCTCAGCTCCCAAAAGGCACAAGCGGAGGAATATTTCAGATTCTGACATGCTCCATCTGTTGAAGATGACTCTTGTGACTGTAGCCTGACCCATATTAAATACCACATCATGTCAAGTAAGCCGGAAAGAGCGCAGGGTCAAAGAGAGCGGTCAGGCTCCGCATGCAGAGACATTAGTTACATCAGATTTAGCTTGAGAGGTGAAAGATTAACCAGATTAACTGAGCGGACCATGTTTACAGAACAGCTACATTGGACATTAATCTCAATGATAGCCACACACTCAATTCTTCTATTCCTTTAGTTTTAACCCGTATTATCTTCGCTGTATTAAAATGTATCTGAGTGAATTTTAAGCATTGTTATAGTTATGGTATTTTTAGTGTTTATCCCTTAGGTTACTTGAGATTTACTACTTCAGTGCCGTTAAAGCATCTATTATTGTATGAATGAATGAGAGATAATCTGTAAGGCCTAATGGAAGCACACTCTTTGACTGAAAGGTCACATAATGTGCACCAAGAAAACCATCTAAGCCACAAACAAGCTGACAGTTGTTGAGTAATGCTGGTTTCTCTGTATGTGCATGTGTTCCCAGACGGATACACATTTTTCAATGTACTGTTTCAACATAAATTAGTAACCATGAGACCCATGACAGCAGACATCTTTAGAAACACCACATAATCTTACAAAACAGCTACTGTTGCAGTTTTTTCTTGTGTAAGATGAGAGTCCAGAGCAGCCAAGGGGAAAATCATAACCCTGGTGTTTCTTTTTCTTTAAAAATCCTCTGAATTTTAAATGCATTGTTTCCACTGGGTTTGTAACCACTTATGATTTTATTTCTCCTAGGGGAAATTCCAACATCCACCAAAATTCCTTAATTATAGATCCATTTAAGAACTGTTTTACTTTAGAGGAAACTCTCTCCGCAAAGTTTCCTGGAGGAGTTTTCAGCACATATTTCATCATCTCGGTTCTCTGACCACTGGCTCTAAACAGATCCACTCTGTCTTGTTTTTTGTACATTGTCCTCTCACAAACTGGTTTCTCTTCCAGCACAAAAACCACCTCGTAAACTAAACGAGAAATAGACAGAGAAGTATCACAAACACTGAATGAACACTCACAGTTGAGTTAAATGTGTCAAACAGGAAAGTTAGAGGAAGTAGTTTCTAACCCCCTCTGTGTGCCTGTCAATCATATGTTATCAGTGCACTGTGACCCCACATTGGTTCGTCTATATCTGGAGGACACAGGAAGCAGTGAGGAAGACGTGGGTGTGTCTGTGCCTTACAGATATCTGGCGAGTGTCCTCTCTCTCTGTTCAAACATTGTCCAGAGCCCAAACAGAGAGAGAGAGGGAGAGAGAGAGGGAGAGGGCGGCTGACAAGAGATGTCCCGCCCAGCAGAGAAACAGGCGATGCAGACCTGGGATCTGTTTTTACAGCTTTCTGTCATGATGTTGGCCAAACTACAAGAAGGGAGGCCAAACAAGGTGAACACATTAGAAGGAATATTGTGTTTTATCTAACAGGAGTTAAACACACAGAGGTCCAGACATAAACTGATTCTCTGAGCCAAGCCCATAGACTGTATATACTATTGACAACCTGGTGAAAAAGCTCTCGGTAATTCCGTGTTTTTCTCCACTTCCTTGAAACCAGAGCTGCGCAGTAGCGATGCGAGCATTCGGCCGCGCAGTCGCCGAGTGTATCTCCCCGGGTGAGCTACTCAATCCCTGAACGTCCATAGGCTGTTCCAGGTGTCAATCATAGAAAACATGAACCCCCTAATAACTTTTAAAGACGGAGCTGTACAGAAAAAAAGGACTTGGGCACAAACCAGTCTGACAATAACTACATGTCAACATCACAAGCAGGGGGGAGAAAATTTATGTTCTGTTTAATAAATTTCTAAAGTTTGTCCACAGTCACATAAGTTTTGCTGGCGGAGGCGGGATTTATGACCTGAACTGCAGCCCACCATCAGAGGGTGCTGTTCTCGGAGTGGCAGACTCTGTCCATTCTTTATACAGTCTATGGCCAAGCCTCAGCCAGGGGCAGGTCCAGGGGTGGCCATATATCCCTTTACAAATGTGATTGGCCACCCCACATACTCAAACTACAACTTATAAATACAATAGCTTAAGGTTACATTACATTTTATTAGTTAAAGGTATGTATAGTATGTTAGTAGTACAACTACCACCATTATTCCTTGAGACCATGAACAATAGAAGTTTATCTTAAAGTCGTTCAAATACTTCAGCTTTGACCAAAGTGATGGACTAAATAACAGACTCACTTACATTTCCATCTGCCAAATTGTTCTTGTTAGCATTTTAGCTTGCGTATCTTAAAACCAGCGAACTGTTTGATTCAAACAGCTTGTTACATAACTCTTTTTTTTTTTAAAACATGTTTAAGGTGAAAGTTATATTTTTAAACCCATATTTTTACAGGTGCAGCTCAAAAAATTAGAATGTCTCCAAAAAAGTAATTTTTTCATGATTTAATTCAAAATTGTGAAACTTGAACATGTTTGAGATTGATCACACATGACTTTCTTTTTGTTTAAATCAATGATTATGGCTTATAGCTCATGAAAAAATACACTATCTCATAGCATTAGAATTTGTGGAAACACTGATCATAAAAACAGTTGTGACATAAATATATTGATTTCCTGGAAATGTTATTTATGGACTCAGTACTTGATCTGGGCTCCTTTTGCACTAATCACTGCATCAATGCCACGAGGCATGGAGTCGATCAGTCTGTAGCTCTGCTGGGGTGTTATGGAAACTCAGGGGGCTTTGATAGCGGTCTCATCTGTACTGTTGGCTCTGGTGTCTCTCATCTGTCTGTTGAAAGGAATCAAGAGACTCTCTATGGGGTTCAGGTCAGGTGAGTTGGCTGGTGCATCTGGACAGTTGTCCAGAAGAGGATCTTTTGTTGTCAGCAGTTTTCCTCATGACTTTGGTTAAAGGCTCGGTAAACCTTTACAGGTGTTTAGAGTTAATTATCTGATTAAAGCTGTTTTCAGGACAAGAAACTGGACTTTTCCACAATATTCTAATATTTTGAGATGGTGGACTTTGGGAGTTGTAAACTGTGATTATCAAGATTCAAACAAAAAAAAAAAGTCTTGAAACATTTCACTTTGTGTGTGATGAATCCAGAATATGCTGTAAGGGAGTTTTGTTTTATGTTTTTATGAACTTTTTCTGGGACATTTATTCAGCTGCGCCTCTATGATTAGGTCTGTCAGTGACTTTGAGGACTGCTCTAGTTGTTAACATCATTAAGCAGCAGCAACACTGATGTAATGGCTTCAGTGTAATATTGTGGGGCCAAAATAAATTAGCATAAATCCAGTAGAAGTACTTTTGTTACTTACAGGCTCAGATTGTAAATGTGATGAATTCCAGAGGTAATGAGGTGAGAACAAACCAATCAGGACTTACAAGTTGCAAAACTGAGCCCTGGAGTTAGCCTAACTTTCTTGTCTGTAATTGAACCAAAGGGTTACACTGTAGCTGTTAAAGCTGTGGTACTGCAGCACACTGAAGCAAAATACTTATCTGGATGTTTAAATAAAGGGCCAAGTTAGATCATCCAGATAATCTCTTTTGGAAAGATCAGTCTTGAAATTTATATGGAGATTGAAAACAGGTCTGGCTGCAAAAGTAAACAAATGCATGAGTTTGGAGGAGTGTTTTAAGTGGTGATACTTTGTGTGGTGTCACCAGAGAAAAAGGAGGTTTTGTTATACAATTGTACAAGGACTTAAAAAAGCAGGGACTTATTATTCATGAAACGACATCTCAGCTCCTGTAACGTACAAACAGAGGAAGGTGGTTCAGGGTTTGACTCTGAATCAGCTTCCTCCACATCTTGCCCTTTCAGACGGTCTGAGACGGAGGTAAGGAGGGGAGGGGGGGTTGCACTTGTTGTGAAAGGAAGCCTGCCGCAACCACAGCAGGGGAGGAGGATGCTCGTTCTCTTTCTCTGTGTTCCCTGCAGCTGATTGATGCTGGCAGCCTTTTACCTTTCAGTTTACCGGCACAGTGCATGGCTCGGCTTTGTCACTGGGAGCTGAACCAATCTCCGGCCTGCTGCTGGGTGCAGAGAGCAGCTCAGTAGAGACTGGCATTTACACCCACCCTCTACCCAACCAACCTACACAGAGTAGGCAGAGGGAGAGTTTCAAGTCAGGAAGATAGAGGCCGTGTCCTTAGAAGAGACAGATAACACAGTCACAGGAGAATCTTAGATTTAAATCTGTCTGATGAACATCCTGCTGAGAGAGCATGACTGAAGACTTGAAGGTGTTTAAAACACAAAAAAAAGGTTTATAACAAGCAAAGTCAAACTCCAAAGGAATCATACAGATATTTTTAATTGTAAAACTTGTTTAACTCTTGATTTATTTCACTCATTTCTGTTTTTGAGTTGGTTGCAATTCATGAAGGACCTTAAAAAAAAAGCAGAGCCATGGCTGTAATCCTATCAAGAGTGGCCCCAAAACAACTTTTCATCCTGTATTTTCTTCTTTTTTATTCTCAGTACTTAAAATTTTAAACTTAAAGCTCCTGATGTTTAAAAGTTAATGAAATGGACTAAAATTCAAACCCATGTCTTTTCATGGTATCTCAAAGCAAACAGGACCATCAGTGACTAGATTAAAAATTTGTATCTGTATCTGTAATTATTACTTCACAGAAGTGGTGTGAAGGGGTATGTGTCAGCCAAGCAGCTGAAAAACAGCACTGAGAAAAAATTTCATAATAAAGATTCACAATAAATGATCCATTTGATTGTCAAAAGTCACTACTTAAGTCTGTAGAGGGGGAAAAAACAGGGACTATTTTGATCATATGGAGGGGTCAAAATTTACACAAACCAAAAGCTCCTCACGGGAGCTTTAAACTAAGTAATTTATTATTATTATTATTATTATTATTATTATTATTATTATTATTATTATAAATGACTTAGTTTAAAGCTCCTCACGGATTTTTTATTATTATTATTATTATTAATAATAATAATAATAATAATAATAATAATAATAATAATAATAATAATAATGAATTATCATTGTTATTTTTGTTATGTTGTTATTATTTATTATTATTATTATTATTATTTATTTATTTGTTTTAATTATTTTTTGGAGCAATTTTCCCTTTATTGATAGTACAAGGTGAAATGTGGGGAGGTAGAGAGAGATTGGGGAGGATATGGAGCATATGGTCAGGGCTGAACTCGAGTCCGTGACCTCTGGGTGGACCGTGGTCATCATGCGTGGGGCGCGCTAACCCGCTCGGTCATCTGCGTGCCCCCAAGTAATTTTTTTTTTGTATTGGTCTCTTGCGTACAGGTTCTTACTTGATTTGAGTCAGCTGCAATAAAATCAACTCATATATGGTATAATTAAAATAAGAAGCTGTGTTCATGGCAGGTTGATGCCATATATTTGAATAAGAAAACAAACAAAAAGAAAATGAAATTATAACTATGTGCGTTTTTTTCTTTCATGTGCCAGGAAAAATTAAATGATGTACCCCTATATTCTCCTCAGGACGTTCTTTTATGGTGTAGTACATTTGTGCGCCCTCAGTCAGGAGAGCCGCTCATGCACAAAAGCTTGTTGAGCTTCTGTTTGTGTATCTTGTCTTGCAGGGATTTAGAGGGTAATAAAATAAAGAGACTTATATAGGCTGCCCTTCATAGAGTCCTTCACAGAGATGGAAGTTGGGATCAAAATTTATTACAGCCTTCATTCCCTACATCTCACTTCACCTCAAACCAAGATTATATTTGACATATACTCAACTACAGTGTGAGCACATTCAAAACAAAACTGGGAAACAGGAATTCAAGAATAACCTGTTGTGTTTCTGTTTCACTGCTTTTCGCTTCAGTGGAAATGAGGTCATTTAAAGTTCTGGTCCATCATAATAATAACAGAACTGTCAAATTGTAAAACTGTATGATGCCATAGTTTGAGAGGTATCCATGTCAAATTCCTCCAGATTACTGTGTCACGATTCAAGAGTGTAGCTGGGGTTTGCATTTTGCTAACTCTGCCACACTGCTGCTCAGGGGGAGGATTAGTGAAAGGGGAAGTTTGTGTTCTTGTGAAAGTGCCAACAGAGTTTAGAAAGACAATTTTAAAGGTCACAATCATCATGGTGATTTTCACAATGGTGGGGCGCAAAAGACACAGAAGGACATTTCTTTATAAGCTGAACAGGATTCTGAGAGCTGTTAATGATTCAAGAGCTGCATGGATCCTTTATGGTTTCAGTGCCAGGTAACACTGACGCCTAAATGAGCTAACGATGTGTTCAGGTAGTGAGCAAACACTGAGAGTTTGTTCTGATACTAGCAAGAGACGATGGTCTCTCACCGTATGTACTCTTTTTATTAGCAGTCAATCTTTGCAAAGCAGCTTTGTTCAAACACTGAAGTGTTTACTGTCATAACAAGACAATGGAAGAGAATACAGAGCTTTCAAAATGCCTTTTACTGGGACAAGTGAGTGGATAATCAATTTTAATAAAAGTTGAAGATGTCTTTGTATTTAAGGTTATATTGGTTAAAGTAATAGCGCATCATTTTCACAAATACAAGTATTTGCTGTCTTTCCCAGGAAAAGAGAAAGAAGCTTTCCATGGGTGTGTGGTAAATTCAAAGCTACACCCAACAAGCAATTAATCTAGCTTATAAACATATTGGCATGTTATATCTTTTTTATCAACCTCTTTAAGAACTGAGAAAAAGGCCAATATTTAAAGAAGTGTTTTATCCACTGGCTGATTAGTCTGGCCATTTTTGATCAGACAGACTTCCATCCAGCCTCACTTAGTCAAGTACAAATACAGTATTTATCTGCAAGCTAATAGTTTTAGGCCAAACATGCGTCAGTGAGATTCGTTTTTAAAGCAGAGTTTTGAAGCCTTGCAATGACCATATTGGAAATGGGGACTCAACCAGAATTTGATTGGGTAAGTCAGGTGTGCCCCTTATCATGCCTTATTGCACCAAAACTTAAAAAAAATAAGTCATATAGAGAAATCCGCTCTGAACATTATGTATCAACGGGTAAATGGACAATCTGGCTCAAACCAGTTTTTTACCAGGCTGCAAACATGATTGTATCTGATGCAAAGATGGCCTCTTTTGATATGAGTGTTTGGGGTTTCCTTGGCGTCAAGTGCCTCAAGTGGACACTTAAGGAGCTGCACATTTTTAGCACTTTCTCATAAGCAGAAATGTTAGTCGCAGCAAGGTTTAAGCACTATTTTCATTATCAACCAAGATAGCTGCCACTGATATTGAGATGCAACACCATCAGGGAGCCACTGACCTGGTGGTCTGAGTGTGGCTAGGCCTCAGGTTCCATATGCCGCTTCCTGCTTTCCCTCTCAAAACCAAAAAAAGAATTGGAAAAAGACTTCCAGCACAACCCTGTGAGTTTTGATTTAATCTATCTTAATCTAGCTCACATCAGCCAGTTTATTTCCATTTTCAGGGCATGTGGGTCAGAAACTGCTGCCATCATGAATGTTTTACCTTGGTGTCAGATAGACTAGACCGATCATAATCCTTTATTTAAGATGACAACATAGGAGCATTGCTACAACCAAGATGGCAGGTCCATTTAAGTACCAGGTTATTCATTAAAACGGGAACAAATAATGGTCATACACAACAGCATTAATTGGTGATAAATACACACTTATTTCCTCTGCATGCAGCTGCCTGTGCCCGTTACTGTTGCTATGCACTTCATCGCATGCTGTGTTAATCTGATTGGTTGTGGGTCCAGCGGCACTATCATATGCAACCGTTGTTAACCCCCAAGAAAAATTGAATGTACTGAGTGTTTCCAGACCTATTCTGATGACGTCAGGCAACATCTCAGAAAAAAGGTAACCCAGCAGCATTATTAACTGAATCTTTGAGCGAGCTGCTCTGCCTTCCTAGCAGCTTTTCTCCTCCTCCTCCAGTTTATTGTCTGTGATGAATCAGTTTGACAGCTTTTCAACATCAGAAATAAAGTGACAGATTCACAACCAAATCCTTTACAGTCTCAATACAACAATAACTGTGGATTAGTATGTGTCATCACTGAGCCTCAGTGAATTTGCAGATTGATATACTGTAGGTAAGGGGTTAGCAAATTGTTTCCAACTGAGCTTTAGTATATCAGTATTGATATATGCAAATGTAATGGGACAGTTACAGTACAGGCTGTGTAAATGGGACACTTGAGAAAACACTGAGATGAAGAGAAAATGTTCCCACATTTAACCAAATAGCATCATCGTCTATTTTCTGCTTTCACACCTGATCTAAACAAGATGAATCACGACTTGAATTATTTACCCATGTGCTGTTCTCTCTGTAAACACTGTGAATCTGATTATTTACCAGAATAGCAGGAAAAATAATAAAAGAAATTAGCAATGTTAAAGTGTTGCAGGTCACAGTGACTGTAGGCAGAGACTATGCAAGGAAGTGTGAAAGATTTAGCACATTGAGTCGGCTCTGAAAAAAAGCCAGCATGTCTGTGTTATCTCCAACTCTGCAAATTGGCTAATTTGGCTCTCTTTATCTGTCCCCCTCCTGCGCTCTGTGTGTGTTTGCGTTTGTGTGTTTGCGTATGTGTGTGCACATCTTTAGCATTTGGCAGGGAGAGTTTTTGAGTAGAAGAAAATCAAGGCATACATCAAGTGAAATGTGCTTCGGAGGTGTTTTTATCACCAAGGACACGGTCTACACTCACACAACAAGGTCTGTGTTAGATATAGCTGTTTGGCAGGGGACTCATCAACGCCTGAGAGGAACCAAAAAAGGACATTTTAATTTAATGGAGGGCTTTGTGTGTCTTTTCACTGACGTTGTCCAATTGTTCAATAAGGCGTTAGTGTGATGCAGAGTATTTTCTGTTTTTGGGGGCTTCATTGTCTATCAGAGCTGTTTTCTTTTTGCAAACAGGGAGGACTAGTATATGTGATTATGCCGAGGACAGGAAGCTCTACAAGTCGTGTTTCTTGTACACATACTGAAGGAAGAGTTGTGGTCGATCCTTCCTATTTCCTGTCCAGATGGCAGAATCAGCTGACAGCAGATACCAGGTCTCTGCCTATCTTTGAAGCTCTGATGAAGCTCATTGGCGGCAGGAGTGTGCGTGGGAGGTTGGTGTTCGGCTATTGTTCGTGTAAGATGTCTTCTTCATGTTATTTTGAAAAAGAATCCCCCGTAATATATTTCACAGTTTGAGCTTCAGTGCTTGTGGGAATTTGATGAAAAAATGATTCACTCTGCAGATTTTTTCGTCCTTTTTTAACACGTTCAAGTGCCCTCTAACACAGCCCACGCGAAGCCTTTTTTTAATTTATTTTTTTTTTGCATTAGACTTGATCCAGGGATAGCATGGATTTGTGCCCCAGGATCTCACAAGGGAGCAGACATTTGATTACTGTACTTGTCAGCCAACGAGAAACCCCTACCTCCTCCTCCTCTTTCCCATCCTGCCCAGGGGAGATAACAGAGCTCCTCTGTGTTGCAGAGAAGAACATTTATGTGCTCTGCCAGATCCCCAACCAAACTGCTGCTGGCCAACATTTGTTTTAATTTTAGCTGGGACTGGACATTAAAATCTCCTCCTACTGTGAATGAAGTAACGGAAAGAGGGAGGTGGAAATGTATAAAACTCAGAGCACACAGAACTAGGAGGAGTGTGATGAATCACCATCAAAAAAAGAAAGAAGCAAAGATCGATGTTTGGAAACGAGCAAAATGAACATGGAGTTTTGAAATAGGAAAATTCATCTACAGTCCTGTATCGATTGATTCTAAAACCACATATTCTACTGGAGGACACGTTTCTTTGTCTTTGATTTTGATTCTGTTAATTTAGTTTGAAAAACACTGATAACAGTATATTATGACAAGAGTCTCTTCCAAGACCTTTAGTGGCGTTATAGTCCTCTGAGACTGTAGCACAATCTGCAGGGTTGGTGAATTTTCCCTTGTAAAGTATCCAAAAGTGAGGTCAGAGAGTCCGATGGCTGAAAGGGAATCCCCCGCTCACTGAAAACATCTGAAATACTTTTTTTTCAACACAGAAGCCAACATGAATGGTCATGTAGACTTCTACAATGTGTGTGTTTTGGCTAAGCTTAAAAATTTGCAGGATACAGGTGCGAAGAAACCATATGTCCACGTAGATTCTCATTCATCCAGGTCATGGTTTTCTTGAAGACTCCAAAAACAGGCAACGTTGCCTGTTTTTGGAGTCTTCAAGAAGAAACCATATCTTGCTACTATCCTATCACCAGTGTTCAACTCAAAACAAATCAAGATTAATGAGGTGTATAGTGTTAGTCAACGTCACACTTTATTTGCTGCAGCTTTACAGGGAAAACAGCCACAAAGAGGTCACAAAAGACACACATTGCATTCAAAAAAGTCCAAATGTGTAATTGTAAAAGCAGTGACACTTCATGTGTGATCCATTAATCAGATTAAACAAACAGACCTTTACAGGAATTACCCAAAGAAGCAACTTACTGCCTTTATTATCCATTAATCCCCAGAGTACTTTAAAGGAGTATACGGGTCAAAGCCAGACCTATCATTAGACTATTTACAGTACACATGTCCAAGTTAATGTGTTCAAAATACCCAACTTTGTGCTATGAAAACAAAATGCAAGAACAACACATAAAAAAAGAAACCAGCTTAAATGACATTGATAAATTATCCGTGTCTTTTACTGTGTTTATGGAGGCAGTAAAGGGCCACAGTAAAATGCCTCACATAGTTTGGCACCTAAGCATCAAACAGTACTTTTGTCTAACCAATCAGATTGCAGTCTGGGGTTTGAAGGAAGTCTTTCTCACGGTGAATTTGAGGGAAACATAGCAAGCAAGTTAAAGTCTGGCTTCTTTCATGCTGAGCAGAATAAAAATAAAAGAATAAAAAGAAAACTTAAACTACAAACTGGCAGGTCATGTTTATCAGTGTACAGGTTGTTATAACTGCTAACTTAGTTAAAATGAGTGGTTAACATGAAAGCACTCTTGATGTTTTCAGTCCAGTTCATCGGCAGAAGACATACTCGGTGTAGCTGGTCCATAGTTTGTCCTCCCCTGGGTCGTTACTGCCGTACGAGCAGGTCCCAGTGGAGTTACAGGCCACCATATGGAAACCAGCGTCCGCCAGTCGGTCAAACGCCTGCTCCAGAAAGTTATACTTGAGGTAGTACCTGGCGGTGTATTTATCAGGAGGACGGTCCGGGTCACGACTCTCGTTCAGGGTGTCTCCAAACACCTCTTTAGCCAGAGATATCTTACTGCAGACGGTTATTCTTGCCACCCTGCGGAATTTAGCGTCTGCCTGGATGTCCCTCCCGATAGTGTAGCTGCCTCTGTACCCGATGGTGATGAAGCCCGAGTTGGCCGCCGACCCCGGGGAGCGCGGTGTTCGATCCGAGGACGAGGAGGAGGTGACCGGGCTAGACAGCAGCTCAGCCTCCTCCGGCTCCCCGCTGTCCTCCGAGCTGTCTTTGCTGTCTACTGCGAGGAGCCTCGAAAGCCCCGGCAGCCTGTAGTAGTCTGCTTCCTTCTGCAGCCTCCTCTTTTCCTTGAAAAACTCGGGCAGGAAAAGCTCCGAGTCTCGCAAGTAGTCCAAGATGTAGCGGAAGAGAAAGCCGTCCCGGTCGAAGAAGAAACGGCCCTTACTGTCTTTTGGCAAATCGCCCGAGGAGCTCTGGGTGAACTTTGTCCACAGGAGAGAGTTTGGGACCGCTGTGAGAGTCTCAAGTCGGGTCACATACACCTGGCCACCCACGTTCAGCTCCACTATCTCAGGGAAACTCTGGCTGTAGGTCTGTGCCATGTTTCTGTTTTAAATACTGTAAGTCCGTCTTGTATCCCTGTAGGCGCCTAACTGGTACTCCTCACTGTACAGAAATGTTTGTATTGGTTTGTCTGTGTGGGAGGAGAAAAAAAGGACGGCCAGCACACAGAGACATTAACTGTTCACTGGAAAGCCTAGAGTAAAAAACGCTGCCTTCAGTGTTCAGTGTGAGCCAATGAAGACTTACATTTCAAACATGATGATAGCCTGCCATTAATGGATGCAAGTTTAACCCTTTTTGCTCTGTTACCAAGGATCCTCTGAGAAGTTTTTAATTTAATAGCCTAAATAACTCTTTAGCTAATAAACACAAGCCAAGCTCTAGCAACTATAATCTTAAATCCCAATATTTTCCCTTTTGACCGAATCAAGAGAACATTCACTTTTTCTCTGGCACTGGATTCCTTAAGAGAAAAACTGTACAGACAAAAATAAACACTGGCTCTATGCAGCATTTATGTGAACATGCCTATTTTCATTCTGTCAAAACATTACTGTATTAGTGGATGGAACAACAGCTTCCCAACAGTGACACCAAAACATCCAAAGGCAAACCTCATAAAGGTCGCCTACCCTGTAATGCGGCGTTTAAGTTACCCAGTATTTCCACTGCAACCGCCGATTTTCACCAATTCCTACCAGATCCATTTGTGAGACGAATTTCTTGGCGCATACGGACAGCAGGAATCGTGAGAACTCACGAGAACCCATGGATTCACTTGCAATCACGAAATAACAAGTTGTCTTAAGCCACATAGGCTAACCATATAAGCAGTAGATTGTGTCCTTTCAGAGGAGGAAATCTACTTTTAGACCTTTAAAATCAGCGTTCTCTCATCAATGGTGTCATCAGAATGAAATGCTGTCCATAAACCTTCCACTTGTTCGTCCCCACCTATTTGCATTGTGTGAAATGTGATCCGCCTGAAACCAAAGTGTTTTATTTTACAAAGAAGTTGTGCTGTGCGATTTTATTTTGTGTCTGTGCCCGACTTCCTTTGTGCTGAATTTATCCGGCATGCTTCGGTGTCCAGAAAAAAAAACAGAATTCTTGCGACCAGCTGCGGAGTCTGGCGATCTGCAGCGGAACGGAAAGAAGCCCGCGGAAATGGACACATTAACTTGAATGGTTACGATCAGCTACAATCGGTGGATATGACCTTTTTGTAGCTGTTCTGGATGCGGTGAAAATTGCTGGTTACCTCGGTAGTCAGATGTCAGAGCTGAAAATGACGTCACACCCGAGTTCCCAGCGTTTCAGTTACCAAGTCGGAAAAAAGCAAAATCGGAGGCCTGAAACAAGATGGCTACATCTACGAAAGTTATTATAGCGCTTGCCTTACATTCGGACAAGACAGGCGCTAAAATGACTTTCATAGATGTATCATCTAGTTTCCGCCTCTGACTTAGTAACTAAAACGCTGGGAACTTGGGTGTGACATCAGTTTCAGCTTGGACCTCTGACTTTTGAGGTAACTTGAACGCAACATAATAAGTGAAAAACTGGAAAATCTAATGGCTAACTGAACTGTACTGAACACTAGCATAAGATTTATTGTGCGCACCCTAGCTTAATCAACTCCAGAGTCTGTTCCTCTGATGACTGTATCGATGAGAGGTCTTTAATGTGTAATCAGTATGTTAAAGTAAAGTGCTTTAAATGTGCATTTTGGTTAGGAGGAAGGGTGTGACATCAAAACCACAGTGATACCAGCACACTTCTTGGCTCAAATTAAGTTAAAATGCCTCGAAAAAGGTTTCGTGCCAGCTCAGGTCATGCAGACTGAGAGGTAAAGAGACAGTTGAGACGGGCGATTCAACTCCTTCCTAACAGCTACTGTGTTCCTGCTGTTCAGTCGACTCACCTTATGCCAAAGTCATAACCTCAATGCTTCAAAACTAATGAGTGATGATATTTTTTAACAAGGCTATTAGCGTGTTTGTTTTGGCAGGTAGGCTTTGTTTTAAATGGGTGTCATTGTGTCAGTGGCCTCCAGGACTTTTGCAGCCAGTCTCAAAAGGACACGAGGAACGACAGTTTTAACACTTCCTCAAAAGCTTCATTTCCCAAGACTAGAGACTGATGGTTGGTCAGTAATTACACCCTGTTGGAGTTACTCACTTTGTTTTCATGACACAGCGAGATCAAGTATATGAGAACTTTTGTAGATCAGACTAATGTAAGGTAAATATTGTTATTGCCTGCTGGTTCTACATTATGACAGCTTTATGAATCAATCAATCAATCTTTATTTATTAAGCGCCACTTCATAAGAAGAGTTACCCCATGATGCTTAACAAGAAAAAGTAAGTGCTTCAAAGTGCTTTAAGTGAAGTAAAGTTTTCTTGTACAAAAGGTCAAGACACAACATATTATCATGTGTATAAACTCTACTTGGCATGTCTGTCAAGATGATATTTTTGCATCTTTAATTACCAAGAGGCAGATAAGTTGGAGGTATAAAGCTAACAGTGTTAAGGAAACCATAGCAACTGTCTAATCATTTTGTTTATGAAGCAGAAGGATAAATTTAGCATCATATGCCATGTGAAGGGGGTGGAATGTTTATGGTTAGACATAAAGTTTGACCTTCGTGCGATTAAGTTGGTGACCTGGAGGTTTTGATCATATTGCATAAGGAGGCAATGCTACATTATGTTTAACAGGAACAATTATGTGTTTTTCTGTAAGAGACATGAAAACTTTGCCCAAGATTCTTGTTTTAGAGATAAAATGTAAGGCCTTACTTCTTACCAGAGAAGCCAAAGTTGTTCCGAAGAGACGAGGTCGTGTAAGGATGTCTGCCGTTTTTCGTTACCTTCCCTGCTCTGAAAAAACAGACAAACAGTCATATGATACGTTAAAACCCTCAACAAAAGTTTTGAAAAAGCTGGTTAAATGTCTTTTCTGTGTCTCCAAAACTATTTGATAAGAGGCTGTGCTTTTCTTCAAACCTGCACAACTCTTAACTCAAGATCGACTTCAGCTCAGCACCAAAGGGCTCTTTGATCTGTTCCTGAAGTGCAGAGTTCGCTCTATTCATATTTCAGGCCACACAGCAGTGTTTCTTCTCACAAGGACCACTGACATCATAATCTGACAGGGATGTAATCAGTCCGTCGACTCGCACGATACACAAGAAGCATCAGCGACTTGTATCAGATAAAGTAGACACGATCCATCTAGAGGAAAACTGTATCATTATCTTCATAAACAAGAAACAAACCCACACAGATACAACTTCAGCTATCAGATATGATTCACTGACATCAAACTAAGCAGAATGGTTGCATTTTAAATGATGAATTTTGATCAAACTGGTTGGGAAGTATAAATGAGACATATCTGATCTTTTTACGAACACTGCAGCTCATGTTGCCTAAAGTTTTGTCATCAGTTTTAATTCTGAGATGCAAAACCTGATCTTAATCTGTTGAACACCACCATTTTTATCAGCTCACACATTGTAGTGTTTAACTGAGTATAGTCTACTAAATCGTGGCCCAATATTAGCAGCTAAAGTTCTGGCTTTGTAGCTCAAACAGACATCTGTCACTGTTTTTCCTCATGTTGATAGTTAAATCCGTGGTCCACACTGACATCTAGTGGACAATACATGAAGCAGCAGCTTGTTGTTTGTGTCCTCCTGGAACAAAGATGTTATATCTGATCCATGCTTAAGACTGCTTGTCATCACTTACAGGTGATAAAAGAAGTAGCTTAGAGGGATTTATGACTCTGACATTTCCGACCACAAACTGATGTACAAGAATTGAAAAGAAAGAGTTTTGTTTCCGTTCTTTCTTTGTCGACTTGAATAATAAGAGCTTGCATGTTTTTCCTGGACGCACTCAGAGAAAAGTTAAATCGTAAACCCGTCTTGTTATGAGAAAATAAAAGTCTCCTCCGCTCTCCTTTTCTCTTCTGGCACAGTACGGTTTAAATTAGAGTCCTCTTTCCACTCTTGACCTCATGTTCGTGTCTTCTCTGTGGATTTTATTTCCCTCTCTCACAGTCTGGCTGAGGATAATTGGAGGTTGTTAAGTTGAGCCTTGTGGCTACTTCTAAAAAATATGAAGGTCAAGAGATAGAGCCACACTTCAATCTTTATATGAGTTCAGTCATGTGTGTTTTCAGTTTATGTTTCTTTCCTGTAGTGTGTCTTTTTGTTTTTCTGGTGTCAAAACTCGTGTTGGGTAAGATTTATATTTTAGAAATATATAAAAAACACATGTTGGAAGTTTGTAGGCTAAAATCACTGTTAAAAATTGATCAACCTCTGGGAGACAGTTTTGAGAAATTTAAAGATTTGAATGTTTCTTTTAATATTTTACAGTATAAAGCCTGCAGTGGTTTAGAAAGTCCCAGATGTTTTACTCAAATAAGCGCACCTCTTAAACCTTGTCAAGATAATCAACAGTTTATTGTTCTGTATTTAAAATCCCTCCAAAGATTAATCAAATAAAATGAATTATTATTATTATTATTAATTGTGTTTTGTCTTTTTTGTAACCATCAAACGGTTACTGGTGTAAACATTTCTAGTTGTCTCATGAGTTAGGCTGAAATTTAAATCAGAAAACATGCAGGGAATTTATGAACTTATGAGCTTTCTTAAAGTCAGTAGTTGGGTGTAATTTTGGAATTGGCTCGTAAAACGTCCTTGTGGAAATTGCCAGGATTCATTTTTTTAAATATTTGGCTCCACCTAGTGGTAAATACACAAATCAACTGAGATAAATGGATGGATAGATAGATAGATAGATGGACTCATTCATGAGCTTTTTGTGTATGTTTTGAACGGTGACACATTATACATATTTGAAAGACACAACAACAACAAAATACACATTTTCTGAGGCCAACCTTCAAAATAAAAGCTGAAGATAGTAAAAAGAGGGAAACAAAAGGCCATCCAAGCCTGAGAGTGTTTTGAGTTGCTTTGATTTTGCTCCTCTGTTCTCGAAATGTGTTTATACAAGGTTATATGTGACGTTGTGCGTGTGCTTGTATTATAACCAGTCCTTCACTCTGAGCCGTCATGTGACCTCCTGTGTGTGACATACGGTGGCCTCTCTGATGCGACTCTCAGATAAACACTGTCACTCTGCTGTGTGCTGGAGTGTGACCCCTTCAACGCGTTCACTGAGCTCTCTACAGCAGCCAACCATCATCCACATGCTGTCTCCCCCCCACCACCAACCTCGCTCTCACCTAGCTCCCCTCCAGTGCTCCTGTCTGACACACGCACTGAGACAAGAAGCAGAAATCTTCTATTTATTCTCTGTCAACACTCATCTTTACTCTCTTTCTTTTTCTACAAAGCACACTCAGGCTTTTGGTGCTATTGAAGTACATCTGTAGTCTAATAGAATTGAATGCTTTCCCTGAAGGGCATCGCTGCACACATTCAGGTAACTGATCTTGATGTTTTGAGGAAAAAAACTTGATTAAATAAATGCTTTTACAGGAAGAGGTTTGTGATGAAGTGGGGAGAGGTATGTCCCTGAATCAGGCAGCAGATGTGTAATGTGAATATAGAGCTCAGTGTTGCTGTGTGCAGACTAAAGAAAGTATAAATTTGAACTGTGGAGAAGGAAAGATACATCATGGATATATGTGATAGGATGAGGAATATAAAATGATTTCACTCATGTTTTTCACCTTGCTTGAATCGTTGAATCCTTGTCTATGAATCTTTACGAAATTATTTAAACTAACAAACTCCCCACAAACCTGCTGACTGTAAAAACATACGAACTTGAACACTGATATAAACTTTGAAATTAATAAGCTATTAATGTAGGTAAGCAAAATTATTTAATCAGGCTTTTCAGTTACAGTATCTGATATTTTTTCGGTCGGTGTGAAAAAGCAGTGAGGACAATTGTGACAGATTAAAACCTTCTCTGTATTATTTCTTTATTAAAACTGGTTTGCATTTGGACTTTATATGTTTATGACCACCAAATCACATTCAACATCCATTTTGTCTCCTTGGACCTGTGAAATCACTATGACCCATGTCTGCATAGAGAAAATGTTCCCAGAAAAACTTGCTGTTTTGCTGCATCAATTAAGCTTTTTACCAATTGCTCGACTTGCCCCCGAGCGAGTATCTAACTGCGTCTGCTCGCTGCGCGGTGCTGAGCAGAGAGCACTGTGGATTTTGTTAAATTACCCTCAAACCAAGTCATAGACTATTAACTCAGATTCCCCCCACTCTTTGTTTATTTTTGCATCTATTCATTATCTTAACTACACTTACAACTGAGCTGCTAAAATTGCCTCATTGTGTCTGATGGTGGGAAGGAACATAATGAATACAGCTGTGTAATCCCTGTCAGCTGTTAGCCAGAATGTTATTATCAATTACTTAGAGCACTAAGCCAACAACACATTAGTGAGACCTGTGTTACCTGTAATACCTATGGTTGTAATTTAACAACAAGTCCCATTATATCTACAATCCTATCTTTGATATAATGACACAGATGCCCAAAATTAACTTTTAAAAGCTCTGAAGTGACAAGAATATCTTTGGTGTGTCCTCAGTCTAAAGTAAAAAAGGTTTTCATTCATCGTGTGACTCCTTATATATCACTAATAAATAGGCTGGTGCATGTTTGATCACTTGTCAGGGGCTTCCTCTAGAGCTCACAGGACTCTCACTCAGACCTTTTACTTCTTCATTATGACTCGAGTGCTGAGCCATCCCTCCTCCATTAAAAGAAAAACATAGATAGATGTGCATAGATGTCCATGTATTTTATATGTGTGTTGTGAATGCAAAGACATTTCATGCTGTCTCCGTTTATCGGTCTGTGGCTCCAGCTTTACTTGCGCTTTATATGACTTGACTGGACTTGGTTTGTGTGCACGCTTATATGTGTGTGTGTATGTGGGCGTGTGTGTGTGCGTGTGTTCTCGTCACCTTCTCTCAGGGTTACATCTGCACCCTTGTGCTCCTCAATCAGCTCTAATGGATCCTCTGGCTCCGGCTCAGGCAGTGCTCTGATCGTGATACTAAAGACACTACACACACATACACACACACCCACACACACTGAGGACTGGGTGGGGCTGGATGTTAGTGTGTGGCTTGTGATGATCTAAGAGGTAAGACATTTTCGAGCAGTCTTTGTCCTTTCTTTCTTCTCTCTTGTGTCTCTTCAAGCTGTTCCTCCTGCAGACTGAAGAAAGCCTCACTTTGGTTATCTACAGCTCAACCAAATCAAATTCAACTCAATATGTACTTTCCTTCAAGTAAATAATTCTATGTTTGAATTCAGGATTTAGAAAACAACAAACATCTTTCCCTGCATCTTTGCCACCATCCCCCTACCCCTCACCACCAGCGAGCAAGCGTGTGTGTCTGTGTATGTGTAAATGGTTCACATGGGTCCTATCCCACCCTCCTTTCTCAAGCACCGTCTTCATTCCAAGAGTGAACCGATCCCCTGGGGGAGATAAGTGTCCCTCCATGTGTGTGCGTCGCTAAATTATTCTCCCCAGTGGTTTTCTATGGGTTGAAAAAGACGTCTGTCCATCCAGCCTACTTTCAGAAAAGACGCAGGCTGAGAACTGCCCTGGTATGACTGAGGGCAGACATCGGAATAAATAAAGAGGTTGCGTTTGTGTTTTAGAGTCGTTTTGGCTCATCAGACAAATTTTAAAGCTCAACAATCGAACATAGCACACATGATGAAAAATTTCACTCATAAATCTTTGATTTGCTTCACATACAAATAGATGAAACGTTCTACACTCTGAAGGAGTCTATATTTTAATGATACACCATGAAAATTATTATCTATTGCATAATGTATGAGGGTTGTATGAGCATTTTCACCTCTTTATTCATACTGTGTTTGAAGACTAACTCGTTTTTGTCCAGTTATTGCTGTCATAATTGTACAATAATGGTACAATGACAATAAAGGGCTGTCCGTCTTCAGTGTAAATGAAACATTATTTTATCTATTACTAATCACTGAATCACCCATCAGAGAATAAACATGCTTTTTATAGTTACTGTTTTGCGCACGATTTGCCTTGTTCATCAGCCAAATAACGTACAGTGTAAAGAAACACTTATTACTGCCATTTGAAAGTTCAACCTACATTCAAGAAAATGTCATGTAATGAAAAAAGATGTAAAATTGACTGTATTTTTCTGCTTTTCACCTCTGCTGTACATCTAGTTACTTTAAGAGTCAAAAAAAAAAAAAACACTTTAAAAAAAAAACATAAATGCAGTCAAAATCGAAAGGCTCTTGACATTTTTTGATGTGGTTTAAACACATAATGAATATAATTTGTTTTGTGCATCTGTATATTAGTTACACTTTAAGTCAATATTTCAAATTGTTAAATCAATTCATGCTGAAGTAACGCATGAGTTGGGATTATTTAGACATGATTTAATGAAGGATATTACATTAATTCCTGCTACTCCTTATAACGGTGAAGTTGCTATGACTTTATTTAACAAGTTTGCCTTTAATATATTATAAGCTATAGGATCTTTATTCATTGTTACTCAACATATTAGGTGGTACAGATCACATTACCTTTATATACAAGTTCATTTTGTGTATGCATTTACACCATTATTATGTCTTCTGTGCTTTGACATTAAAGATAATTGCTCTTGAAAAGTAACATAGGTTGTTTTTTCAGTGTACCTACGTCCATGAGTGGATACAGCCATTAAAGAATAACAGCATGAAGACTGTCGATCTTTTCATTGATGGTCTAATTTGCTTTTGTGCATTATCGTGACAATTCAAAGAAAAACGCCTCATAGTAACTTATATATAGTAACTTATATATAGTAACAATAATAACCTATAACAATATTAAAATATAAACTTATGGATCTAACATCTTTCACATAAATACCAGCAAAGGCGGAGTAACCATACACTACATATAGAATTGATGCTGTCTGCATCCTCGCTGGTGAAGCCACCCCTAGAACAGCACCCTCTGGTGACGGGCTGCAGTATAGGTCATAAACTCCGCCTCTTCCTGCAATCCCTATGGAGCTGTGGACAAACTTTAGAAATTTATGACACAGAATATAAATCTTTCTCCCCCCTGCTTGCGATGTTGACATGTAGTTACTGTAAGACTGGTTTGTGCTCAAGTCCTCTTTTTTCTGTACGGCTCCATTTTTCAAAGTTATTAGGGGACCGTTCGTCCTCTTTTACCCAGACATGTTCTCTTTTTTGGGGGCTGTCCGGCTTTGTCCAGGGGGAGTTTATAAGATCTTACAAGTGTCCGGGGTTTTGTACGTAAGTTTCAATTTTGTGTCACATGGACTTACTGAGTCAGAGGGCCGCAAAAGACACTCGATCTGATCCAAAAAACTTTTAGCTTTGTGCGACTCCATGACTCTGCCCCCATGTAATCGTGTCCTCTTTTTGGGAAGTCAGAATATGGTCACCCTAACTTGATTATGAAAAATTGGGATATGCTATTTGAGCTGAGCGCCATTGCAGCAATACAGCGAAAGCATATAATGCTACTGCGCAAGTGGCGGAGTGCCTACAACACTACTGTGCAAGTGGTGGTTCCAGGAAGTAGAGAAAACCCCGGAAATACCAAGAGCAATTCGGCTTCAAATTCGTATAATGACAGAAGTTGTAGTTTATGGGAGTAACTGAATTAAGATTCTCAAACTGGCGATTTATTAAAGACGAACTAAGTGAATAACGTCAAAGTGACCTCATTATCGGTCATGACTCATGAATTGCTGAAGCATTTTCTGTTAAAAGGTTTTCTCCCTTATTCCTAAGTGGTTGAATATCTCATGCATTGAATCCATACGTCTCTGCACCCTGACTCTCCTCACATGAAGGTTTAATTTAGCAGTCATATTTTTTGACTGATCCAGTGAGGCGGATGGTTCTCTACCATTCCTGTCTGAGCAGTTCTCATTCCTGTGCTGAGCACCAGACGGTCTACCTGCAGCCGGTCTGAGTGGAACAAAGCTGCGTCCATAATTAGGTTCTCAAAGCTGATTCGATTAGAACAGCCGCTACATTCATTTCGCTAGAGATGCTCCTCAGCTGCTCGGAGAGACTAATGGAGGAGATGGAGAGATATATAGGAAACAATTAGACATGGCCTTATCGTAATTTGGTGTATTTCTTTAATCCTGCGTACAAAAGCTGTTTATTTGTGCAATGATATTTTTTTCAACATCTACCTTACCTTGATTATCTAAAGCGTACTTTCACATTTTCCACCTCAGACCCATGTTGCTTTCTTTATTTTTCCTCCTCTGCATCCCTCGCCCTCCGATGTTTCAATTAGCTGTCTTGAAATTGAATTATAGGGTACATTACTTAAGAAGGACATAAATAGTGGCTGGCCGTCATGATGGTGCCTCAGATGAGATATGAGCTGTCTTGTGTCACGCTATCAGGGGAAGAGACCAGAAACCATGTCTGATGTGCAGCACTGTGTTCAAACCTCACAATCACTTTCTCTGGGTGTACGATAAGACAGAAAATAGTCCTGCCTATCCAGGAAACTTTTGTTTTACTGAATGAATCTAAGATGGAGTGTTTAGATAGCAAATTATGGTTAAAAACGCACATTTGAAGTAGCTCATAAAAAGAAATGATAAAGGAAAACAACACTTTTTTTCTCTGCAGTAAAATCTTAAAATAAAATTATATTTGTGATGTATTAAAGAGGATGTATTAAGATAATGTAGCTCTCTATTCATCAATAACAGATATTGATTGTGCAGACACTATGGTTTTGGGGGTCAGAGGTCATTGAACCCTGAGTCAGATAAAAGCTCCCTAAGGCCTCACTCCTGTGTAGACATCGCTATAAAAGCTTTTTCCCCAAATTCAAGAAAATTCTGAGATTACCTTTACGACGTCTTTACACTCAGAACTCCTGTCAAAGATGAAATCCAAAAAATCAGATGACCTGTGAGAGAAAGATTCGAAAAACAAATCAGATTCAAGGCAGGAGAGGCTAAAAAAAGTACATCTATAAATTCACATGATGCAATTAAATCATGTTTTCATTAAGCTGCTCTGACCAGATGTCCATCTTTCAAACTCAAACTCACTAGTTTGTCTTGTCAAGTTTGTGTTACAGAGCTTGAGCCAAGCTCCAATTATAATTTCTAGACTCTGGAAACATCCTTCAAACCAAAGGAAGCATTATACAGCTGTTCCCAAACACACACACACACACACACACACACACACACACACACACACACACGAAAACACTCAGAGTAACTAACTCATTAGTAAACTAACGCCTGTGTCTCAAATTTACTCTCTCTTCTGTTTCATCAGCATGTCATTAATTTCGAGTCTCAGAATATGAATCTACAAGTTAAATTGTCGACAGGATAACTTTAGAAATTCAGTGCAAGTTTGTTTCATTTCAAACCAATTTTTCCTCAACAATCCCAGCAGGCAGTGCGGTTGCTGGGACAGTCACCTTGCTTAAGTCGTCTCTCCTGACTTCTATCTGAAGCATGTCGTCTCTGTAATCTCATCTCCTCATGTCCATGTTGATGAGAAGTGCTATAGCAGGACCTCGATTCCAAGAATTCCTTAATATCACTTAAGGTTGATCTGGGGACACGAGTCAGACAGCTGGAGCAGATAGAAACGCAGTGAAGGAAAAATGACAACATTTTACATTTTTTAACATATCTGTTGTAAAACTTGACTAGAAGAATCCAACTGAAGGACGATGACTGAAGGAGAGTTTTCATTTCAAATAAATGGCAAAGCTCATATTTGAAGTACACGTGGGTTGAAATAAGGTTAAAATGACCTCTCCTGGAAGACAGAAGAATAAACGAATCAAACAAAGTCCAAAAATGTGCCAGTTAAAGATCATTACGACTCGTTACCGGCCAAGTTTCATGACTCATAGGACGTTCCAAAAATATCCAGAAGAAAGAATGGATGTGTTTTGGTTTACATCCAAATGCTCTCTCAGAGTCCGCCACGGACACCATCCCCCCAACCATCTCCTGCTCTTACGTAAATAAATGGATTGACTTTTGGACAGGCGGCGGTTTTCCTTCATAATTGTTAATTATCATGAGTGCTCTCTGAGGTACTTTCTATGAATGGAGATGGGAATCTCTCTCTCTTTTTCTCCTCCCTCTGTTCTTTTTATGAGATTGGTCTTAGTTCCCAAGGACAACGAAAAGGACATGGCGACGAAGGAGGCGCAGTGGATGGGTGGGGTACTTGCGTCATTCCTGCGTATCGAAGTCTGTGGGTTTTTTTTTTTTTTTATATGGCTACACCCCTTTTTAACCCCTCTCTGAGTCCATGTTCTCCAACTGACCACAAGCAACCCCACCCAACCCCCACTTGGCTCCTCCCCCCCTCGCGTCCCGGACTGGAGAGAGAGCACAGCACTTAAGATAATGTAAATAACCAGAGAGGAGAGCTATTTTAAGAAGCCGTCTTTCACTGTGGCCATGGAGAGGGACAAAGATGCAAGCCAAGCGATTGTAATTTCAGTCACGTTTTCCGACATGTTCTTTTTCTCCGTCCGCCATCCGGCTAGCTGAAGGGCCTGACTGACAGGATAGAGCCGGCTGCAAATTCAATGCTAGCCTTTTTCAAGAGAAAGACAGTCATAAACGTAACCATATTTTACAGAAAGAGACCCCAAAGTGCTCGTAAAATAAACATGAGAGACATGAACAAAATAGGAAAAAAGGAACAAATGTTTAGTACTGCGGCACCGAAATGATATCAGAATCTTTTCCATCTTTTTTTTTTGGTATTAGCACATGAAATAATGAACACTGTGACAGGGGATGACACCTTTTATGCGAAATAGAAAGAAGAGCACACATATCTTTGTTTAAGGAGAAACCTGGTGCTATAATGGTGCAGCTCTGCTTCATAATTCAAACGACAAAATCTCACAACACTTGGTCTGTTTTTAAAAAAAAAAACAGGAAAACAGAAAATCAAGTGCGACTGTATTTGCAATATTCCCAAAGACTCGACAAACACAAAGTTATCACAGTTTTTTTTTCTTAAAAAAGTAGTGTTTATATATTTCCTGACATAATTTGTCCTTTTTTATTGTTTCATCTTTTTCGACATCAAAAATAAATAAACATTTAGACAGCATCCTTTCCATCTTATATGAACAATTTGAACCGGCATTACTTTGTTTCCTCTATAGCCTTTTTCCCCCTCTCCATATTTATACAAATACACACACATGACAAAGAAAATAATCTCTTCACTGCTGTTAACAAAATAAATAAATTACGAACAGATTTGTGAAGCAGACCCTGCCGCTACATCCTTCTGCAACTGTTACCGTTTGACGTTGCAAAGAAATCACAAACGCAAAACATACACATAAACAGCAGTACACTACTGGATATACGTCGATCTTTTGTAGAGGTTACATTCATATTCAAGTCTTTGTTCACTGCAGTCTGACCGGACTTCAGTCCAAACTGTAGAAATAAAAGTGTCTCTTTTTGAGCTTCATTAAGGCAGTTAAAATACAAGATAATTTTAAACACTAATGTACACTGATTTCTAAGTTTAAAACTGCTTCTACACCTGACATTAAAGAGGATATTATCTAATGCTTTAAGTTAACTACCATCACTACTGCTTGTACATTTTCTACTCAGCATGATACATGGATTGATTCTTTGTTGATTCACAGTCATGATGAGTCTCTTCCTAATATTAAATATCACACAGTAGAGAGAGCCTGTCAAAACTTTATCACATCAAACAAGTTTGGGATTGTGGTTAAAATATTAAATATATCAATGTAAAATGTAACATCAAGTATTTAGAAATAAAGCTCAAGATATAACATTACATTTCAACATAAAATGAATGTATGGGCTTCATTTGCAGATTGAAATCCGTTGCTCGTCCTGTTTTTTTTTCTTCGACAGGTACAGGTGCTCAAGTGTTTCTATGTGTTATTGCTTTTATCTAATTTGAACACACCTTGGCGTATGCGTCTTTTGCACTGTTAACCATACTCAGACAGAAGCCATTTTCCTAAGTTATCACCCTCAGAGTGGGAAGCTCAAATGTCGTTCTTATGCCCCATTGTTGTGTTGTGGCGTAAAAGTAGTACAGTTGCTGTCAGCCAGGCCTGCCTTAACTTTGCCTTTTTGCAAGGTCAAGCAAAGGTAGGTTGAGTCAGCGTGTTGGGCATCAGAAACCATGGATGACGCCACTGCGACTACGCCCATGGTTTATAGAATTTATGCACGAATAATTGGATACACAACAAGTGCCAGGCTGGAGATGCCACTATTATAACCCCCCAGTAGATCAGAGTCATGCATTTAAAAAACAAACAAACAGTGGACTAACATTAAGTAGAGACAGACCAGTTAATAGCATTCGATATAATAAACATCATACCAGCATTTCCCCCACAAGACAGATATCTTTCCAAATGAGAAACACATTTTTCCCATCCCCTACCAAATCTTAAACAGCCACTGGTCAGAGTTTAAATTCTGTCATTTGCAGAATAATGCAGTTTAATAACCTGAACTTTACCTTGTGTTTTTGTTTTTAATTTCAGAAATCCAAAAGTCCCTCTCAGCAAAAGAATTCTCTCCCATTTTTTGGTCCAACCTCCTCTCCTATGAGTATTATCAGTATCAGCGTCAACCATTGAAAAACTGATATTGGTTGACCACGATTGAGCCTTTTAACATGCTGGTTGGATTGAAAACACACTTCAGTTTAAGACAAGTTACAAACAGGGGAGAGCTGTGCAGTTTTCAGAGAATTGGTTAAAGGCATAGACATAACTCCCAACAATAAGTCAGCATAGACTGAGCTCACTAGCCCGCCATGTCAAAAACACCACACAGTGAAAACTGGCGGTCCTAGAAACAACTATACAGCTGCGAAGAAACTGCACTTCCTTCAATGAAATGGAAATCAACACGAAGAACGACAGTTTAAACCCTTTTCCCTTTGAGTGACCTCCAAAACCAGCCTGGTGAAACTTATGATCTGAGTTTACTGTTGAACAGCGGCTAACATTAGCATTTAGCTACTTCCTACCAAGAAGTAAATGAACGCCAACATTAGCTGTTGAAGAGGGAAAAGTATGATATCAAAGCCAACATACTGTCTGCAAGGAAGTGCTTAAATGTTATTTAAAACAGGCCACACTGTCCCCACACATTTCCATTTCTTTTAAACTGGTGATTAATTGGGAATCAGAGATAATTTTGCTTTAGCTTCAAACCCCGAGTATGACATCAGAGGAAAATGGCCGCCGTGTGAAGAAGGTGAAAAATAAAGAGTAAAAATGGCGTCTGAACACAGTTTTCTGAAAGTATATATATCTCTGAACTGGTTCCAAAATCATGAATATATGATACACCCAACTATCTATTCAGTTCTGTATGATTGCATGTGTGAGTTTGATAAACTTCACAGAAAGACAAGATCATGTCCAAATGATCAGTAAGCTGCTACACTAAATATCCAGACATGTGGCTTTTATCCAGTCACCACAAAGCAAGACGTGGTGTTGCGGTCCAGAGGGACGCCGTTGTCTATTTTTCTTTTTTTTTCTCCAGATAATCTGACACTTATCTGGCAGTTTCTGTCATCCCTCTTTTCAGACATCCTCCTCAGTAAGTCATTCATCATCATGGTGGGAGGAGTCAGCGCTTGACTCCTCCTCTTCTTCCACTGTTTCTTTTGGCAGAGTGTCACGGCGTGTAAAAGCAGCCGCCAAGGTCACGCTCAGTCGTGGTTTGACGGGCGCCATCTCTGACAGCCCGATGTTGTTGCCACGAGTTACGAGTGTGGTTTTATCCATAATCTCTCCGCTGTGCTTGGACACCACCGCGTCGAGGAAGTCATATTTGTGTGAAATCTTCCCACTTTCAAACAGGTACTTCGCCAGGTAGGAAAAAGCAACGTTACCTAGGAAGGAGGCGAGCATGGAGATGGTCTTGAAGGGAAACTTCTGGACAACGATGTTCTCCATTTGTCCAGTCGAGTGGTGTATCCTCTGCTCGATGGTCCAGCCTGGGTAGTAAATAAAAGGGGGCAAGCGCAGGTAAGGTTCACCTCCACCGATGCGCAGCACTAAGCCGAACAAATAAGCAGCCACTGAGCCGTACGTGTTGGTGCCTTTGATAAAGAGCACACTGAGCAGCTGAGGGAAAATGATGACGTAAACCAGGTCTGAGCTCAGGTACCAGAGGCCGTAAACTGTCCCCGTTACCAGCGCCATCAATGTGGCGAGTCCACCGAATACAAAGATAGTGACTCGCATCACCCACACGAGCTCACGGTCAGACGCCTGAGGAGAGGGAGTGGAAGGGAAAAGACTGTTGTATGCAGAGTCACCATGGTCATAAAATAGATTTTGTTTTAATAGTGACCAAACGCTGTCATGTGAACCTCACAAAAACTCTTACCGACTGTCTGAAGGCCAGCTGGTAGATGTTCCTTGCAAACATGGAGCTTGCTGAAAGGATGGAGGAGTCTGCAGAGGACATGACAGCAGCAGACACGGCGCCCAGTCCGAAGAAAGAGACAAATGGAGGGCAGAGGTGCTGCAGCACGATGGGAAGAATCATGTCTGCTTGGTCCTTGTCTTTAGGAGCGACGGCACCGTAACTGGTCCTGTTCCAGTCTGAGCGAGGCAAAGATTCAAGATTCAGAATAACTCTAACCTCCGTCACTTAAATGTCTATCATAAAGCAACACAATATCAATTGAATGAACATTAAATGTCTTAATAAAAAAAGTTTTGGTTTACATTTCCTGACACACAAACACACAAAGTCAAAAGAAACACAGATATTATCCCCAAATCCCCCCAAACACTTTAAATTCTTTTTAAAGAAAATCAAATATAACAGTATTCCTCTACATATGAATTCTTTGTTTTTTAAGTCTGACACTCAAGGATATAAGATTTGACAAATACTTGGAATATGGTTGAACTGTATTATTTTTCTTACATACATTTGTCATCTTCATTTTGTCGTGATAGCTGGAGTTAATAATTTTTCAGTTATGTATTCACACTCAGATGTTACCCAGTGAATATGACGCCTTCAAATCTGGAAATCAAACCTCTAATTTGGTCCCTCGACTCCCTCTAATGTAATATTTACACGACCAGCGTGGTTATTAAACCGATTGCTGATTTATTATGGATGAAGGGAACCAGCTGCTATTTACCCATCTCTCTCAGATCTAAAGGCATCGTGATCCCATACACAGCCCAGCTCCCACCCCTACAAACACAGACTGCGCAAATACAAGTGCAGGTGTGAACTCTCTTACCTGTGGAGGCCCCGATGGCGCCGATGAGGACAGAGGGGACGGCCATGACGAGGCACCCGAAGGCAGCCAGGAATGAGAGTACCTGAGCGTAGGTGGCCGAGGAGGCAGACAGGACTCTCTGGAAGTACACCTGCCAGGGTATACCTCCAAGCATCTGTGGGTCATTTACAGGCAGGTGAATTTGTTTGATTCGTTCAAGTCAAATTGATCATAAAGTCCAAAATCACAGGTTTCTTAGTGGCAATAAAAAGTACTTATTATTGCTAAATTCATTTTAAAAATCAGGTATTAGACAGACTAATGAACAGCTCCATCAAAGGCTCTTCTTCTGAGTTTAACATGTATTTTTTTACATAATTAATGACTCGAATAATGATCTCTGATAAAATCATTGGTCTTGATGGACTAAACTTTGAAAAATAAAAGATATAAGCGGTTGGATGTTGCTGTACCAGGAGGCAGAAGTTATCGATCCAGACCCAGGTATCGTTCTTATTGATGCTGCCTCTCCAGGGCGACTGGTATACCTGCTTCACTGCGGAGACGGTAATGTCTGACACGGCTGGGTTGATCAATGCAAAGGGGACACTGATCCACTGTAGACAACCACAAACAAGGAAGGGAATTAAAAGTTATATAAAAGTTTAAAATATGATTATCTTTTTTACCTTATCTTTTAATTGTTGGGATATATACCAGGAAGAGTCTCAGCAGTGAAATTCAAACATGACTGTGATTTTTTTGTGCTTGGTCCTCTAACTAGTTTGGCATGTTTAAAGTCAAGCTTAAAGCACATTTGGAGCACCACATTCTGCTCAAAAGTGGAGACTTATTACACTAATTGCTGTCCTCTCCTTTTTATATAGCTCAGCGTGAACTTACCAGGCCAACAAAGATGCAGAAGAGCTGCACAACGTCAGTATAGGCCACAGAGTAAAGTCCTCCGACCAGTGTGTAAAAGATTGCAATGAGTGCTGAGATACACACTGACATCTTTATGTTGATGTCCACAATGACGCTCAAAGTCGCACCTAAGGTTATAAAAGCACAGATTTTAGATTTCCATCATCATGTGGATCTTTTGTGTTTACAAAAATACAAAACCTTTGAGGTAAGAGTTTTTGAACTAACCGAGGGCGGATAAAATGGCGGCAGACCAGAAGATCTCTCCCATTAGTGCAGGTATAAAGAGGAGGCCACCCATGCGTTTCCCATACAGCTGCTGGAACGGGTCCAGCATGGTGACGTAACCTCGCGACCGCATGGGCTTTGCAAAAAAAAGGCCCCCTGGGACAGAGAGTGACATCTTAAAGACTGGGAACTGTGGCTCCAGCCTTTATGAGCTCAGAAAAAGACCTGTTTTCCGGAATGAACAGCCTTTTGCAGACCTATGGTGTGCATTTACATAAACTCGGTTCAAATTTGTACTATTTCTTAAATTAGATATGAAACTTCATGCTGTTTTTGAGTTAGTGTACGACAGTGTAAGATTTTTTTGGTGTAAATAGTTAGATTACATGTCATATACAAGCTTTTACAGGTTACTCATGCTTTCAAAAACACATAGTTTCCAACATGAGACGGAGACACTTACCCACAACAAGACTGAGGGCATATCCAAAGGGAGCTTGTGCCCAAGCCAAGCCATAATCAGGTAAATACACATATTCTGCTGTGCCATTGATGTATCCGCCTCCAACCCAGGTCGCTGAAAATCACAGAGACAGAATATGTCAGCACAGGAGAAAATCTGATGGATAGATGCTTTATTGATCCCAAAGGACTAGACATCAGATCATCTAATGGGCATTTTTGCACTCAGACCATTATTCGTGAAATGAGCAACCTGATATGCAAGCCACTGACCCACAGCTGATTGAACTACCTCTAATAAAATGTTGGCGTTATCTAATTTGCATAATCATGTTAAGAATCATTCATTAAAACGCTTCAGTTTTCTTTGCAGCACTTTCGTTTTTCTAAGGTAATAAAGGAACAACTTGTTTAAACAAACCCTGAGACTGTATTTGAGTTGTTTTTTTAATCCACTCACTTTTGAAGAGCACAACACCCACCTGTCATAGTGAATCCCCCGACAAATAATCCAATGTCTCTCCCTCCGACCATGATTGTTTCGCTGCGGTCGATGCCCTCCGCCTCCCCGGAGTGTTTGTTCTTCCATGCCGCCCAGATGCCCACGACCAGGATAAGCAGATAGAAGAGCGCGATAGCCACAAGCCCCTCTACATGGATGGTCATTGTCGCGCCGGGCTTCCGCTAGGAACGGGAGGGCATGGAGACCTAAAAAGGCGCACGGAGACCAAAGAGTCAGATATGAATGTTCGACGATGGAAAAAGATGATTTTGGCACAAAGTTTGTTTTGCATCTGAATTCTGAGGTTTGTTCCAAATCCACAGACCTTTTTATTCTTTATTCATTCACTGACATGAACAATAACTACATAAAAAACGATCATTTCCCCTGTGGATTTACTTCATGTGCTCCCGAGGCTCTGAAAGCAGTTATTTCAAATATTATCAAACTTATCAAAATAGTCGATTTTAAAGAAACCTGGAAAAAATATCAACACTTATTTGATCTGTTAGTAGTTTATCTGTAGATCTTAAATCATGTTTTATCAGCTTCAGGTCTCTTTCTATCTGTCTATCTGTCCTGCCATCCGGACACAAGCGCGTAAAAGTCAAATTACGCACAGCATCCATGACAAAAGCATCCCCCACCTTTCAAAGAGACAAACCTAAACCAAATATTTTTTAAATTACTAACTCTTTCAAAAGATATTAACTAAAAATAACCAGACATCTTCTCCTAAAAATGTAGCCAAAGCTTAGAGAAATATTCAAAACTTACCTCAAGTACTTCTTGATTCAAGTGCTGGTGCACCTGAGGGAGAAAACAGGGAGCAGAACAGTTTGACGGTTTTATTGAGAGCCTGGGTCCCCCTCTTTTTTTGCAGCGCCAGGAACAGTAACAGTAAAGTGAAATGAAATGTTGATGGAGGTCTCCCGGGTGACTTACCGAGGCTTATAAGGGGGGCAGGTACCGTCAGAGGACTGATACGCACGTCAGAGGAACCAAACGTCCCTCTTAATGAGCGCCTCGCATAGTAACGCGTCACCGTGTACTGCCTCATCTGAGTGGAGGACAGTAGGAAAGAGTCCTCTGCCCAACATCAGAGAAGGATCTAGTAATTTTGTCCTAGAATTTTAACGTATATCTCGCGTGTTTACAGGGTTACTCATATTTTGTGGGAGAATCTTTAAGCGTCACGTGGCTCCTGCTCCTCCAAGCTCAGTGCTTAACAGGCGCCTAATTGCGCAGCCATACTTCATGTGGCCTTTTACCCGCTGTCACTCCCGCGCCAGCCGGCATTTTACCTTACAACCGCAATTAACTTTGCTCCACACGAGCAGTTCTGGCGCGACTGAGAGGTTCAAGAGCGTGCCCTGTTGATGCCTCGTGGAGTGATGCAGTTATTGAGAGATAACTTAAATCACTCAGACTCGTTTTTATCTCAAAAACAAAAAAATAGTTCCCTCCCCTACGGATTTAAACCAAGCATATAGTGGACTTTCCAGACCAACATATGGCCCACCTTTAAGCAATTAAAAACAGTTAAGTGTTCTGTCTCTGTCACTTTCCCTTTAGGTTTAATATCAATGAACTGGGCCTACTTTAATGGCCTCCCCTGCCTGAAGTCGTTTAATCTGGGCTTCTCTTGTCAAATCTGACAGGCGTCCAATTAGGCTGGATCCTGAAGAGCCTCGCACAGATTTAATGATACAGTCTGAAGAAGAGGAGGAGAAAAACACACACTAATTCTCACACAAACACACAGTTTCAATATCAGGATAAACACGCACCAAGTGTGAGGCGGGATGACTGGCTGTAAGTGGCTCAGGTGTTTACTCATGGAGACAAAAGTTGACAGTTATCCAAACCACGACACTCACACAGCGCCCCCTTTTGGACATGAAGTGGTTTCAGCACCATGGAGAGAGGCCAGTGGTTCTCTGAGGATTTTAGTGATTGAGATTTTACTTATTTAAAAACCCTTAAATGGAGCACGTAAGAAACAACTTAAAGAACTTTTATTTAAATATAATTTATGGACATTTTTATCAATCTTTGCTCAACACTGATATTTTGATTTCATTGTTACTGTTGACGTCTTTGCTGGTCATGCAGTAAGATTGTTGTTTCCAATGTTTTGCTGGAGAGGAACACTTACAGGATATTATTCTTTACTACCAATATTAGTTTTTACAAAGTTAAATTTCATTTAATTGCACCCTGTCACTCAATAGAAAGCAATTTCTTTTCTCAGCTGTTTATATGTTGCGCATCTGGGAGTAATGATTTTTTTAAAATTTACTCAGCTTTAGTCATCTCTATCTCCCTTTTTGGGTCTTTTAAGTGCCAAACATTAAAACTATCAAATGTGGTTGTTAAAGAGGAGTTGGATTAAATTACATTGACATCTGACAAGTGATTCTGTGTAATTCTGAAGCCAAACTCTTAAACAGCCTGCAGACAGCTGGAGAGGTTCCTAACTGCATGTTTGACAGATGGTTGGCACTCGACCTGGACACAATTTCAAGTCAGACACTGAAAGTGAGCCTGTATATATACACTGTATTTGTGTTTTGATGACTAAACCTGCAGGCATGTCTCTTCAACATGTAACACAAATATGTAAACATACAAACCATGTGTAGTTTACAAAAATGATGCATCATATTGTTTAGTGAAACCTCATAACTTGTGTAAATGAATGTTTATGTTGGAGGCCCAAGGACTCAAGGTTTAATGAGCAGCTGTCGCTGGCGGTGCTCAAGATGTCTGTGAAAGAGAGACAGAGAAAGAGAGAGAGAGAGGGAGAGTGCAAGAGAGAGAGAGACTGAGGGGGAGAAAAAACTGTTTATAAACCAGTATTTGTCTTCACGATGAAACAATCATTTTCAGCAGTATTTATTCCTTGAAAATGAACACATACACTGTATTTAACAAAATACATACAACTTACATGATGATACAGCTCGAAAGAAGAAACTACATTCCTCTGATACTAAAGTGAACCTGTGCTCGAACAATATAAAAGCTAAAGTCACAAGAAGCCTCCCTTTGTTTTAAAAGTATGACGTAAAATGTCTGAAGGGTAGCAGAGACTAAACTACTCCCATTAAATCACCTCTGCGATGTCCTCCAGCACGTAACACACGAACAAATCAATTCTGAATATTTAGAGCCACTATGTATAGGGTGTGAATCTTTTGGACCAGAACATCCCTCAGAGATCGTATAAAAAATGTCCATGAGTGCACGAGTTTGACTCATTTCACTTTTTACTGGGAATGTCTCTTTTCCAAGGAATCACTACAGTACATGATACACAACTTTGGGAATGATCTCTGGAAAAGTCCCTGACAGATAGTAACTATGTGCATAAACAATAATATACTTGATCTAATTACAGATTTTTTTTGGTCTGTGAAGTTTACCTGGTTAGTAAATCGCAGAACTTTACAATAACCATAATTTATAAATGGTAAATAGATAGTTTATTAATGTTTAACCATCATTTAAAAACAGAATCTCGACCAATTATAAATGTCAAATAGATTAATGTAAGTTAAAAGTGACTTCACCATTAACAGACAATGAAATTATGATTGATAATTTTCATTAATCATTAATGGACTATTTATTAAAGGTTTATATAGGGTTTAAATATTGGTTGTAAAACATCTAGATTAAAATGTGTGTCAGTAGCACTTTGTAAATGGTTAATGTTTGGTTTTTAAACCACCTATAAACATTACTTAGATGGTTATTGTAAAGTTAGGGTTAGGGTTAGGTTTTTAAAATGTATACTTATATACTCTGTAAATACAATACTTTGTAAACTTTACAATTTATTAATGGTCTACATGCCATTTATAAATGATGATTCAACATTAATAAACTTTCTGCTGGCCATTTATAAATGGTCTGTTTACCATGTATAAGTTATGGTTATTGTAAAGTGTTACTGGTGAATCTGTTGCAATGGGCAGAAAAAATGGAATGTGTATCTTATTTATCTTTTACTTCACCGACTATATTCACAAAAACTAGTAGTTGTTAAGTCCTGTCCTCTCATATCCTCTGATTATACATTTTGCAGTTGTTATTTTACACAATAAACAGAAACTTTTCTTACAATCACGTTAGCCTAAGAGTATGTTAAAAATCTTGTATCATATCTGCTGTGTTGTGAACAGAACTTTAGTTTCAAAGCCTATGCCGAGATCTGCTTGTACAATAGTAAATATTCATTTTTCAAGTGTGGTTTGTATGTGAATAAGCAGATTTACAAATATCTATGTAAAAGTAAAATTAAAAAAATACAAATATTTTAAATATAGGATCAGTTCTTCTTTTTTCAGAACAGTGAAACACCTCTTATCTGCTGAGGTTTGTTTCAGGTGATGTTGCCTGACAAAACCGAACGCGCCCACACACTGCTCTATACCAGAGTGGTTTTTAATGCAAGCTTTCAGTCAAAGAACAAGAGGAGAGTATCAAAGGCTTGCATTAAAAACTTTTTTTTATTCATTGTCTACCTTTGAATCACTCAAGTACCATGACTGAATTGTAAAAAGCCTTTAGTTTGAGCAATGAAATAAGGCAAAAATACGAACACCGATCAGAATAAAGCTTAGTGAATACGATTTTAGATTTTAAAGTAAACCTTGTAGACTAGTTAACATTCACTTGATGAAAGTCATTTCATCTGGTTTAAGAGCTAGGCTATCTGTGTTCACTTAGTCCAATACAAACTAAGAAATGTACAAAATTCAGGAAAAACTTATTTTCTACAAAGCATGAAAGCTAAAAAATCTGGAGAAAAATAAATGAAGCGCAAAGGTTTAAGAGACGCAGAGAATTAGGCAAAAAAAAATCTAATTATAAATCATTAAATTGACATGATGTTTCCAAAACACAGTGAGTCAAAACTTAGTTTATGTTAAGAGCAGAAAGAGCGAAAGTCAGAGACCTTATTATAGTGCCTTTGCAGAGAAACCCACATGTTGCAGACATATGGTAGACTGTCTGAAACTGTCTGAGAGCAAAAGCATTCTAAGTAACAAATCACCCAACAATATGTACTCATGACATTCTCTGGCTATTCATGCTATCTAAATGACGTCAGCACCTGTTGCACATTGAGAAGTGTATGGAGTAACATTTAATAAACTAAAACAGTTTTTTCTCACTGCCTACACACAGCTGAGTTTATCAAGTTCACTCAAAATGCTTGTATCAGAAAAGAAGAACATGGCTAAAATGAATGTGTCAGAGTTGCCTGTTAGTTTCTGTAGCACTGTCAGTGGATGGGTTTAATCGGTATTTCTGAGAACCAAAGAGAATCAAATCATGTCTTTATATTAGTAGTGAACCACTTTAATCAAACAACTTCTTAAAACTGCATTAAAAACGTCCCTATCCCTATGGTACCTCTGGAAACAAGGTCAACCAGTCTTCTCATAAAACACTCTTCAAGATGATGTGGCTACTTCTTGCATGACTGTCCTCATGCCCTCACATTCTCATCGTCTTTATTTGATCTGGAAAGACACAAAGAAGGCCGTTACTCACTTTGCAAAAATAAATAAATATATATATCTGTGAAACATATTCCCAGCTGGCTCTCGCTATGACAAAAAGCATAGCACTTAGCAAGGAGAGATAAAATCCAAGAGAAGGTCAAGAGGTTTCTGTCAACAATGTTAATGCTGTACAATTCATTCTGACCATTACTACATTGACCAGTGACAGAACAAGCTATCCACCTTTCAGAGCAAGCTTTTAAGAGTTTAACATCACATGGACAGACTTCAGGTAGACTGTCACTGAAGACTTTGATATTAGACATTTATTATAGCTTTTGTTTTATAAGCACAACTGGTGAAGCATTGACAAAGCCTGGATTTGGGAACGGTTTGTTGACTGTAGGTTAAACAGAACTTACTCAACTACTCAGGTATTGTAGGAATAAATATGGGGACTTTTGATTGCCCAATTCAAGCAATCAAAAGCAAAGTTTCGAAATATGGACCAGTACATATCTCCATAGATTGAGCTTTCTGTTACCTTCTAATTTCAGAGCACTTAAATCTGTGCTTCATTACTGATAACAGAAAAACCATCTGTCTAAAACAAAAAGGGGTTTTGTTCACAGCACCACCATCACGCAGTGACACAATAGATGACACGACACGTACAAAACACCCAGTACTCACTGCATTATTTGATCTATAGAAGAATGTGAATGAGAGCGTTGAACACAACGATGAAAAAAATCAACAAATAATAAAGACATGTGGAAATGGCAACACATGATAAGTGAATATCAACTCATGTGTAGTGCTTTTATTTCCATTCAAACACAGATATGCAACATGAAAAATGCATGTCACTATAGGTGAAGGAGCCAAAATATATATTTGTTGAAAGTATGATTTCTACTAGGTACGTCACTTCCGGGGATCATCACTGAGAGGTGTGGTTTTGGGATGTTTGGTGGGTTATTTAAATCTCACCAGTGTAGTCAGATAACGGGTTGTGGTAAGGTCTGATAATTTTCTGTTGAGCGTCTCACTCATCCTGTTTTAACCTCATTTCATCCTGTCACTTTTTTCATTTCAAGGCAAAAGTTTTGGACCTGGATCAGCGTGTTTTCTTTTCTTTTTTGGAACAATAAACCACTTTTTTAACACGCAAACCGGACTGATAATTGAACGAGTCACAGATGCAAGCGAATCTAAACCCCAGCGGCCTTTTTTGTTGAAGGAGAGCAGTCGCTACAATAGGTATGGAATAAAACTTAAGATGAATTTTGGTTCTTAACATTTATAGGATGAACTGTGATGTATAACTGCCTTGAAATAAGATAAAAGGGGAGGCATCGTTGAGGTCTATTTTGTGTTACAGAATTATAAAAGCATCTGTGTTAATTTTAATTTAATCAGACCTACACTGTACCATCCAGCTATAAACCAACAGGTTATCTGGTGATGGTGATATATTCTGGTGAAGTTGCAGCCATCACAGACTGCATAAATGTAGGTAAAACAAGATTTGATAAAGATGTATTTACAGCTGTATTCTAGGTAGAGAAATGATAATGCCAAACACAGTCCCACTTTCATATATATAAACTTTTGTCTCACCTTGTAACCAGTCGACTCCTTCCTGTAAACCCTCTCCTTTCAGAGCGTCTGTGGCACTGAAACATGTTAACACAACACATTCAGAAGATAGAAGAAGGGCCTTTGATAACAAAAATTCTCACAGTAAGCACAAAGCACAAAAAATACACAGAAGCTATAAAAGCCCACACAATTTAAGTTTCTTGTAGTTGCTTAACTAGGAAATTGGGGTACAAATTTTGCTCATACCAGATGTGCCAGGGTTTGTCTTTGATATTTTCCAGACAAAGCAGCTGTGAAACTTTGACTGAGGACAAAGCATCTCTGACATCCATCTTGTTTGCAAAGAACAGGATGGGGATCCTCCTGTGTTTAATATCTGTAGAAAGAGGAATCATTTGAGAGAGTTCATGTCGTGTAAGTGCTGTCATAGGCCCTGTTAGAAATAAGAAACTCCTTTCCAGAGAAAGTTACACCCCTCTTTTCAAAGCACAAAGCTCATTCTGGGGGTAGCACAAAAAAGAGACACAGTAGTATGTGCTTACCAGGATGATTTAGTAATGTGTCTAGCTCTTCTTTGGCTACAACCATCCTCAGTTTGTCTGCACTGTCGATGACAAATATGATAGCCTGGCCTTCCCTGAAAAACGTTAAAAAATTGCAGTTATCAATATGTATACTGATGGAAAATAGGATTGATTCCTCTTGTGGCACATGTGCACTCACTTGTAATAATGTTCCCAAAGGTTTCGGTATCTGCCTTGACCAGACATGTCAAACACTGTGAAGGAAAGACTACAAAAGAAGGAGAATTTCATTTGCCCAAGATTTGAAAATGTATCGTGTTTTGTATGACACATGCTGTAGAATTATATGAAAGATTATTTTGTCTTCAATTTGATAAAAACACTGTTTTATTATGAACAGATACCTGGATGTCTTAAACTTCTCAATGCTGAAGCCAATAGTTGGTACAATGTCTTGTGCCTGGGCCTAAGAGAGAGCGATGTGGTAGTTTTTATGAACAATTACATGTTATACAGGTAAGGAAAACAACAATCGCTTTTTGATCATAAAAAGGCTAAAAACATGTACAAGTGGTGTTCAAAAATGGAGATACATCCAACTTTCAGGGTCATGTCAGACTTTTTTTCAGGGTGTGTGCCCCACTCAAGAACACTTTTGCAATACTTTGTATGAGTTTATGTTTTGCCTGATGGTGGAGTATATAAATGTTATTGTACTGAGTGTTAGCCTTTGCTTTGACTGTTAAATCACATGTTGAAGAGCTTCTAAGCTTGGAATGCAGCATTTAGGCTAATTAAGGATCCTTCTATGTGGAATAATTTTCTGTCACAATGAAATGAACAAAATGGCTCCTTGAATGCTGGTTACACCACCTTGACAATTAAGAAAGTTGACTTGACAGACACAATTCCCCAAATAAATTATAATATTGAGAACATTGGTGTTCCGTTAAACAACACAAATGTAGGACTATGCCAAACTAGTTGACAATGTGTTTTATTGAGCATTTTTCCTTTTGTGGACAAGTTGAAATATTTGGTACTGAGTTTTCCTGGTTACACCACAATGACATTTTCCCCATTATTCCCTAAATATTCTCTCAAAATGGATAAAACCCAGAAATTTTAGACAAGAGCTGTATCCGAAATGGATCCCTAACCCCTATATAGGCGACTATATGGGGGTTAGTGCCATTTTGAGGGGTGCTCGAAATCTGAATGATCAATTCCAGTGCCCTATATAGGCGACTCAAAATTTCCCATAAAGCATTGCAAAATATAGTGACCATCCAATGGTCACTCACCGGTGGTGGGCATCCCGTCATGCATTGCAGTTTGCCATATAGTGTCCGAAACCTCCAGTAATTGAGCTCACTACATAGTCAACTATATAGTGAAATCCCATATAGGGGTTAGGGATTGAGTGATTCATTTCGGACACTGCCATAGACTTCAAAATAAGAATGTATTCAAGTTATTAGTGAGTGTATTTTTAATTTTTGGCCTTTTTAAATATAAGTAAACCATGGGAACATAAAAAAAAACTGTGTCACGTCATTGACCCGTAAACAGCTGTTTTTAAGTTATTAGTAGTAGTGGTAGTATAATTAGTAGGTTTAGTATAATTCTTAGTATCATCAGTGTAGTTGGTTACAAACTCTCTTTTGACTGCTGGGTAGACTTACATTTGAAGGCTTAAGTTGGTTGATGATTGTAGTTTTTCCACTGTTATCCAGACCGAGACAAAGCACATTCACACCCTTCTTCAACCCCAGCCATCCTGCCAACTTGTCAAACAGCCCCATTTGCTTGCCAACAACCATCGGCAGCCTGTCTGATCTGCAAGAAAACAGAAATAAATACTTTTAGAGTCAGCAAAGCATGTGTTAGCAAATACTCTAGTCTAGTAAGGCGTTGCTCCATATTGTTTAATCCAACAGTCTATTTTTACACCTCGTTCTAGGTATTAAATCTGCCTTTTATAACCTCCTATCTGTGATCATCACAGTTCATGTTCCCACTGCGGCCTCATCACAAACATACAGCTTAAATTTTGGCTTCATTAGTATGAGACAAACCTGTTGCTCCAGTCACATGTGTTTGATTTCTACAACACAGTGATCAGTGAACAGATTTCCATGTGGTTTTGCTGAGAGGCAGCAGCTTCAGCAGTGATTTTATAAGGTGGGTTGTGGTTCGCTTTAGCTCACCCGTATTAACATCCAAACCTCTTAAATTCACCTAACGTGATACATTAATAGTCGTATCAAGGTCTATTACTTTCAAAACGACCCCCTTTCTAAAAGTCCTACACGAACAGCCTTATATAGACCTTTTATTCTCGAAATATACCCCGAGCTAACATGCTAAGTGGGCTTTAACCAGGTTCGAGTAATTAACAATCGCTTACAGCCATATAGTTAATCTCTTGTTGTGACCGTTAGCTAGCTAACCTGAGCTAACCATTAGCTGCTGACTGTGTACGGTCACTCTCCAACATAAGACAAATCCTTAACGTCCATTACTTTGCCCTTCTTTACATGTAGTAAAGACATTTCAAAGCGAACTCTCGCTGTTGTGTTTAAGCGTAAACGGCACATTCGAGGCTAACGAACTAGCTTGCGACGATACAGCTAGTTAACGTTAGCTTGTATTAACCCCCGACTGTTCGGTTTAAGGAAGGCTTTACCTGGAATATCGCAGTCGGATCTTACTTTCACCCAACGCCCCGACAAGCTAGTTGAAATAACCAGGTTCAGACCGAAGTTTCATTCATATCTCGTGCGCTCTCTCATGCTCTCTGTGAGAAAATAATGATCTCCAACTTATTTACACCCTGTTGCTGGGATACCACTGTGCTGACTCAAGTCTGCCATCTGCAGGCCGAACGGTACCACTGCAGCCTGATAAAGACAGTGTGGCTATGATGGCCTATTGTAGCTCCTACACTGACCAGGCATGACATTATGAACATGTGGGCAATCTAATGCAAAAGTTCACACATTTTCAGCTTTTCTTCTTCTTTTAATTTGTGTTTGATCATTGAAGTTGTTGTGGGTGTTGGTGATATACTGGGGTGCCCAATATTTTAATATCTTGCTCTTCCCCATGGTTGTGAGAAACCTAAAGGGATATTCCAGCGTGAAATTAGGTTAGGGTCAAACACACCATAACACCGAGTTAGGCACCCTATTGAAAGATGAATGTTGCCGACAGCTTGCTTCTCTAGTTATACCAACAGCGGCTGCTGGAAGCGAGCGGGTGAGTTGTGTTTAGTCTCTTTGCTAAAGAACTAGGCAGAGTTAAAAAGATGTTTGGTGGCTAGTACTATGACTGGGACCCTATATGTACTGTTGATGAAGTTAGGTGCTGTTCTGAGCATTATTTGTGGCTATAGAGTGGCGTTATGGTTGAGCTCGTGGCTCTCTGTATTGCTATCTGCTGTCGTTACTAAAGTTGGTATAACTAGAGAAGCAAGTGGTCGGCAACATTCATCTCTTGATGGGGTGTCTAACTTGGTGTTATGGTGTGTTTGACCCTAAATTAATTTTACGCCAGACTATACCTTTAAAAGGAACATTTTTCAACAAAACACACTCCAGTGCACCACTGCCACTCTCTTCCTCTCGAATAACAAATATAAAGTACATGTTTGATCATGCCAAGCATAAGTTTGCTCAGGTTTTCATAATATTACTGCAGGACCAAGTGAGTTAGGGGAAAAAAGATGCCCCTTTGTTCACAGGGGGTGCCAAAATCAACCCAATATATTCCTTAAAAATGCTTTATCGTATAGTATAAAAATTGATTTATACAACAGGGCTGAGTCCATTGTCAGTTATTGCAGTCAGAGCAATACATTACACTGTTAACACACAGTTGGTGTTGTGCGAAATGGAAAAGAAACAAACCAGAAACAAATATTATCAGTACGACTGGAGTAACTTTGTCTGACTGATTCTCATCCCACTTCTAATCATTCACTGATTATTTTCTCTATAAAGTTATCAGCAAAAACCCCAATACTGTGTTAAAACCCTGACCTCTGGCTCTAAATAAACTGTGTGTCCTGTACTTCACCATTGCCATTGTATCCTTACATCCTCGAGTGCCTGTTTGACAAACTCACCTGCCAATTCTTCATGTCCAGAAAACGTGTCAGTCCCTTGAGAGACAATTAAGAGGACGGTGTTGTTGTGCATGTGTGTATTTGACAGACAACATGTTCATCCTTGGATACCTTGTTTGTGTGTGTGTGGTTTGAAGACTGAGAGCAAACAAAGTATTAAAATAGGGTTGTTTATTAAGGAACAAACATACTGAATAAAACATACGACTTTCACAAGACTTTTTGTACAAGACATACTGCATTATCATGAGGATAGAATGTACATTTCTATAAAATCTTTTGACATTCAGCGGTCTTCAGTTCAAAAAACATGATTGTATTTACCATTCTGTCACACTTTATTACTGTAGAATTGTTTCACTGAACACTTACTTCATCTTTGACATTACCATATTAACTTTTTCCCTATCCACATCTTCTCTGGCCTTGAGGTAACAGACTTGAGACCATTCAAAGTCAATAGAAAGCGTTGGATTGTCACTTGGAGGAGAAGAGGTATCGGTGAACACTTGAATAGACACTAGAGAAAAGAAGTCCTAAATTCAAGTGAATGCTAGTATTTGCTGAGATAATAAAGAGACCGCATTTGGCCAACGCTGACAGAGGTTGGTTGTTGTGGAGGCTGTATTGACGATAATGATCCATAAGATGATTGAGATGAGTGTGTATGAGCCAGACCACATGTGGCCGAGCAGCGGGCTGCTCTCACATGAGCAGCGTGTGAATTTCCTGCTACACCTAACAGTCTGGTGTTTGTGCAATTAGTTGAATGATGATGCCAAAGAGCTCTGATTTGTTTCCTGCTCAGTTTGTGCACACAGTCTGTCTTTGTGTAGTGCTCTCACACTTGAAAGCCGCTCTGTTGGATGTGGTGAAGCTGCAGGCGGAGTGACTGTATGCTGCTTATGATTCTCCTCTGGTGACCAATCAAACAGATCCCGATACGCCGGATGTCGCTGGAGGAGAGAGAAACAGTAATTGTTGATTAAAGGAGCATCGTTTCCTGATAAAGAATATTTTTAAAAAGATACCAAGTGTTGAAGCGTCATCATACAATAAAAAACAGAAAGCTTCATGATAAACAGATACTGTACTGATGTTTCTTGACAAGGCTCATAATAGGAATCAATTTTATTGCAATTTCACATTTTTTCTCTCCCTTTGATGCTACTCCGTGTCTTTTTATTGTGCTTTTTGATGCTGTAGCCGCACTCATTTTAATTTTGCTTCACTCACTCTATGCTCATGGTTGAAATGGAATCCAGGGTTGTATATCCTGCTGCAAGGAAGTTGTTCTTATACTGGCTCATTTTAATGGAGTCGAGCCAGTCGCCGATAGAGATGAAAAGAGGGTAGTCTGGCATGTCTTCCGGGGAGTCAGGGTAACTGAGAATACAGAAAATTCAGGGATTAGGTTGGCAAAGTGCTGATCTGAATCGTGATTATTAGTTAAATGAACCGTGAAGATGCAACACCATTAAGCTTTCCTTTCAAAAACAAGTCTAAAAAGCCTTTCCATGAGTTTCTGCAAGATGTTCAAATTTGGGAACAAAATTATGTTGCAGAAACTTGCAAAGGTAATCAATTATTGCCAATATTGGCTATATTATGATTGTCAGTTTATATGATGCCAAGCACTGATGGTTTTAACCTTTCTACTGGGTTAATGTTGTGTGTGCTACGGCTTTAAACTGTGCCGAGCCACCTATAAAATGTTTCATCGTCACATAAATACACATACAGGGAATGCACAACAACATGGGGTCTGAATTTTACCATAGGACCGACAAGTTTTGTTGTGTCTACTCTAAAATGAAGTATTGTCTTATATCTGATGGCTCATGGGTTAGCATAAGACAAAAAAATTAAAATTAAAAAACAAAATAAAGTCACTGTGTGCTGCAGTTATTTCACTTAACAACACTTCACACTGTATCCATTATTTTGGTAATGATTTAGTTGATTTTAAGGCGCTGTGATTTATCACTTTGTTAATGGCTCTAACATAAAATTTTCAATTTTTAATTTATTTGCATGCTTTTTTATTTAGATACAAATGACTTTTTTAATGTTTTTTTTCTGCTCTTGGGACTTACAGTTGCCTTTTGATTATGATTTATAATTCTGTATAAAAGTTTCTTTACAGGAAATCTTCACTTTTCTTCTCATACCCAACATAATCTACAGTAATATCTGTTTGTTTAGTAGAAAAATATAGTTATATAAAAAGTAAACATGAGGTAGGATCATGTAATGCTTTAATCCATGCAGAACAACCAGCGTGGCCCTTTCCTCTGGTACTTTTACCTCTGCGCATCATTGACCAGTGTTAGCAGGCTGCTGGGATTGATTATGAGCTTGTCAAGGAAAGACAGCACATTTGTGAAGCGTGGGCGCTGGCCTGACTCCTTCTGCCAGCAATGTAACATCAGCTGGTGCAGGGTCACAGGGCAGCCCATCGGTGCTGGAAGACGGTAGCCTTCCTCGATGGATAAAATCACCTGAGGCGATCACAAGTAGATTAAACACAAATACATAGATGATTCTTCTATGTCGATCAGGCTTAAGGAGTTTTAACATTTCCAGTATCTTACATCTTGATTGGACATCTCCCAGTATGGCCTTTCCCCATACGACATGACTTCCCACATGACGATACCGTAGCTCCACACATCACTCGCTGAGGAGAATTTCCCATAAGCAATAGCCTCTGGTGCTGTCCAACGAATAGGTATTTTCCCCCCCTAAGAGAGTAACAGGTAAAAACTTGCTTGAGAGACATCAAACATTACCTGTCAGCTTGTACCTGCTGAAACTGTCAGATATACACTCACTGTGGCAGTATAGGCTGCCTCACTGTCGTCCTCAAGGATCCTGGACATGCCGAAATCAGACACCTTACACACGAGGTTCTCATCCACTAAAATGTTGCGGGCAGCCAGATCTCTGTGAATGTATCCCATCTCTGAGAGGTATGTCATGCCCACTGCAATGCCACGCAACATGCCGACCAGCTGAAGCACTGTGAACTGTCCATCACGTGTCTGCAGGAGAAACCGGTAGAAAAAGACAAATATGATGCATAGAAGATGATGAGTTTAGTTAAGGAAATAGGTGAGTCTATAAGGACTTAATCTGTCGAACCCGTAGAAACGAGTCAAGCGCTCCGTTTTCCATGTACTCAACCACTATCATGACAGGTCTGCCTGAGGAAAAGGAAAAAAGACACGATTTTAATGACCAACAAGTGTCCAAAACAAAAGACCAACATCTAGGAAAAACAGATCATGTAGAGCTTACTTTTTGTGACCACTCCCTCCAGCCTGATGATGTTCGGGTTGTTAAACTGTCCCATGATTGAAGCCTCACGCAGAAAGTCTCTTCTCTGCTGATCCATATAGCCACCCTTAAGTGTCTTTATTGCCACAGCGATGTCCATCCTCCCTGGTACACGCAAACGACCACTACACACTTCTCCAAATTCACCTGTGACATCAATAAACAAAACAAACCACAGAAGTGTGTTATCCGTCACATATCTGGTTATCGATGCATTAAAAAAGTTGTGACAGTTGTAAATAAACAGATACAATGCTGTTACATCTAAGTTGCTTTGCCACTGCAATACACAGAGTCTCCACCAGGTAGCGCTCATGTTGTAAAAACAAGATAACTTCGAGGCACCTTCATAATTCCTCAACGGTTAAACAGCAGACACAATCTGTTCAATTTAATGAACCATCTAACACTATTATTCACTGGTGTCAGCACTGACTGTGTCCCTCTGAGGCACAATACGATAAATTACTTTTAAATCAGCTAGCTAAGAGTGGCTATAAAAGTTTTAGATGTGCACTTTATGAGGTTTAACCCGTCTCATGAAATAAAAGTGTTACTCAACATTAAGTGTTATCATTTCTCAAACACAAGTGCTAGTCATCCATCACTTACATTTATTACAATATCCTGGAGTAATTCTCACTTTGACTCCAGAACACGATACCTAGATCACGTTAATTGGTCTGAATAACCTCGCCTCTTATCAAGTTTATCAAAACCTGTACCTACAGGCACACATGTAACACCAATGTAACTTCAGACAAACCTCTAGAGTACAGTAGAAGCAACCTGTGCACATTTATATACAGAAAATACTCTCATGTGTTTTCATTTTACCTGCACCGATCACCCGCTCAATGCAAATGTATGACGGCTCTATCTCTTTAGCGAATTCCTCCACAGCCTGAGAGGGGTCTTCGTAGGTGTCTGGATCCACATATGTCTTTATCCCAGAAAATGGGACTGAAAGGGAAGAAACATTTTACGTTACTTTCCATACTATAATAGAGCATAAAACCTTTGAAATCCCCGTACAGTTGCACTTGAGCATTTTAACTATGAGGGACTAGATAGAAGTGACAGATGCAGACACACTGATACACACTTCAAAGATGCTTTTGGCACTGTTGAGTACATTAGCAGAATAATAACGAGGAAAACAAGGAGCACATGCATTACTAAGTATTTTAAAGAGGATTCGGGTCTAAATTCCATAATGGGTTCAGTTCCGATAAGCCAAAAATATGTGACATGTATAGAGACAGAGTATAAATGTGGATTTATGTCACAAGATTTGGCAAAATAATGTTAAATCTGTGCCACAGAATAAGATCAATAGCTAATAATCTGATTAATGTGTCGCCCTAAAACTTAAGAGTCAGTTTGCAAATTCTAACAATACAATGAATAAGATAAAGTGGTCTTCAACATCATGTTTTAAGGTCTATTTTGTGATGTTTGTTGTTTATCTAATTCTAAATCCAAATGCGGATTTAAACTTTGGTTCAAACTGCATTAAGATGTTATCCTTGGATGACAGCCCTGCAGTAAACTCTGGTATGTTGGAGCATATAATGTTTTGCTTTTTGAGATTATGCTAGAGGGGTTGGTTTCTTGCCTTCACAGCATGAGGCCATAATTAATGCTGTTTTTGCCTCCATTATGATCTAAAGTTTCTCTTTTTTTTTTTTTGTCGAGGGATGTGGGGAAAAAAAATGGATCTGAAAAAGGCCCAGAGCAGCGTACAAAAAAGACATTGCAGGCAGCCAGTTTTCAGCTTCCTTGCTGGCTGGCTGAGGCTGGGGACGTTTCTGCAGTGAGCGCTGTGCATGATGACTGGCACAAATGATAAGTTGAAGCACCCCCTGGTACACCTCGAGCAGATGAGCTGGGGACTAAATGTACTTTATAGCTGTGTCAGCTCATGTTGCAGAGGGTTGAAGGCTCCGTCTGAGAAAAAGATTCCAGTTTGGAGTCTTACACTCTACCTCTGTCTCCTGGGTGTCTGTGCTCAGCGCTGTAATAGAACAAGCCTTTTCTACCTGTTTGTTGAGCCTGCTGGCATCCCTTGCCTGGGTGTTGCCTCTACAGCACACAACAGCAGAGAATAAACAAAAAAAGGCTGCGGGCACAGATTAAAACCAGTCAAATAAATTGAATCATGTTTGAGGAAATGCTTCCCAATGCACATTTTTATCAGCGTGACTCTTATCAGTCTTTGTCGTGTGCTGCAAAATTCTGACGATATGCAAAATGAAAATACCTACAGAGTTTGACTGAACATTTCTGCAGCATACCTCTATCCATTTTTCTCCACTCGAGTGGAAAAACTAAAATACAGTAAAGAGACGGTGTCTGCATGCTTATTTGTAGCCCTTTATGTTCCTTCTAGACTATTTCCAAACCCCCACAATCAAGCCCACAGACGATTAGGAGGTTAGCTAAGTCTCACTTGTGCCCCACGGGGTTTTGATTGAATCCCACTTGAGCTCTCCCTGAACCATCTCAGGAAATTACAGAGCACTTTTTTTTTGTTCCCCAAGACCGACACACTTTTTTTTATCTGGGGAACAGTCATCCTATTTTTATCTGTAATTGTAGATCCATACTTGGAACAGTCCTGTAATCCTTAAAATAGAGGAGTGGATACCAAAATTTCTCACAATCCAATAACAGGTGTATGAGACAATTTAAGGAGTGAATGGCTTAGAAATGAAAGATTGAGCGCAGAAAATAGGGTAAATCAGTTCTTATACATTGATTTACAGGCATAGGATGATTTCTGATAAGGGCTGCTCACAGAAGACTCCAGGTAGATATACTTCATCCAAGCTCCCAAATCTATGAATATATAAACAGGTTCTTTCTTAAAATCCTCACCAAACTCCTCTCTATTAAGCAGCAGCTTGAGTTAGACTGACATTGTAAAGTATTTTGAAGCATACCGCTCTACATCATTAGATTGTTAACAGTGGGGTTATCTAACAGTGAAACATGAACCTTGGACTCAAAGGGATAGTTGATGAATTCTCTTTTATTTTGTTGTCTCTCTTCTCTTACTGCTGAGTTGAACACCTGCTCTGATACTGTGCACCGCATGAGTAAAAATGAGAAATGCAGGGTTTTTAAAGAGAATAAGACATCATTGCACCAAGAGAAAGAGCTGTCTAACTAAAAGGTGAAGTAGTGAAATATTTTTAAAGTATGGTTTTACCTGAACCTGAAATGTAAGACGTTTTTTTTTTTTTTAACAAAGCGGCTTGAATACATGGTACCTTTGACACTGTCTGCAATGGTACATAGCTTCGCCTCTGTGTCAGCAGAATTCTAGCTGCCAACTTCTAACAGGAGCTGTGCAGACCTTTATCCAATGCAAGTTGTACGCCTCGATCAAACAACTGGTACTCAAGCTATCCTTTTAACTCCAATATCGTCAAACAGATCAGTGCGTTTCTAATGTTAGACAAACTGGGGTCAGCTGTTAGATGAGCTTTTACTACACACCCACTATGTTAACAGGTCAGTTTTGACCCGTGTCTTAAATCAGCTGTAAATTACACTAAAAACAATTCTCTATCATCCTATTTGGTTCCCATCTCTATGTTACCTTGTTAGGCTTCATTACCCATGAAAATGTTGCTTATAATATTTTTTTGTTGTGAACCCCTGGGCCTTTCTCTGTCAGTATACCCCTCACACAGACATCTACACTGAACTAATCTCTCATGTCTCAACATGCCAGATGTTGTTTTTTGTGCAGGGAAAAACATGGAAAAATTAGAATTTCTTAAATCTCACATGATTGGAAAAGGATCTGACTGTCAGTGTGGTGCCTGACAGTGCACTTATGATTTCAGTTTGTGCTCTGATTATTAGATATTGATCTAATCAGGTCAACAGCGAATCTAACATGACAGGTGCCATAATTTTAATAAGAACATTTTATAATTACGTCAATTTAATTTTTTTTATTTTGTTGAAATTGAGGTTCCTGACAAAGTCAAAAAGTCTTGATGTGAAAAAGCTAATTTATATGTTTCTTTTGAGCATTTAAAATCAAAAACGGGTCGGTGCAGACCCTAACACAGGAGGAGGGTCAAATAAAGACACAGGGCTACACCATGACTCCTCTCTGGTATTTCAAAAGTAGACATGTAAAGACACACCTGTTAACTTATTGTTTCTTTTCTCTTCAGGGATTTAGCAGATAAAGGAAAAACATGTTAAAAAAAGGATAAAACCGTGATTTAAGAGGATTTATCTACACATCTGCCTTTTTTTCCTAAACACTAATCTTAACCTGCTGCTGTCACATCCTCAACCTTAATAAGCCACAAACCTCCAATCAGTTCCACCTACCATTTAGATACAGCTGACAAAACTGTGGGTTTGAATGCCAGCTTTAATGCCTACTTTGGGCCTAAAGCTCCCAGTTTTCACAGGGAAGGACTGACATAAATCCTGCTCAATAAAAGCTCTCTATCCTTGCATCTCTGCAGCTAACAAGCAAACTGGGACCACTGTTTGTAGAACTTGCATCCAAACCAGAGCTCTGGGATTTAGACAGTGCATGGATACAAGTTTGAAAAACGGTGCAAACAATCAGAAGAACAAAAAAAACGTACACACAATGAAAAAAGAAGCATATTTTACTGTACCATGCCCAGTGTGAAAGCGAGTCCTCCTCTTCTCCTCTGACTTCATCCTGGCTTTTATGTAGCCTTGACACCTGCACAGGTGTTTTCCAAAGAATCAGAATCACCTTCACAAACACTTTCAACACCCCAGTGTCCCCAGTTTTTCTTTTCTCGTTAAAAAAAGTTAAATTAGTCGATATTATCAGCAGGAAACAACTGTGACATCAAATAGATTTACTGCCCCCATGACAAAAGGTGGAAGAGCGCACATTTATTCTGACGGCAAAAACCACCTAAACCTGTTTTAGAGAAGCTTCAGTCTGTAATGTCTCCTCATCAATCCCTCGCTCTGTAAAGAGTCCTCTAGTGGAAAGAAGACAGTCATTTCCCTTTTTCTATAACCAATTCTTCAGAGCAATTTTTGTTCTTGCCTTTATGTAGCTCTTTTTATTTTCTTCCATTTCCCCACACTTATCCTTTTCAGAGCTCCTCAAATTTAAGGCTTTCAAGGCTCAGTCTCCAAAGAGGGAGAGGAGGGACAAAAGTAGCAATCAAAGACGTGTATTAACAAAAAAAAAAAGAACATTTGCATCAGAAAACCGTACAGAAAAGGGCTGCCCTCTGAAAATGTCATTACTACATTAAAATGTGCTACTTTGCCACTTTGGGCTGTAAAAGTGTTGATTTATATACAAATAAGAGAATAAGCCAGTTCTGAGGTCGTAATTGTCACCTTCTCCTACTAGGAAGGCAGCAACTTACGGCTCTTAATGTTTACCACAGAAAGATATTACTACTATGGCTGGCTGTGAACAGATATGTAACTAAAATGATTATTATTCAGATGAATAAAAATATTTTTGGGTGTTATTCAAACTTAATCCATGAAAATAAGTAGGGATAAGATGTCAACAGTTTTTCTAAGCAGTATGTGTTCAAGTTTCTTCTGTCAGTGAAAGTCGGGGATTATTGCACTGACTAGAATATCTAAGACGCTGACCCCCTGCTCTCCAGCGCCAACAATGTATTAAAATTTGCTCATGGAAGCTTCAGATAACCACCAGGTAATCCACAAAACCAGGAAGTGACATCCTGATGGCTACGTCCAGTTTGCGCTGCATTTTATTAAGTTCAATGTAAAGACTCTTGGTTCTCAAATGGAGGGTTGAGACCCAAAAGTAGGTCACAGAGTGGGTTGTGGATATGTGTCGTGCCCAAAAACCTTTGTTGCACATGTATTTGAGGGTCATGCATTTTTCACACTAGCGCAGATAAGTGGAGGAAATGCACCTTAAAGGTATATTCCGGCGTAAAATTAAGCTATGGTCAAACACACCGTAACACCGAGTTAGACACCCCCTCAAGAGATGAATGTTGCCGACCGCTTGCTTCTCTAGTTATACCAACTTTAGTAATGACCGCATGATAGCAATACAGAGAGCCACGCGCTCAACCAAAACGCCACTCTATAGCCACAAACAATGCTCAGAACAGCACCTAACTTCATCAACAGGACATATAGGGTCCCAGCCATAGTACTAGACACCAAACATCTTTTTAACTTTGCCTAATTTCTTTAGCAAAGAGACTAAACACAACTTACCTACTCTCTTCCAGCAGCCGCTTGTTTGTACGGAGACCTCAGATGAGTCCATTACAGAGTGCAGCGGGGTGACACAGCTCAAGGAGGAACAATTATGATCATTTCTTCATGGAAATGCAATCAGACCGAGGCGCTAAGGCAGAAGAACTACCGCGTCTGCAGTGCAAAATGATTAATATGCTGATTATTACTTAAAGGAATGAATTAAGAAATGATCATAAATGTTCTTCCTTGAGTTGCGTCACCCCGCTGCACTCTGTAATGGACTCATCTGAGGTCTCCGTATAAACAAGCGGCTACTGGAAGAGAGTGAGTGAGTTGTGTTGAGTCTCTTTGCTAAAGACATTAGGCTGGGACCCTATATGTCCTGTTGATGAAGTTAGGTGCTGTTCTGAGCATTATTTGTGGCTATAGAGTGGCTTTTTGGTTGAGGTTTGCATGCGGATCCATAGACCGCCGTGTATTGCTATCGTGCGGTCGTTTTAAAAACATTGAAACTATATTTTACTTTTTAATTCTGCTTTTATCTTATCCGTTGTTTTAATTGTTTTTTGATTGTTTTTTTACATCTGCGTTGTTTTGTCTATTTATGTACAGCACTTTGTTCAGCTTTGGTTATTTTAAAGTGCTTTACAAATAAAGCTGAGTTGAGTTGAGTAACTAGAGAACCAAGCGGTCGGCAACATTCATCTCTCGAGGGAGTGTCTAACTTGGTGTTACGGGGTGTTTGACCCTAACTTAATTTTAGGCCGGAATATCCCTTTCAGAACCTCTGCTAAAGATCACTACAATATAAAACCATGGACAAGTTATCAAGAATGAGAATACAAGGAAACTACACTGAAATGGTCAGAGAGATTTATGATTAGAAAACAAAAAAAGGTTTCTTGTGAGGCACTTGATGACCATTTTGTGTCTCAGGGGAGCCTGAATCTAAGATTTTATTCACATTGTGACCATATCTGGGTTCAGTTAATTTGAATTGCTGGCAAATTATGTGATAAATGGCAATTACTTCATATAGTATCGCTATTTTACAAAAATCCAAATAAAGTATCCAGCAATTGGGCCATTTTTCATAGTTTATTAATAAGTGGCACTGAGTGTAAAACCCTGTGAACTAGAAGCAGGCTGAAGACAACAGTCTGAGCCAACCTGTGGAAGTTAATGGAATGGAGCAAACTGCTGGTACATGCATTACATGCTGAGTAATTAGGCAGAAAATTGGTTCAGCCATTTGGAAAATAAGAGTGTCTGCTTGGTGGCAAAAGAGAGTCCATTAACAGACTTCTGGTTGTAGCGTGACTCTGGAGATTATGAGAGGAGCAGCAAAGAGGGGTATGTGTGTGTGTGTTTTTTTTTTTGGATGCAGTATGTGTGTGAATGCTTAAAACAGAAGACATCTCACCGCCCTGTGATGAGGAGGAAGAGAGTGAGGATGACCAGCAAAGAGAAGCCACCCACGGATGCTGTGACCACCACCAGAACTTGACCCTGATCAGCGATATCAGGATCTGAGGAAATGGAGAACAAAAATAAGTATAAAACAGAGAGGAAACAGGCACAAAACAAACACCTTTCGTGTGTTTTTACTTTGGAAAGGTGATTATTTTTTGCAATCATCTTTCCACAGAAACGTAACGAAGCATTAATCAAGATATCCATTATATTTAGATGCTTCTGCACTGAGTTCTGGGAATAAATCAGATAGTACAAAACAAACAACAACAAAAATACGCATAAAGATGTAAATTTGAATGTCCCATAAAGTCAATTTTCTCATAATTTAATTGAAAAACTCAAACTTCCATATATCCTCGATTCATCATCTTTGAATCTTAAAGATTAAAGCTACCAAACTTAAAGATTTACCATCTCATATCATTAGAATATTATGGAAAAGTCAAGTTTCTTCTCATGTATTTCACTCCTGAACAGAGCTCTTATCAGCTGATCAACTCTGACCACCCACAAAGGTTCACTGAGCCTTTATATCCTCTTCCTGGTTCGTACACATAACCACAATCATGAGTAAGACTGCTGACTGACAGTTGTCCAGAAGACAATCATTGACATCCTCCACATCGAGGGTAAGCCACACATGGTCATTGCTGAAAAGGCTCGCCGTTCACAGAGTGCTGTATAGAAGCATACTGATTGAAAATTGATTTAAGGGAGAAGTGTGGTAGAAAAAAGTGCACAGGCAATAGGGATGACCGACGCTTTGAGAGGACTGTCAAACAAAGCAGATTCAAGAACTTAGGGGGGCTTCACAAGGAGTGGACTGAGACGAGAGTCAGATTATCAATGGCCAGGAAATGGACCACAAGAGTTGTTTTCCTGCCATCACACCACTCCAGAACCAAAGACAATGTCAAAAGCATCTAACCTGAGTGAAGAAGAATAAGAACTGGACTATTGCTCAGCTGTCTAAAGTGCTGTTTTTGTAGGAAAATCAGAAAGGCACAGAACCCAAAGTGCTTTGGGTCCAGAGAGAGATTTCCACAGTCAGATTTTAGAGCGCTTCATGCTTCCATCTGCTGAGAAGCTTTATGCAGTTACAGGTTTCCTTTTCCAGTTGGACCTGGCACCTGCCCACCGCACCACTACTACCAGAAACTGTTTTGCTGACCATGGTATTACTGTGATTGGTTGGCCAGCCAACCTACCTGACCTGAACCCATAGAGGACGGACAAGACAAAGATAAGACACACCAGAGCAACAATACAGATGAGCTGAAGGGCGGTATCAAAGCAACCTGGACTTCCAGGAGGTTGACATTTCTGTTTCACAGATCTCTTTTTGGATGTCATATTGAGAAAGTAGATTTTAGTCTTGAAGTATATTCACTTTGTGTGTAATTAATCTTGAACATTTGAAAGTTTCACTATTTGAATCAAGGTATGAGAAAAAAAAAAGATCTTTTCCTGGATATTCTAATTTTTTTTTGCTACATCTGTACACTAGAAGATGCTGCTGCACATTCAGTTTTTACATTTATTTATGTTAAATATTGTATTTATCTCTGATCCAATTATTTTGGTAAGGCATAGATATCTCTGATATGTTGTTCAAACAAAACTAGGCTGTAAGAATATGAGAGTAAACACTGAGTCTGACTGATAACATTAAGGTCCTGATAAAACTTCACATTGTAAATTCTTCAGAAGTTACTGACCTTCTCTAAAGTCTATTGCTGTACATTGTGATGCAACTATGTCTGGATCGTTAATTATGGTAACACTTTATACACTAACTAGGAGACTGACACTTTTATACAGTGCTATAATGGGATTATGACGCATTATACATATATTTAAAATGCGTTATAGAGATAGGCGTTAAATAAAGTGTAATTATTATAACCTAATGCGCCTGGTGGTTAAAGAAAAGGCAAAAAGTTAAACAGGTAAAAAAGTAAAGCATGAGCCTGAGTGTTTGGAGGAAGTTAAGTTGGGTTGAATAAGGTCAGAGACAAGATTTTACATTTAAAGAAACACAATCCCAGACTTAAGTATGCAGTATATGGCTGTAATGGTTTATGGAAGTATGCGAATGCGAAGGTGGGCATCTGCATATTCATCACCTACAGTGTGTGTCCTGTAGGAGGATGAGTATTCCTGCGTATTACAGGATTAGAATCAACAGAGCGTTATGTGTGCTTCAGGAACTTACACAGCTTATAAACATTTAAATAAATGGCTCATGCCTGAAGAAGCACTGATGAGTTTCACTGATCCATGACAAAAAAAGGCCATAAAGCGTCTTCAGGGATTTTATAGAGTCGCTGATCGACACAGATGACTCAGAATCTACGGCTTTTTAAAATCATTGTTTCACTTTTGTGTGTTGTTTAAAGATCGCTCTGTTTTCACTGGAATTTAAACACAAATCTTACTAACTAGGAGACTGACTGTCCCACACACACAATTCCCCACAGTCGTACCCTCAGCAGCAGTAGAAAACTCAAAGTTGGGGCTGTACGCTGTGTAACCAGCAGCAGTCCGAGCTCGCACATGGAAGACATAAACGGTGGAGGGTCTGAGGCCTGTCACCACCACGCTGGGGGTTTTTGTCCGAGTTGATGAGTAGCTCAGCTGTTCTTGCTCCTGAAAAAAATAAAAACAAAATGCCAGGAACCATTTACTAAAGGCGACTTCTGGAAGAACAGATAAACACACAAACCCACTTTTACAGCTGTGCATTTAACATTGACAGTAAGTAGACATGGTCCAAGAAAAATGTCAAACTCCTTTATCTCGTCTGATAACGGCATTACCTTCTCAAAGTACTTGACTTCATAATCCACTATCTCTGAAGGCAGCAGCTCCACTTCTGACCAGGAGAGGGCGATGCTGTTTTGAGAGGCCCAGTCTTTCCTGACTACACCCACCAGAGCAGGACCTGAGGACACAGATGAAGTGCAGGGATTGAGTCAGCCGTGACTACCGACCTGTGAGGAGTGAGCGTGTTAGAGGTTTGAAAATGGTGCATGCGACAAACAACAAGAGTTCCTTTTTTTTGATTAACTAATGCAAAGAATCTAATCTTTTTAATATCAGGGTACTTTTATTCAAATATATGATGAAACTCAGTAAATCACTATATACTAAGAGCAACCTCATGACAATGCTCAACCTAATGGCGATGCTTCTTGACATGAATGTATATGGATTGGGGGAAAACATAAGTAAGAAAAATGGCATCCTTGGAGCAGGGGTGAGTTACTCAGAGTCCCCTCTCAGAAAGGCCCAGGGGAATGGAGAAAGGAGTTATTTCAGCCATTTATTATGGGAGCCACCAGAGTGAACTCTAAACTGAATCCACTGAGTTCACAGGCATGACTGAAAAACACATTTAAAAAGTGTTTTCAGCCACCGCAAGAAAGATATCAACTGTGAGCAAAAAAAAAAAAAAGTTTCAGAACTCCAAAGCCTTAAATAAAATCAGATACGGATTCTGGAAAAAGTGCTTGCAGTCTACAGAACATCCCAACTCTGCAACCTCAAGTCAAACAAATCCTGAGAAATTGTTTTAGTATCAGAGGAATACCCAAAGGAGAGCGGGGACAAAGAAACAACCATTTCACTGCCCTGCTCTGGTACGATGAGAGATGTTTCTGTTGACCAGACCACAAGTCCAGCAACTGTTTATCAAGTCTGTGATTATTGCTGAAAAGTGGGGATTTTTCAAACTAGCCTGCTGCCTGCGGAGGAGACACAAAACCACCTTACAGAGATTCAAATATTTGTCATCAATTATTCATAGAGCCTTCGCTTGAGCAAGAATATGACTTGGCAAACTGCTAGATCCAGTTTTCTTGTTTTCGTGCGTGCTGTTTGGGGGATTTTAGTTGGGGTACAAATCCAAGACCAGATTGCTGCTTTGTTCTTGTGAAAAAGAGATAACCTGCTAATCGTGGAAGGACACCGAAAGGATGGGACGCTTTGGAAAGGCGGTGTGACGCCAAATTAAGTCAGACAGGTCGGGGTTCAGAATTCGAACAGCACTTTCACATCTTGTCAAGAAGCCAGGAGTCTCTAGCTGCAGCTCGGTCCAGACTTGACGCTTCACAGTCCAGCAGCTCAACCGTTTCAACTTGTTTTAAGACAAAGGAAGAGCAGAGGGAAAAAAAAACGGTGTTGAAGAGGAAACGAGTTTCAAAAAGTGTAAATTGGAAGACATGAAAATGTACATTACAGGTGTGTTCAACTGTTTGTAACAGGCAAACTACATCCTGTTATATTTGTATATTAGTGAAATCAAATTTAAGGTTCACGTCATGTGCAGGACCATCTCAGAACAAATAATTATAATTAGAGTATAAACAACTTGATGTACAAACACCTAAACATACAGCATCAAAGACAGAGTCGCGGAGAGGATCTCAATTATTGGACCGTCAAACTGTTTGCAGAGACGGATTACAGATCTGTCATGCCAGCCATTTTGTTCCAGGTAACACGTGCCCCCTCCATCCTGGTGGCAGGTGGTGTCTGAGCTGCGCTGAGTGCCTGGAGCTGTTGTGGGAATATCTCAAGCCTCTCAGTCTGGCTGCCTGCTGCAGTTATTAATGGCAAACAGCAGCGACACCAACAAAAACATACACAGCGTATTGACAGAACACGGCGGTGCAAAGGTGCACAGGCAACACAAGGACAAACTCTGTTCACTAACTTCACAGACGCCCGGTTCATGTGTAAATGATTAAACCCTTTAGTTGTGTCTACTGGTGAGAAATGTCCTTCTTATTGATTACACTATAGGTCAAACTTCTTCTATATTTAAGCAGGTTCTCTGAGGTGTTATGAGGCAAGTAGGTGAGTTTTTTACTTTTTACCATGTTTACCTTTACTGATGCACGGCCAGAAACATACATGAGAAGACACAGATACCAGGTCAGAAAACAACGGCCAACGGGGAATCCTTTTCAAGGCGAGGTAGGCAGGATTCCACGAAAGAAGCAGCTTTTAATATCAGTCAATAGCTGTTAGTTATTGATGACATTTGGGATATAATGATATCGCTGTGTTCTCTTACGTCTGTGTAGTCAACATTTTAACATTTTTGAGCAGCCCGCTCTTTCTGACTGTAAACAAACCCGTTCTCCGCCTCCCTCAACCTGATTGGTTGCAAGGCTGACCCTGCTCCCTCGTGCTGATTGGTTGTGAGACAGTTGCTGCTCCCTCGTGTTGTGAGGCACGCTCCACAACACTAATAACATGCACGAGGCCAAACAAAGTTAGCGTGCTACAATATCAGACAGTAAAAACCAACCAGAAAGTTCGGAAAATTGTCTGAATCCTCCTTTGGCCACGACTGCCGACACAAGTAAGAAAATGAAGTAAATACCAGAGACTGAGGTGGAATAACGGGCCTAAACGTCACTTTATCCTAGTTGTAGAAGTCCTGCAAACATTGTGTTTGCTGGTAGTCTGTTGGCATCTACAGTAGCACCAATGCTTTTTACTTTCACGTTGACTGGGCTCCATTTGTAATTATCTGAAGTATTTATCTGCATTATATCTGAATTTAACTGGAACGATACGAGCGAGCAGGAGCGTCTGTTTGTGGGCGGGGCTTGTTGGAGCAGAGACGGAGTGGAGAGGAGGAGCTGAGGGGAAAACTGGATGGGAGGGGTAGAGTTTACATTCGCTTCCTCAGATCCTGCCTGCCCCACCTTTAACAGTCAGATTATCAAGTGAATCACTTTCCGCTTCCCAGTTGATATATCATCTCAACAACTCTTCCAACATGAGTTAACGATCTAAACGGTAAAAAGCCTGGCTACAGACAGACCCCTCATTACCTCTCAATCAAGGAAGAGGCGCCACAATTGGGGATTTTCTGAGGGAACAAATTTTATGATTGTTGAGACTAAAATTCAAGTTCTGTTACTATTTTGTCTAAGTGTGAGAAAACACAGAGAAAAACGATAAAAAACGATAAAAACTCCAAACTGTAAGTACACAGAGAAATGGTAGATGACATGGTGGCTGTGGTCACTTCTTTCACATCCTTTACAATAGAGTTGCACTGCAGAGAACAAAGTAAACATTATTTTATTGCCTATCATAGCTTATACCTACAACTGGCACGAAAGGAAAACCCCTTTTTTATGACGCCAAAGTCAAAGCTTCTATGAAGGACTGAATCTCTGCTGCACCCTGTGGACAAAGACTCATCTTATCTTTTTACTCATCCTGTCCTGTACTTGTGTTTTCTGAAGAAAAATATCCTCCAGCTGTTTTTAGACAATCAAACTTGTTGTCACCCTCTGTAATTCCTCCCTTTGGTACAGCTTCAACCAAGACACAACTTGTCTTACACCTAGCTTGTGGCAGGTGTTATAGGTGCATACAAAATTACAGTTTGGAAACAAAAGGTCTTGTTGCTTATGGTCTCATTTCCTTCTGTGACTCTGACAAAGGCATCAGTATTGATTTTAGTTTGTTTCACAGCCAGCCACAACTCCTAACGGGAGTTTTAATGTCTTCTAGCGCTGCTGTTTTCTCATCCTAAAAACCCAGCATATTAAACTTCCTACTTAATAAAACAAAGACATAAACAAAACCTTGGAAAGACTTGGACTTTCCTTAAAATATAAATTAAATAGTTATTAAATTTTCATTACAATTAGTTTTCAGTCCTGCAACTCCAGTATATTACAGCTTCAGCACAAACTGCCCACAGAGAGAGAAACATCTGTCGTGTTCAACTGCGAAAATGGAGATTTATGCAAGTGAGGCACAAACAGACCTCAGGCTAACAGCAACTAATCTAGAGATGAGTAGCTACAAAGTACATATCAGCCCACGACAGACTAACAGAGAGTGTGAAACAGGTCTAAAGTCGTAATGTTTTACTCAGAAGGCTGCGGTACTATTCAAACACTGTAATCCTTAAAGTCATGCGCAAAATCACTTTCAACTTTTGATGAATTGACAAGTTCATGGCTGCAAATCTGAATGATTCGGATCAACCTGTTAAAATGTACAGAGCTGAAACAAGAATAGAGCCTATGAATATTATGTGGAAATAAGCAATTGTAATATTTTCAGTTGGTTGCTGGTGTGGTGTAGTCACGCAGATAAATATGCAGTATAACCCACTTAGAGGATAAAAATGTTTGTGAGAATAACATTACTAGAGGGGATTTCTGTCTGCAGCATACAGTATAATATTATGTATCCATCAGCTTGTGTGTGTGTGTGTGAGAGAGAGAGAGTCAAAAAACAGAGTGTGGAAATTTTTCACTGTGAGAAAGCTTGGTAAAAAAGCCCTTGTGCAAGAATCAATTCTTGTTTCAGGATAAATCAATCTGCTGGTTTGATACCCACTGATATGCATGATTGGCTCAAAGAAATAATTACGGTCATTATAGTCTAATCAGAATTCATACATCTGAAGTTAATTGAAAATCTATAAGCTCTAGTCGTTGGCAACATGTTGGAAATAGGTTAACAGCCAGCTGCAGATGCTCACTCAAACAGATACAGAAAGCAAGGGCAGAGGGGGAAAAGAGTGAAAAGAGTGAACAGGGAGGGCTGCAAAGAAATCCCACGAGGATGCATCTCCCCAGCATCTGAGCATATAAATAGAAGTCAGCCTTATTCCCACAGCAAGAGATGAAAACAGAGAGGAATCCACAGGAGGATTGGGGGGAAGAGCAAAGTAAAAGAGAGAAAATCTCCTGAATCAGGACACCACAAAACAGTGGGAAAGGTTCGCACGAGGATTAAACACACAAGAACTTTGCATGACTCCTGTTGTTGTTGTTGTTTGGTTACATGAATGATCACGATGATTGAGACAGGAAGCCCCAAAATAGTGTGAGTTAGACTTGATTTTTTATTCAATATTTGAAAATGAACAAGATAAAAGCCAAAAAAAGTTCATGCAAATGATTATCTAATATTTTAAAAGCCTTTTTAGCTGAACTGATCAGACCGGGACAACAGTTACACTTCAGACTGATTTCTAATGTATGACAAGTGTTAATTTTTTTGATGATCAATTTAAAAAATTTTTTTATTAATTGATTAATTCAAATTAAACAAGATACGACACACATTTTACATAACGAAAAAGGAAACAACGCCTATTTTACATTACACTCACATAAAATGCAAATTAAACACCAACACCAAAAAAAACAAAACTATATTAAACAGAATTTTTTTTGATTTTTAAAAATATATATATTTTTTTATTTTTCAAATTTTTTCAAATTATTTTGTTTTTTATTTTTATTTACTTTTTTGTTACGTGTTCATTTACAGTATGCAATACTTATTGCTGACTTTAACAGAGGTAGGCTGATGTAAATATTGAAATGCATTACTATTTCTACATTACCTTGTGTGGTATATTAATTCTATTGAAAGTTTTATTAGTTTATATACTAAATGTGCTTTATTAATAATAATAATAATAAAAACTTAATTTAGAAAATATTTACAGCTTTGATTTACCAAACTCTGTTTGAGTTCACTTACTCACGCACGCACGCACGCACGCACGCACACACACACACTCCAACAGCCTTCCTCTCTTTTCTCATCTCTCTGCCTGACAAATGACCCCTTCATTATGTTGCCAAATAACACAACGCTTATTTTAAAATGTTGCTTATCAGATAAAAGGTGCATAAAACTAAAAGTTATGGGAGGATGTCTGAATTGTAGATTGCAGGTGGCAATTTTATATACAGTACATTAAAAAAAATCATCAAAAGATCAGCATTTGTCTTCCCTCAATCTCTCCTCCCCACATTTTCTGTCTCTCTTTAGCAGCCATATCTAACAAAAGCAAAATAACAATTAAAAAATTACTTAACATAGTATATCTGTAATGCAGAGTAGAAGAACAGCATAGGCTGGAGTGATCACAAGTGAAAGACATTTAGCACAAGTCTGCAGGGATTTGAATCTGCAGCTCCTCAATTTCCATTATCTCAGAAAGGGTTTGTTGCGTCATTAAATCTCACATTTTGCAAATGATTAGATTTGATTAGATATGCATTTGAATTAATGATTCTTTCAAACTCTGTAAATATGGAGCTTTTCTGTACAGCCATAAAGCAGGAACATGGACTTCACAGGTGCAATATTGAGTCCAGAGAGGACTATTTTTATGGCTGAGCTGGCAACATTTTCAGACTCTGCTTGGACACAAATTTTCTCTTTTCATTTTGAATAAGGTTGACTTTGAACACAGAGTGAGCCTGTCTTTGTGGTTTTATCCTCACGTGGGAGCAATTTTTATCCTCTGTGCAGCTAACACCTGAGACAAAATTGGACTGATTTCTCTGAGCCTCTTTGCTGAATGCAGCATGAACTTTGTGGGAGGAACTGTCAGTGAGAAAATGCTCCTCTGAGCAAAATCTACAGTGTTCATAAACACAGAAATCATTCTGCTCACTCTGCTCTGTATTGCTGCCTTAAGAAGCATGCAGACAACAGCTGACCTTCATCAGCTTCAACAGGCAGAAAACCAGCATCCTGCAGTACAAAGTAAAATGAAGTGTGGAGGAGAGTACACACAAACAGGCATAGGAGATGAACAAATAGGTTTTCTGGGAATCCGTGACTAAACAGCTCTTAAGGCTGCAAAACTGACTGATAACTCCAGCATAAACCCACCGTCGAAAGATATCAATGCTCCACTTCTGTTCAGAGACAAAGTAAAAATGCATCTTGCTTAGCTGAGCATTATAACTTATCACGGCTAGACAAGCGTGGAGGCGATGGGGAAGAGAAATTATTACAAATTCTGACTAATTGGTTTAGCATAATCAAAAGGATAATGAAGCATTAATGTGTAATTTACAAACCGATAGCACACCAACAGAAAACAAATCACCCATCTTATTCCCACTGCCAAAGCCAGAGAGATGTCTAATTCTGCTTTTGATTGGCTATTAATCTATCACTAAGTGAATTACTGTGCTGTCTGTCATTACAATAGTCCACCACAAACAAAACAGAAGCATGAACTGACAACAAGCATGTCTTTTTATCAGCAGAATATTTTACAGGTGACACATTCGAAGATTTTAATTTGAAGCTTAATTAAACATTTTGTTAAAATACATATCTAACTAAATTTATCCGCTAAAAGTGTCAAGTATGTTGTGGACAGTGTAGAAAAAAACATTGGTTTCTGTCTCAGGGGGACTCATGTGCTCAAATTCTCTCAGAGAGGAGGAAAGTATGGTGAGTTTTTGTCCTGCAGAGAGGGTGAGTGCAACTCTAAGTTGTCTATTGCTGGTAACTTAAGCCATAAAAACAGTTTTAAAGAGATGTGATAACAGCTGCATTGTCAAAAGTACCAACATTTACCTCCCTTCAGAATGAGACAGGCACATTGGGTCCTGCTCGCTCTGTTAGCACTCCAAGTTGCATAACCATCCCCTCACTTGACAGTATCCCTAATGCTAAAAAATCGTTAAGGGTTTCCTCTACTTTACTGGGAGCAGAAAAATATGTCATTGTATCTGAGTGTCTGTAGTATTTGTGTGCCTGGGGGAGAAAGAAATACGAGACATGCCAGGAAAGAGATGTTGAATGACAAGCAGACCATATGCAAGTCTGCAGGTGGTACATAGGTAAAGCAAAATGTGTGTGCTAGAGTCACGTGTGCAAGGTTGGTTTCAGTTTGTTTACATCCTGGCCTAGCTGTGTGTGCATACAGTCTGTCTCCTGATGGAAGGCAGTTTGACAAGTTAATCCACTCTAAACATCCTAATGGGAACATCCCCACAGGCTGCCTCTCCTCCACTGCAGAGATTGTTTTGCATTCCAACTTCCCCCATCAGCCAAGCTGCCTCTGCCAGAAAGATGGGTATGAAGTGACACACATACACACCTGATGTCTGGTTCCCATAGTACGATGACAACCTATCAGCAAAACATTTCACCGCTTAAAAATAATACCTTTATACTGTATTTTTCTGTGTTTACCTGAGCGGCATTAGCTTTGTGATAGGACTCTAAAGGAATTCACGCATGAATGAAGACCATTACGACAGGTAGTGCATTAATAATATGGAATATTTCTCCTTTCTTACTTGTCATGCATTTTGTTTTACATGGAAAGTCGATGAAATGCATTATCACAACACGCTACTGACAGTTAATGGCAGAAATAATGTAAATGCTAACATTTATGTGCATTTCAAAGACAGCCTTTTGTAAACACACTTCAAGCACTGCACAGTCTGAATACTCAACAACAAATCTAAAATGGTATATTTATTCCAACCAGTGAATCTCAGTTCTTTGCTGACCATTTAACTGTCGGCTACATTATAATACTTCATGTTTTTAAAGCTTTTGATGCAGTAGGCTGCTGGATTCCATCTTTGTCTTGTGTGTGTGTGTATGCATACATACATACATACATATATGTAGGGCAGCTGTGACTACTAAGGTAGTTTATCACCACCGAAGTGTGACTGTGTGAGCGAATGAATGATGTATCCAATGTAAAGTGCTTTGAGGGTCTCTGATAAAGCGCTATATGAAATCTGATGCATTATTATTATTATTATTATTATATATATATATGTATGTATGTATGTATGTATGTATGTATACACACATGTGTATATATATATATACATATATATATGTATATACATATATATGTATATATATGTATATATGTGTGTACATACTGTATATATACATATATATGTGTATATATATACATATATGTATATATGTATATATGTATATATATATACATATATATGTATATATATATATATATATGTGTGTTTATATATATATATATATATATATATATATATATATATATATATATATATACATACACACACGTGTGTGTGTGTGTGTGTGTGCGGTGTGTATACATTGATTGATTGAATACACTTTGATTACTTATTTAACACTATGCTAATCGTCTCTATGCTAATTTGTCCTTATCTTAATAACTGAAAACCAATTCTAAATTATCTATCTATCTATATCTATATATATATATATATATATATATATATTCATTAATTGATTAATTGAATACACACTTTCACTTTATCCTTCATCACTGCACCACTATTACTACTGTACTACATTTATTTGCACTATTGCGTCCATATTGCTATATTTGCACTATAATGTCCACTTCAAGACTGCCATACTGTTCACATTCACTTTCTTCCACTCACCTTCCTCCTTATATTTTTACTGTTACACTGTTTATACTGTTATGCTATTTATATTATCTTTATTTTGTAAATTGATGTGCGTATTTAAGGTAGTCTTTTGTTTAGCTTAGTTGTTTATTCTATATTTATACTTTATTCTTATAGTTTATTGCTATGTACCGTGGGTCTGAGAGGACTGTAATTTCATCTGTGTTGTATGTTTAACATGTATAGCATATTTGACAATAAAGTTGACTTTGACTTGACTTTTTGTGTGTGATTTTGTAGCAGCTAATCCTGTGCAAATGCAAAAAGTTTGTAAGTGAAGTCTATACGTACTACTTTGACAGCACTATTATTACAATCAGAGGTTAAATCAGTCTGAGGTTATCTAAAGCACTCCAAAACATTATCATTGTTTAGTGAAAGTCTGAGTCCTAACACACAGGATGGATGTTTTGTATCAGGACAAGCTGTTATTGCTGGCTCACTCCTGGAGCCACTTTCATTTCATAAATGGTCTGTATCTTTACAATCTATTTTACAATCTGTATCTATTTTTTGTAGCGACTGAAATCAAGATAACCCAGTAAAAATGTCCTCTCCCATTCAGCTCTTCATCAGGACAGATTTAAGCTTTGCCAGTATGGCAGCACACAGATCTGCAGTGCAGAGGGTGGAGAAACTGGCTGCTCATCTTCACAATCAAACACAAAACAAGAGAAGCTGCAAAACTTGAATTTCTGGGCTTGGATCAGCAGAGCATGCTTTATGAATTGGACCTTCAGTGGAATAGATGGTCCAGCTCTTGGTTCTATCAGCTGCTTCAATCCATACCTTGTGAGTTTTCCTCTCACAGTGTCCTGACAAGATGTTACACACATTATTCTGGTCAAGAACAAAACTTTGTGATGAGACTTCACATAACAGTCGTCTTTAAGACTCTTTGTTCCTGTCATTCCTTATACAAATAATCAGATAAACAGGCTAGGAAAACCTGAGCAATGTCAACTGTTTGCACTTCCCATGCTCCCATTTTGCTTGTACAAGTACTGCGGGCTGTTACGGTACACAAACATCTGCGTTGTTTCAGGATTTCATTCAGATACAAACACGTTGCTCATACTAAAACGGTAGAAAATCTGCACATCCTATTATGATTTATTAATCCACTCTCTTCCTATTCCTTTCCCAACCTTCTCCATCAATTATTCCATCAATAATCTCACCTTTAAAATAGAAGGCTCACGCTTTAGCGGTTGAGCTCAGGTCTCTCACTTTTCCCTAATTCAAGTCCAAGACAATGCTGCATTGATGGCTGCTGGCTGTGGCTGACCCCAGGTCAGACAGGTGCTGCTAATTAGGGCTGAGTCGAGGTCAAAGCAGCTCTGTCAGCTATCCAGGGGTCAGAAATGTGACTCACCTATCGACACATTAAGATGAAGGCAGAGACAGTCTCAGTGGAAGAAGACACAGGCAGCTCAGGAGGGAGAAAGGTAAATCTCGCTGCTGAATAAATAAATCTCTCTGTTACAGCAGCATGAATATCTTTATCTGCTTCCAAACACAGGCTCCTTCAGCTATGACTCAGGTATTATGTAACTAGGGTATATGCATTTCAAGCATCAGCATGTATATTTAATCTTTATAAATAGTTTAGTGGTAAATACAGCCAGTCTGATGTTAACCCCAACAACATGCTCAGCAAATGGACTGCAGATGTCCTATTTCAGAAACTTGCAATTCACTGTAGCCGTGTTCGACGTGCAAAATGCTGCAAAGCTGTGGACGTGAACATCAAATGGAGAACAGCGCCTTATTACTAAGACTCAAAGACATTTATTTGGTAAAAACGAAATAAAACAGTGGCTCCCATTCAGTCTATTAAGACTTCAACCAATCCTCTATTGGTACATTGACAGTAAAGGTCAAGGCGAAATGAATGCCATTTAACATATTGTTTAGAATAGATTTAAAAGTTGCTTTATCGGTTTTTAAAGCTCTCCAAAACCAAGACGTACAGTGAAGCCTCTTATTTATTACCACAGCTACTGTCTATGGAACAGCTGACCTGAAGACCTGAGGACTGCAACTAACCTTAATGATTTTAAAAGAAAACTCAAAACATACCTTTTTACTCTTGCTTTTAACTAATTTTTATATCATTAACTTTAAGTGTTTTAGCATTTATCTCTTCAAATTTTAATGACAGGGTCATCTTTTGTTGAGCTATTTTGGTGCTCTTATTTTAATATCTTTTACTGCTGTTTTTATTTCATTTTAGTTATTATTTCTTAAATTTGATTTTATGTTACTTTGTTTTGAGATTTTAACCTAACCTCCAGTGTTTCCTTATCTTGAATTTTAAAACGGCGTTTTCCTCAGTGCGCACATTTTCCAGTCTCTATGAAATCGAGCCCTTTTCAAGTTCATGTATCTGTTCTTAGATCACAGGGTCGGAATGAGGGTTTGGGCTGGGGTAAATCAGGGTATTCTTTGTATCTTTTAATTCCTCTGTAACACACTTTGTGCTACACTGGTTTTGTATGAAAAGTGCTATATGAATAAAGACTGATTGATTTATTGATTGATTGAAATATTATTAGTGCTGATGCATGTAAGTCAGTTTTCCCATGAAGTATTTTTGGGTTGAAGCAACATTGACACAAGAACAAGTAAAGCTCCCTGTAGTTTCTGCAACCTGCTGGTTTGCAAGTTGTAAACTATTTTTCTATTGTTTAACTTGGATCCCTGCCATCTCTCAGGCTTAATGGTCCTCTGGGAAGACTCTCTTCAGTCCAGATGGCCATTTTGGCCAAGCAAGCAGAATTAAAATGATGAATGCATTGCAATTCTTTGTAGCTTACCATGAAGTATTTTTTGCTCTGTTATAGGTATGAAAAATATTTATCGTAATGGTCAAATTTTCTGCTAAAACTTGCAGCTGTTTACATTGCAGCATTCATCTTTAGGGTGTCACTGAAAGTCAATAGTTAATCTAAAAGCAGTGGTGAATATTGGACTAAAAGCCAAATTAAAAAACCTCTCAGTACAGTTTTTTTTTTCTGTCTGAGGAAAAGAGACAGTCCTTACAAGTAGGGCTGGGTGATAGAAGAAAAAGTTTATCACAAGATATTTTTTTCATATCAGTCAATATCGATATATATAACACAATATAAAAAATGAAATTTAACAGTGCTTTTTGGTAGTGAGTCTCTTGCAATACAATAAGCTCCTGCATCTGTGAGGTCTTTGTGTCTCTCTGATGTTTTGTCGTAAGGCGTTGCACTATAGACAGCGGACTAAATGGTCAGCTGTATCAGCTGCACAGGCGCTATGGGCTCCTTGTTCTGCTCGGGGTTTGTCAACTTTTGCATTGCGCGTGCTCTGGCGCGTGGCACTGCTTCAGGTGGTGAAAAAGATTTGAGGTATTCCCAGACTTTGCGAGAACATGTACTCGACATAATTTGCAGTGCAAATTACTCTGCTTCATGTCCAACCTCAAAAAAACAAAGTACCCCCACACCACCGCTGTTTTCGTGCCAGTGTTGTTGACGATGTCGTCATCTGTTGAACCTTCATCTGAATTTCGTTTTTTCTCACCGACAGTGCTGTCGGCTTCACGTGTTAAAGTGCTATGGTTGCGTGTAGCTGCAGCCTGCTACTACGCAGTTGTTTGCCACTTGGTTCTAATTGAACACGATTGGTTCAGTGTGAAGTGGACCCGGAGCAACTCCCCTTTTCATTGGATATTCGTATAGTTTACCAAAACATGGCAGAATGCAGACCATTAAAAAGCATATTGACTATGTTTTATATTCAAATTAAGGGAAATCAATTTTAAATATATATTGTTATCATTTTATTGTCCAGCCCTACTTACAAGTGAACCCACAACCAGCTCCTAATTTTGGTTAATTTATGACTTAAAAGAATAATGAATTATCTTAATTGTTTACTAACATTACTTACTGACAGACTGATCAATGAATAAAGTTTATAAAAATCAGCCCAAAGTTTGGTGGATTGAACAGAATTGGGTTTGAAAACAGTTAATCGACCACAACTGGAAAAACTGCACCAAAGGAAAACAAGACCCCTCTGACTCACCTGCTTGGTGTGTGTTGACAGTAACATTTGCCAGTGAGCGCGTGGCCACGCCAAGCCCAGAGACACCATTCACAGCCTCCACAAAGAAGGTGTAGTTGGCGTGCATCGCAAAATCCAGTATCGCCACCGAGGTGCCTGTCAGACCCAGCGGCCGGGGGATGAACCTTAAGTCCGGCTCACATGGCTCACATTGTGTCACACCTGTGTCAGCGTCACTTCCATCACAGCGCTGGCACAAGATGTTGTAGGTGATGTCCTTTCTGCCTCCTGTATCGCTGGGAGGCATCCACTGCAGGAAGAGAGCCGTGTCATTGATCAGTGAAACCAGGTGCCGGGGAGCTGAAGGAGGTCCTGAGGAGAGAGACGAGGTATTTAGAGAGATGTCTTTGTGATAAATCTCGGATCTCTTTGTCGTTTTGCCCTTTAAAAACAAAAGCTTCAAGTTCTACACATTCAAATAAAGCAGAACATGTAAAAGGGGGTGTGATAGAAAGGAAGAAACACGGTCTTTGATTCCTGGTCCTGATTCAAAAGCTTTTAAACTCCGGGGAAATCCATTCTCTCTCAGTATCTAGAGCTCACAAATGATCATGAAATTAGCATTAAAACTTCTGACACTAGACAGACTTCTGTGCAGGTTACTGAATTAGTATTAGAGGGAAGTGTTACAGCAAATATACCACTCACTTGACCCTGAAGATGAAGCTGAGGAGAGGGCACAGAAAAGTCTGACAATAAAAGGACTTAAAACAGCGAGTGAGGCGAGCTGAATTTGTTGTGTGTGTGTGTGCGTGCGTGTGCGCGTGCTGGTAGGTATGTGGGTGTTTGACTTTCAACTTCTTCAGTATTACATCCCCACAGCCAGAATATCAATTTCTTAAAAGGAAAAGGTGCAGATCCTTTTTCTCCTATTCACAGCCGTACAATACCTGATTTAGCCGTGTGTGATCGTAGCTGATGCTGAGAGTGTTTCTATGAATATCTGCCTTTAAGTGTGTGGGTGTAAAGCTGCTGCAGCGCCTTAAGTGTTTTAATACGCCGTGCATCTTCACTGTCTCACGGCTAAAACTGTCAGGTATTTTTGTAACTACAGAGTTACAGAGGAGTATATTTAAGATAACTTTCACCACATTGCTAACACTCAAATGAGAGCAGATGGAAGGGGAGATGATAACACACAGGCTAAAGTAAATTAAAGGCAAGCAAACAAAATGTCCCAGCTGGCAGGAAAAAAAAAGTTTGGTTTTGAAAACTACTCAACTCACTTGTGCAAGCCATGGTGGAGGCGTCTTTGATGGCCCTGTAGAAGCCTTTGTCGCAGTGACAGATGGTGGCGGCCTGGTCATGGCTGGAGCTGTGTGGAGGACACTTTGTGCATTTAGTGTTCCCCGCATAGGCTTTGAAGAAGCCTGGCTTACATGCTGGAAAAGAGAAGAGGTGGAGGAAAAAGCCAGTTACACACTGTTAATGTTCATCACGCAGCTGAATCTCCTTCACTGTGTAAACATTAATTCAAAGCCCCAGCTGCTTCTCTCTTCACCCGTACTCTGACCTTATACAGGAGGTACTATGGATCTCTGTCCCCTCCTCATTAGCTCCTCATGTTATAGACCTTCCTATTATCCAAACCATACATAGATCATGTAGATACATATTTAATACATGGTCCACTCGTACAAACTGTCCACACCAGGTTAATGAAGGCAGGCTGTCCTCATATCAGCAGGTTTTCAGACTGCGGGCGGCACAGCGGGGTAGTGGTTAGCACTGTCGCCTAACAGCAAGAAGGTCCTAGGTTCGAATCCTAGTCAGGGTGTTTCTGTGTGGAGTTTGCATGTTCTCCCTGTGTCTGTGTTGGTTTACTCTGGGTCCTCTGGTTTCCTCCCACATCCCAAAAACATGCAGAAGTGGGGGTAGGTTAATTGGTCATTTTCAAATTGTCTGTAAATGTGGATGGTTGTTCGTCTCCATACGACTTGTCCAGGGTGTCCCCTGTCTTCGCTCCAAGATGCTGAGATAGGCTCCAGCCCCCCGAGACCCAACGACAGGATAAGCAGTAGAAAATGGATGGATGTAAACAGGCCGCACAGCAGATGGTTGTTTATGTTGTGATACTTGACACTGTTGAGTAAATGTGACTGTTCGGCATCAGATAAAGTGTTAATTTTACACAAATAGTCATTTTTCTGGTCCTCCTGTGCAAAATCCCAATCATGTAAGAGGCATGGGCTGGGCTGGAGAGCTGCTGACTGTACACTGACCGTACTGCTGACTGTACACAACTCTCACTAAATGCTAGTTTGTCCTGTTTTGCACCAAGACCATGCAGTTCCCAAGTGATTACAGGTTGGACTGTCAATAGGCTAGCGAGGGTAGGACACCAAACAACACTAACATGCTAAATGCTGGTAGGAGGCAACCTCTTTGCTTAATGGACCAGATCTCAGGTGGCTAACTAAGCCACAACTATAAACTATATACACATTTGGCATCTATTACCATGTTAGAATTGTTAGAAAGCACTAAAAATAAAAAATAGGATCAAAACTTTTGAGTTTGCTGATATGAGGTTAACGTATTTGGCTGTATGGTTTTGAATCATCTTGTGAGAAAATGTTGAGAGCAACAAAAACCAGTTTGAACAAGTGGAAGCTTTAATCTTTTAGTCAGGTTGATGTAAAATAAAGACAAGGTAACAGCCCCAAAAGCAGAGCTTAAAAAATCATGATCCTTTGGAAACAATTTGGCCAACATGAGCATGAACAGTAGTGGCTAACAACGAACACAACAAGATTTGTTTTGGGGCTTTTTTGGCATTAATTGACGGATAGATCAGAGAGGATAAAGAAACAGGGTAGAGGGCAGGGAATGAGGTTGCAGGATGGAATTGAACTTGGGCAGCCTATATGGGACACGCCTAAATTGTTGGGCTCTCCACACGCCAACATGTCATGTGTTGAATGTGTCATTTGGCTACCCCAAATGTGGCAACTAAATTAGTCATTTTTGGCCTCCACTCACCCCATTAATGCCAATACAATCAAGATAGTGAACTCTCAAACTGCTGTGTACGACACTTTACAGTAGTAATTTTTTGTTTTAAATCAGTAGCAAGCTTTACAAATGCTTTAAATGACGGAAGCATTGGAATCTGGCATTACCTCTTAAATGTGTTAAGCTAACTATGCTAGCTGGTTCGCTACCTTAGTGACAAAAGTGTTGCTACATGACGCCATCATCAGTTTAGTGATGTAATAACGCAAGTAACCAAAGGTTAGATCGTCTTAATTCGATTTGAACCATCCAGCCTACGCAGGACACAACACAGCTCTCAACTGTTTTACATCGTACAGGTTAAAGTCTCTAAAAATAACCGATTTTATGGCAAATTCCAAACAATTCAGCAATTTGTGTGATGACTGAAAAGTAATACTTGTTTTTGTATAAAAGCATGCCAATAGCGTATTTAGAAAACTACAGTGGCAACAGAGTAAAAACTGATATCAATAGCTTTTATCACATGAAGCTTCACCGACTATCTGGAGCAAGAATACCTGTAACTGTGATTTTTTTTACAATGCAGAAGAAAAATACATAAGAACAAGAAGTTACCCCGAAAAAGAATATGTGTACTTTATAAATGATTCAGAAATAGAAATAAAAAAAACCCCTCCCAAGTCTATTTGTTTTAATTAGCACATTTAATAGAGTCCCTACTTTCAGATTCTCTTCAATAGAGTCAGAGGGAAGTTGGCATTGTTTGCCAGGCAGGTAGAAAAAAAAATAGAGCTATTAACATACAAATAATGCATTATGAAAATGCAATTACAGCCTGCTTTCAGTCTAAAACCTCCATCCACTTACATGGTCCATTCTGCTGACCCAGGTATTCTTTAATTTTCCACCTTACCCCGGTTCACTTTCCTACCTCATTACTTCTTCCAGCTCTCTCCCATTTTACCTTCACTTTTCTTTCCCTCCATCAATTCAGCCAACGCTCCTTCCCTTATCTCTCAATTTTTTTTCTCTCTCCAACTGTTTTGCTCTGCCACTATTTCCACCTTTTCTTGGTTTTTAATTTTTTTTCTCAATTTTTTTCATCCTGTCTTTTCCTTTATCAGAAGATGGTGGATCCGTTGCAGACTGTCTACTTTTACCCAGACTTATCTCAGCAGAGAAAAATAAAGCACTAATGGTGCAAAGATGTAATATTCTGGGAATCTTGGCATAATTGGATTGCAGAGTGATTTGTGTGAAAATATATGTGTGTGGGCGGAATAATAATTTCAGAAATATCAAATAAATATGCCAGGTATAAGATAGACAATGATAGAGAGCAGGGGAATGCACTGGAAAATTCAATGAAGGCTTAATGGCAGAGAGCCAGGACTTTATCATTTCAGCATTTTAATATTTTTCTACAAGCACAGAGTTGCAGATTTTGTCCATGTTTATATATTTTTTTCCTTGCAGACACATTAAATGGATCTGTTATTGTCTAGTGAATTATTGCCGCCAATGAAACACATTACTTCTATTGGAGATTGGCCCTTTTATTTAATAGTGATCATTCTGAATGAAAGATGCCCAGATGCTACCCAGCATTCACTACTGTACCCATGCTACTTGTAAAGCATTATTGTCATGAGCGGGTTATCCTTGTAAAATCAAGTTAACTGACTGAAACGACTCCCAGCACGCAAGTCAGGAAAATGATGAAGGCTGTGATTAAGTTCAGCAGTTCAAGATTTACAACATCCTCCAGGCTGTAATGCAGACCAACTGTTGCAACATCTGTTATATCTACATGTATGCAGCTGCAGCATGGAAGAACTATGGAAGAGAATGAAGAGTAGACAGTGTACCTCAGGCAACAATGTTACATAAGTTTTCCCCTGGCTAAAGACTCGCTAGTGTATTTATATTGGTACCAACAGTTCAGTAGTAAATCCGTCTAATAAAAGTGATTCATTGTGCCGAGATGTATAGAAATGCCCTTTGACTTGCTGAACTTCAATCCTATTATACTATTGATTATGTTTTTATTAGTTGGATTTAATCAATGATACATCTAGAATAAGACTGTCTTTTCACAGGAAAATAGTTGCATCATACAAACATAATTTTTCCTCTAAACCAAAGCTCAAACTACCAAACAAACAAACACAAAATCACTGAAAGATCTAAAACAAACATGAAGCTAAAACAAATAATTACTGCACGTATTTTATTAAGGTAAACAACTTTTATGGATACTGGTCACCCTTTTTTTAAAGCCAATTTATTCAGTCCTCAGTCAATCAATCCGGTAATCCATCTTTATTTATACTGCACCGATTTAAAACAATTGCTAGTCTAACCCCTAATTTCCACCACATCCGGAACGGGTACGAAAAGGTTATATCCGCCGATCGTAGCTGATTGTAACCATTCAAGGTAATGTGCCAATTTCCACCGGCTTCTTTCCGTTCGCCGCTGATTGCCGGACTCCGCAGCTGATCACAAGAGTTCTATTTTTTCTGAACGCCTGGACAGCCGGATAAATTCAGCACAGATTAACCCGTGCTGGATGGGAAGTTGGGCTATGTGGGTTTGTTTATAGAGACAACTTGTTATCACGTATGTTTATTGCATGTGAATCTGCAGGTTCTTGTGAGTTGTCACATTAACCGCTGTCCGTAATCCACCACAAAACTCGGATCTGGAAGGAATTGGCGGATGGTGAAAATTGCTGCCGTTCCAGATCGGAGCCGTTCCGGATGCGGTGGAAATTTGGGCTAAGATTCTTAAGACTCTATTTATAAAGTCCCAATGTAAAAAAGGGATAAGACTGAGCCCCACTTTTTAGATAAGACTCACTTCCATCCCATTGTCAACCACATGAGTGTATAACACTTTGCAGAAGCAAACTCATGCTAGACAGTCATCTGCTGTTAGAGATGAAGAGGTGGACAGAGGTGAGATTGATGCACAAAGTTGAAGCAACCGGAAAGTAGGCAGGGCTACAGCAGCAAAACATCTTTAGTAGCAATCCAGAGGAGCCTACAGCATGATGGAACACAGGACTCCCAAAAAAGACAGTGTATTCATCCTGGATGACGACTCTACAAACAGGCGGATTTGTGCATTTTTCTTCCTATCAAGTCACAATGTTAAATTACCTACAGGAGATTTAAAGGTAAATCTACAAAACAAACAGTGGTAAACAAACACAAGATAAGATAAGAAGAACTTTATTGATCCCTGAATAAACATGAGGACCCTGAAAAGGAAGCGATTAGATATTTTTGATTATAGAACAAGAGTAAGGTTAGACTAGAATTAGGCATGCATGATTAATGTTAAATTTGGAATAAAATAAAATAAAAAAGTCTGTAAGAATAAGTGGACAGAAGTAAGTATAAAGATATGTAAAAGAGATGAGATGGAGGATTGACACACGTACAGAAATCCTCCCCAAAATCACGCTGCTGCTAAGCTCCTCATGAGAAGAGTAATTTGTCACCCAGCTTCCAATTTTTGAGGCCCCTCATTCACTTGGATATTACTTTCCTCCTAAGCTGAGCTCCTGCCAAAGGCGACAAACACACAGATTCATTTGAATTTCCAGCTGCTCCCTGCTCTCCGCTACACAGCGAGAAGATCACCACCAAAAAGCAATTACAATAGTCCTACCACTATTTCTATCAAAAAGTTTGAAAACATCTCACAAACACACACACACACACATAATGAGATCCAATATGTTCACTATCTGTTGTCGGGCTTTTTGTCATGGAATGCATTTTTATTCATGGAGGGAACAATACCGCTACAAAATATGTATATCAACCCAGAGCAAACACTGCTGTAGGCACAAAACAAAAGCAATAATGCAGAAACAATACCTGTACAGGAAGCTCCGGCATGTTGACAACAACAGCACGAGATGCATTTTAGTGTTTATACTTCTGATTGATAAATTAATCATTTCATAATAAAAGATGACAGAAAACACTGATTATCATTTTACTCAAAGTCCAAGACGGTGTCGTGAAAAGTCTTGTTCTGTTCATTATACAGCCCCAAAACCAGAGATATTTAACCTGCTGCACTGATTGTTTCAATTTTGCTTTGAAATTTTCTAAAAGTATAGATTTAAATATAAAAAAGCAATTGTATCTTCTAATTATTTATAACTTGTATTACCCTCACTATATAAAAGAAGAAGAAGAACAGAACTGTAGTTTCCTGTAGAAGCTATTGTTGGATAAAACTTCTAATTCCTGTTATTATTATTATTATTATACAAGTTAAACTAGTTCTTATACTCATAATTATTTATACAAGCTCCTTATACGAACGCAGGCTGTCGGCTCTGTACATCAAACAGAACATTACAGAACATTATCGCACTTCTGAATCTCATAACCCTTACCCCAATCCTAACCCTTACCTTAACCCTAACGCTAACCCGACAGACGGTGACGTTTCACAGCCATAAGGAATAACCAATCGGAGCCCAGCACTTCTAGCCAATCAGAGGCGAAGGAGGGCAGGACAAAAAAAAAATATTGCGTCCTGCCCAGCCAGAGACAGGGAGTAAAGGCAAAACCTTACGATGACACAATCTTCTTCTCTTGGCAAAAGGATCAGATCCCCTAGGAATGCTGAATAGTTTCCATCCATCCTTTTGCCAATTCGTGACAGTTTACGGCACAACAGCTCCTTGTCATTTTCTTCCTCGTTGACTCTGTTAGTAAACAAATAAGAAATGTCCCACTTTTTGCCCCCTGGCTGCGCGCACATACCTGCGACGACATTGCACAGAAACCCGTCTATAGGTGAGGTCAGTGACAGTCTGTTTGAAACTGAGACGAAGCTGTGAAAATGACCAGGCAGGCTGGTAAACTATCCAGTTATTCTATTCAGATCATTTCATGTACTGACCGCTGTTAAAATTGACAAGTATTCAAACGAATAAAACAACACTCCTGTATAAATTTCTTACCTAGCATTAAAAATACATGATTCATAAGTTGACCTTCAGGAGAAACTGAACAGTTGCAGAAGAGTTATGACATCCCAGCTAAGAGATTTGGAGTTGTTTGGGTGTGTTGGAAGTTTTCTCTTGGCTTTACGTTGTCAGAAACAGATGGAGGCAGAGACTGTGTTTACCCTGGACTCTCAGCTTTGATATGCAGATGGGAAGTTCACAGAGAATGAGTGATGCTCTAGTCTGGCTGAGCTGTGTTAGAGGCCGGAGTAAACACACACTCCTTTATGGACACAAGAGGGGCACAGTGGCTTCAATACAACCGAGAACGATGTATTGATTCTCTCATTTCCTATTCCAATTTACCTCCATTCAAGGAAAAAGTCTGAACTTATCCCGGAGGATCAATCCTGTGTCCCGACACGGCAGAGGTCACAGGAGGGAAAAAGCTACACAATGTCAATTTCTGCTGATCTCTATCACCCAAAGACCCGTGGGAAAAAGAGAAGTGAAGAAAACAATGATGTATTTTACTGTGTTATACAGAAGATCTCTTTATTTGCTGCCTCTCTATTCATCTGTAGAAAAAAAAAAAGGATGCTCCAAAAATCCCAGCAGGTGGTAGCTGCAATTCATTTGAAAGTTTTCGTCAAATCGAAAATATTTGAATACTGAAGTATTTTTTTGGCACAGAATGTGATCACTTATCCATCTGGTGGTCTTCGGCTCTTGTCTGCCTTTCTATTCAGACTCGAACGAAACTCAACGTGACGTCTCTGTTAGCTTCTTCCACAATTCCCCGCATTCTTTTTGAATTTGATGGTGTGACGAAAGGATGTGGAACAAATAGCATTAGGGCTATGATGTTGCCTTATCTAGGTCATGATATAACCAGCCTATCTCTGAGTAATCCTCTTGTGGCTGACACCGAATGAAAGGAATAGAATAATAAAGCACTCGATTGAGATGTCAAAACAGTCTGGCAGAATGCTATTGGGGTGGAAAGCGGGGTTTGATAAGCGCTGATGCCTTTGTTTAGGCAGCTGGGAGGGAAAGATGGACGTGTTAGCGCAGAGCTCTGCCTCTATTGGAGAGCATTGGGGTTTTCCCTTTTCTCTCTCTCCATCTCTCTCTCTCTCTCTCTCCTCTCTCTCTCTCTCCCTCTTTTGCTCTTTCCCCATGCTGCCTCTCAGACAGCTTTGATCACAGTACCCTTTGAAGCAGTGTTCCAAAATGAAAACGAGGAGAAAGCAGAAGTCATCGCAAGTTCACGCCTAAACTTCCTGCAACTATACTTGCCAAGTGCACATCTTTATCACCGCACAAGCTCTGCGAGGCCCAACGGAAATATTGATGAGCAAAATAATTGGCCATAAATCATTTAAGCCATGAATTAATAATTATAAAGCCGTAATGTGTTGTTGATATTGATCACTTCTCCTCTCCAAACCCATTGTTAACAAGTGCAGAGGCGCCGTTTGCAAATTCCACAGCGAATCACCTCTGATAGATCTTACTTGACATTTCTGAACCTCACTGTCCTCACAGTCAAACAATAAAACACCACACTTTATCTGCAGAGTTTGGGGAATTTTGCTTGCTTTCCTCCAGACTCAGAGCAGATAAATGATGGTTTGATGCCGGTTTGCCCAGAATGGAATGAACACTCAGTGGGTTTACATGCACAGCTTGATCGGACTGAGCTCATAATTCGTTTTTTTCAACAAATAGGACTTCTCTCCTAGGGTGTGATATGGATCTTTTTTCTGGTTGACCCCATACAACTGTCAACAACAACAGCAGGTCTGTGTCAGAAGTGGCTAAAACTGCTGCAGGGCATTTTCAAGCATCGTGCAGCGTTGTTTTTGTCGTACATGATGTACGCGCTACTTTTTCTGCAGATGAGGTGCACGCTACTCCTCCTCTCTGGTGTTTTTGTTCCGAGGTTACGGGGGCGTGGCGCATGTGCACACGCATTGTTCAATTATACTCCGACTACGCTGGTTACATAGTAGAGAAAATCTAATTCCAATCACATTAACTGGGTGTCTTAATCAGAGTTCTCAAACTCCGATTATAGTCGGACTAAGGTGTTTACATGCACTTTAGTTGTCCGATCTCAATCGGAGTGAGGCAATAATTCGGTTTTCTTGAGTGTCATGTAAACGTACTGACTGGGACATGATAGGCACATCTGAAGACTAGACAAAGTAGTATGTTTTAAATGTGAGGATTTGCTGTCTTTTAAGAGTTTTTATGTCTTAATCGTCCCAAAGATAGGCCACTATTTTATCACGATAATGGAGACTGTCTAATATGCTAAAGTGTTCTCCACCAGATCCAAACATGCAAGACAGCTTAGAGAAACAGGGAAATCTCAAAATGCTCCCTGGTTTGTCCAGTAAAAGCTTCCGTACAAGAGTATCATGGCAGGCTCCATCGACTAGCATGAGTCTGGTCCTGCCCAAGGTTTCTGCCTGTTAAAAGGAAGTTTTTCCTTGCCACTGCTACTCATGTTAGTTGAGATGGGCCAAAACCCATCTTAGGTTGGTTCTTGATCATCAAACAATGAGCGCGGTCCAGACCTGCTCTTGTTCCTTGAAAAGCGTCTTGAGATGACGACTGTTGTGAATTGGCGCTATATAAATAAAATTTGATTGATTGATTGATTGACTACACCAGGGGGTTAGTATTACTTTGCAGCCCCTGACCCCCAAAATCACGGAGCCAGAGACTCATGAGGCTAGAGGCAAGTAATCTATTGACAGAATACAGGAATCTTCATCTTTAGACAGTTAGAGTGATCACACTTTTAAAGAAATGAACACACAGGGGAGTCTTCTAGTCTGCAGAAAATTAGCTTATCTAGAGTTTGTGCTCATATCACTGTTACCTCTGCTGCTGTGAGTGAATAAACCTGCTGCTACTGATGCCTTTGTGAATCTGTCACGATCACTTCAGGGGGTCAACAAAGAACAGAACGAACAGACGAAATTTGCATTTGCATGGTGTTATTTAGAACTAGACAACTTTTAAAAAAATATTCCTATAATAATGGATAAAATATGCAACCTCCAACAACCCTCCTTTATTATCTCATGATCTCCCAGAGGGATGACATCCCTATTGTAGCGGGTTTTCTGCTTCCACCTACAAACTGTTCATCAACCTTTGAACCAACATTACTTTATTTCTGCTTTCTACGAAGGCTGTAAAAAGTAGAGGTTATCCAGGACCGACAACGTGCCTGACCCTCCGTATTGTTTCTGATACTTGAGCTCAGTGAACTCAAAACAGCATTTTGTTCTTAGAAATTGATTGCATTTATGAAAAAAGTGACTAGCACTTTCCCATATGTCACTAAGTGATCCAAGTACTATACACGGTTACCAAAAAATAACTGTTTTATTTATTTGAGCTGCTGCCGAGATCCCTGAATACCAATGAAGGGAGAGTACAATCAAGAGAAGCAAAGGACCATCTACTGATGAGGGGATAGGGAAAGTATATGTGTAGGACATATACAGGGGACACCATCAGAGTGCTGCTCCTATAAGCTGCCTGTCTCATCAGTAATCCCCCCTGACAGGACTCTCTATTGTTTAACCACGTCTTTGAGATGATTGAGTGCAGGAGAGAGAAAAGATAAATAAAAAGCAGATAAAAGAGGAGAAGATAAAAAGAAGTATTACACCCGAGGAGCAAATAAAGACGATTTTATAGCCTGTCCTACATATCAGCTGTGCTAATGACTGCTGGAGTTCTCTCTGTAATAAGCTGAGTAACCACATCACCACAGGGGTACTACATGAATTTCACCCCTACCAGCTGAGACATCTGTATGTCTGCAAAATGCAGCGAGTAACACTTCAATTGTAATCATGCAGTGTGGCTCAATTTAGCACCTGCTTTAATTACAAGAGAAAGTCTCTGAAAGAGAGGGTTGAGGGAGTTTTAGATAATGCTAGGTGCAGGCTAAATTAGCTGTGAAACTAACAAATGAAGGCAATTAGCGAGCTAGCCCCCACTCCGTTGGCGCAGTCTAATTGAGAAACCAGGGCAACGACTATCTGAAACAACCGTTGCTTTAACTTTATCTGTTCTGCTGACAATAGGCCACATTTAGGTAGTGCTGATACAACTAATTAGAGGGGAGGCATCCTAAAAAGCCTTACAAGGACGCTTTGTGTGTGCAGTATTTATCAAAGTTTGCATTTGTTGCATTTATCTGCAGCAGCATAGTGTTTATTATATCTTTAAACGTGACATAACAGAAGTACTTTTCCGATCTCTACACATTAATTATAGAGTCAAGAGAGTTCAAGGAAGAAAATACTAATACTACGATATTAAAATGTCAACAAATTCTAGGTCTGCGCTTTCACATTGTGTCGAATCTGGTAGAAGAGAAGAATGGCTGCAAGAGACGGCAAGGCACGGAGAGAGGAGAGATGAATGAAAAGAGAGCAAATAAAGAGACATGGAGGAGAAAAACCGGTGGAGGTTGTAAGTGGAGCGTAAACAAAGTGGACAAGAGAGAGGAGAAGCTGAGGAGGGGAGGTGGAGCTGTGAAGAGATGAAGAGAGATGTGGACGGAGAGGATCAGACAAGGATGCAGGATCTCAGAGCGGGAGGGGGGGGGGGATAGCAGTCCTGTGAACTCAAAGTCCTGCAGATGACTGGAGAGGCCCTAGAGATCTCTTAATGTGATGCAATGCTTTCTCTTCTTCTCCTCTCCCTGTTTTCCTCTTTATTTGTTTCCCTCTTTGTCTATGCAGCTTTTGCACACTGTTGCTCAAGAGGAAAAACACACACAGACAAGAACATACAAAACTACTTCTCACCGGGGCAGTTCCCGTCCATTTCTTCGTGTCCGATACTACAGACGCAGCGGCCAAGTGGCACCAGCCAGTCTCCATCAGCACCGCAGTACAGTTTGGGTGTGTCCCGCTCCTCTGCGTTCTCCACACAGGCACCCCTCACTTCTACTAAAGATGATGAATCCATATGCGGCACCGTATCTGGAAATGCCGCCAGATTTCTCAGAGTGGATGGGCAGCGCTTGTAGAAGACCTTGTTGGTATGAAAAGAAAAAAAAAGTCAGAAGTTGATGCGCTGCCAGTTCTCTGAAAAAAATCAAGAACAAGGTCTTTAGACACAAGACAGACCATCCATTAACTGACCCTCACTGATACGAGAGCGATACACGCTCCCACATCCTGGAACGCCAAGTAGAAACCCTTCAGCGTCACCGGTCCCACCTCTCTGACCTCAGTATTGAGGCGAAGAACACGATCTCCAAGATCGGTTTGTGTGAAACTCTCATCTGCTGCTATTGTGTCCACCTGAAGCCAAAAACAAGCTCTTCATTAGCTCAGTTCATTGTTGAGCAAACTGATTAGCGCTTAATGCAGTTCCTTCTTTACAACAGAAGCTCAAAAACCAACCTTAGCATAATCAGAGGGCCGAAACCTTGTCCCTGCAGAGAGCGGCTCCTCAGTCTGAAGGTAGAAAAGGTTGAAGGTTTCCTTACAGGTACCAGACACCCAGGGAATAGAGTTGCAATCTCTGAGTGTGAAACGCAGCTCCACGTATACCTGAGTGGGAGTATTCATAAATTATAAACAAATATGAGCTCATTATACATTTAACAAACAGCGCTGTGAACATTTTGAAGGCGTTTCTGCATGTTGCCTTACTGCAAGGAAATAAAGTTGAATCTGTCTTTGGGATAAATCCTCCTAACATGGTGATTTCAACACAGGAAAATGGCAGGCTTTTAGCTCACATGGTATAAAATGCGTTAAGTGCAATCACGACTCTTAATGGATTCATAAAAATTGATGATAAAGATGAAAGTAAGATGGCATATGGCTAAAAAGATTTTTGGCACATTCCTAAACAGCCGCCGTCCTTATCTACTTCTTCTGATACGAGAGTTTTAATTCCCTCCTGTTACTTCAACACTTCCCCAACCTTGAGTCAATGTCACCACTGCACTCTGCTTCAACACTACTCCATTTGATCACAATATCAGGCCAAGGTTTCTTAGCAAGTTGAGTGTGTGTGTCTAAGGAAGTGATGTGTTATAGTACACACTCTCTGTGCAGCCTGCCGCTGGATCCATCCTGACCGCAGCCAGTTATTCTGGTTCGGCTCCATTACATGGCAAACCTGGAAGGTGTGAATGGGCCGGTTCTGCTCGTCCATCTCTGTGATGGCATCCCACTGTAAAGACATGAGAAGAAATATGGGTAAAACTGAAACACATCACTTCACACTATCAGTTCCTTAACAATGACATATGAGAACAGTTTCATTTATTAGTTGAACAGATGTAGTTCCAACTCATGGAGCCTTTAGTCTGAACCCCTGCAGCATTTTTATGCCATGTTTCTATTGGATATTGTACGCCAACAATTGGTCTGTCATACCAAAATCTGAAGATACTGTTATCAACAAGCAATCATATTTTAATACCACACCTCAAGTGGCAGAAACCTTTAGCAAGACCAGACAACCATGTGCCACAACCAGCTGAGCCAAATATCAAAAATGATCCAAATATAATGAGCAGCCATACTAATCTTTAAAGACAAGTTAATATGTGAATTGGTATAAATGATTGACTGTAACTGATAGATTGCAGTGGTTGCTGGCATGTTGCCATGGTGTCAGCAAAAGAATAATGCTGCGTTCAAGTTGTACTCGAAAGTTAGGATTTCCGAGCTCTGAGTCAGAAATTCATCTGGAACGCCCGCCTGAAGTTCGGCTTTCCAACTCAGAAAGTCGGACAAACCTCGCCAACCTCGCAGCGCAGTGCATCAACAGTAAAGGGTAACAGTTAAAGCTCTTGTAATGTATTATTTATGAGCACTTCTGTTTGGTTTTGTGAAATTAAATAAGTGGTTTATGTTGTGCTGTCCAACGTCCAACTGTGAACACGTTGCTATGGGGTTTGTACAGTAAAATACTGTGTTGTGCGTTGTTTACAACTGGTATAGCTAACAGTAAATAACAACAGCTGACAATGGCTAACAACGACTGACAAGGGCTAATGACTGCTGACCATCGTAAACAACAGCTAACAACAGCTAACTGTAGGCAACCATCTTGGTTTTCCGACTTGTTTACTGGAATGCCGTCAACTCTGGTGTAACGTCATTCCCAGCTCCGACATCTAACTTCCTAGGTAACTGGAACGCAGCAGTGGACTACCAAAATAATAGAGTTATAAAAACAATTTACCATTCATCAATATGTATGAAGACGCTATGCTGTCAATATGAATAAGCTGCAGATCATGGGCAAGGATATCTGCATGACTCTCATGTTTTGAAATGACAATGCATGCACCCTTGAATGATCTTGTTCCAGTGCTTTTTCCTAAAATAGTTAACCTGTGCACCTTGTATTTCATGTAGTGAAACTTAATTTCTATAGAAACATGATGTTAGAAAGACACCACATTTTCAAGCCGTTGCATCAGCCAGACTCTCTCATTTGTCTGCTCCGCTCTAACGGTGTGATGATCAGAGCTTCAAAAGCACTAACGTGTATTGACAGAACTTCTTTCTCATAACTGCTGTGGCAATAAATGTGCAGCTGAGTTTGTGTCAGAAACACAGCTGGATGTGAAATAACATCTAAGGGCATGAGATACTTGCAGCAGTCCAACTTGGTTCTTTTGCTGGAAAGGCCAGAGAGCCTTGCAGCGTGTCTAATAACATGCATGTGGTAGTCAAACAATGAATTAAATTAAATGGAGATAAAATAACAGAGGAAGCGATCAGAGAGTTCACTTTTATCTCACATTTTCTCATGGATTTTCCTACAGTAGTGTGCTGAGATGAAAAGAGGTCCTTGAAAATCCTGGGACTGAAGAGGTCCGGCTACAACTATGAAGAGGTTGTTTGAAAAGTAGGTTTTGCAAGTCAGGACCAAATGTGAATGTAAGGGTCCATCAGATTCAAACTGGTAGTCTTGTAGAAAGCGGAAGTGGAAAAGTTGACTCAGACTAACTAAACTAGAAACTAGTAAAAAGGATGTAGCCAGTCCTCTGGTACTTTGCTTCAACACATCCGCCTGCCAGTCTAAACAGCCAGGCTCCTAATTAAACCTCATTATCCATTTCACTCATAAACAGACAAGTTATAAAAAACTCTCCCCTGTAGAGTTTTAACAAATAAAGAGACGAACTAATGAGACCAAAACTGTTTTTCTTCGCAGGCTGTAAACATGCTGTAAAAAGTACAAGCCAGTCTAGCTGCAGACCTCCACTGAGAGGACCCGAGGTTTTTTCTCACGCGCTCCAGTTTGTTTTAAGTGGTCACACAAAAAATCATATTCATAAAATAAAGCCCCCCCCAAAAATTATATTCACACGAGAAAACAAATATGAACTTCTAGGTCTAATTGCTTTTATTTTGAAAGGTTTCAAACAACTTTGAGTCCTCTTAGTAGAGGTCTGCAGCCAGACCCCTCTCAGAAATTAACAGCTTTGCCTGTGCTTAAATGGGGTTTCCTCGTCCTTCGGAGCAAACACTCAAGAAATGGATTGTTTAAAAGGAATGAAACAGAACTAAGGTGACTTTTGGTTCTGCTAAATTGTGGCACAAATGTCAGACAGCCAAGGAAGGTTAAAAATACAATACAAATCCAATCAGAGAAAGTTGAGACAATGTGTAAGATTAATTCAGGAGATTACAGGAGAGGAAGGACTCAGACAAATTTGAATTGAAACAGTGAGCATATGCAGAGGGTAAGCACTCTATCTTTTCCCCTGGAAGTGATTGAGACTGAATTACTTGGACCTTACCTTTATTTTATCTTAGAGTGTAATCAAACTTTGGTTGAACCAACCATTAGAGGTTTGTGTCTTTGACTGCCACTTCCACTTTATCACCATGTATCTATTCACTGGTTGGATACTCCTCCCAAAATAGGACTGTGCAGAACAAGCTAGCAAGCGAACAAAATGGTAGGTTTGTGCCCTCTACCCGATCAAGTCCAAAAATTCCCATGGACAAATTTATTATGAAATTGCAGGGGGAAGTTGCAATCAGTTCTGCTCACACTCTGTGACAATAACAGCTGCAACAGGAACAGCTCCTGAAATTAACAACAATGCTTTTTTGAGGGTGGGATTTATCTGTTGTATTTATCATATAAACCAGATGAATAAAACAAATCAACTGAGCACAGATTTTAGAATTATATGATTCCCCTAAATGCTCAATTAAATGAGAAGGTGTGGGGTCCGGCTGGAGAACTACAGCCTTTCCTTAGACTGCACAATATCAGTTCTGGGTCTGCACACTAAACCATGTAAGATGTCTGAAAGCAAGAGTAGCTAAAAGGAAAGCACTTTGTGACTGCTTATTGATTCCACCCTCTACCATAATGGTTCCTACATAATTTAATTCTGTAACAGTGATATCTGTAAAAGGTGGTGTTCAATAAGGAAAATCACCCCAACTTGCTGTGTGGAAGTATGTATGCATTCTGATTTATGTGACCTAGTAAAGATGACAAAGAGAGAGAGGAAAAGGGAACAACTAAGGTAGGGGGTTCTCAAATACAAATTATTAAATAACACTTTAACCTTGACTCAGGCGTGCAAAAGCAATTAATCTTATATTAATTAAGCTATCTAAATTACCTCTTTGTGACACCCCAGGGCTAAATGATTAATCAATTATAATCACTTCCCTTTATTTGGAACTACAGCTAGACAATAATGCTGGCTGTACATGGCCTGCGTGATGCTGAGTGGTGTCGGAGGTAGTTTGTAATCATACATACCGTACATGTATAGCATACATATATCACTGCTGTGGTAAATGTTCAAGGTAAATAAGCTGAATTAATCTGTAGCTAAATGCAAAATGGACTCATGTATAGTTGCCAATAACCATAACTGCAGTATATGACAGGACTAACAGAGCTTATCTTTTTATTAGTGTTTAATGCAATTCTTCTGATTGATCCTAATGAACACAGAATGATTCTTTATGCAGCCAGATGCCCATATGAACATTCAAATAGGTCTTGCTTACTGAAACCCTTCTCTCTGTTATAAGCAGCTGTTAAAAAGATCCCTTTAAAAGTTCACTTTGAATAATGGAGACAGGGAAGGAAAGTCAGTCTATTCCCTATGCCATAGCAAGCTTTGAATTTTTGTTGAAGCTAAAGTTTTATGCTTTGACTAGACGTATCAAGTTGTTGAAGCCTTTTTATCAAAAAAATCTCCTCTGCGTTTCTATCTCCCCGCTGCAGCCCAGAGCAGGAAAATTGTCTGGGAAGACAAAAGGAAGGAAACCTGCTTGATTTGATAAACTAAGACTGCTGAAGCGCCAATTGCTTCAAATAACCACTTAAAAACATCACAGCTCTGAATAAGGACTATGTTTTGTTCCAGATCACTGGAGCACAAGGGGAAGTTATATTCTTGTGGCTGAAGTGCAGAGATGTAACAGAAAGCATATGGGCACTTAAAGCTCCTGTGAGGAGTTTTTGGCTGGTTATGAAACAGACTTAAATCAATACTGATGTCTTCATATAACCTACTAAAGCGAAAGAGACCACACAAATTTAACGACTGGTCATTTCTATACAGTTACTTTTAAGGCCTGTAAACACTGATGTGCACAAGTTTGAAACAAAACACTTTCAGAACTTCTTTCTCTTTTATACTTTTCAAAGCAAAGATTCATGAAAATAAAGTGTGTGAAAATACAGCTGGGTGAGATTTTTTTTTTTTTTTTTGGCCAAAAAACAGAACTCACATTTGCACAGAAAAGAAAATATTCATACATAACTAAAAAGTTTCACCTTGTCTACAAAACCTGCAAAAACAAAAGTTAGCTCTAGTAGCTCTAAAAACTAAAAAACTCTAAAATCTCTCTTTCTTTTACTTTCTGAAATGTGAAAATTTCATTCTATTTTCATCTGAATCCTTATTTTCTGTAGTTAGCATGCCCACAGTTCAAATTAGTGGGAAACATTTTGTGCAGTAACCATAATAAAAGACCAAAACTTGTATAGACTGATCGTGGCATTAGTATAGATTTTCAGCACTCTGATGTTTACTGAGTAGCAACAGGGACAAAGTACACCAGAGGCTGATTTGTTTGGCAATTAAATAGGCTAAAAAAAGAAATACCGAATTGACTGATGGGATTATAAATGATCTCAGATCGTCACCTGGAGGACATGAACATCTACCAAGAATTCAAACAAATGTCAATCTATTTAATTGAAGCATACAAACGCAGACCTGTTGGTGGAGAATCGCCAGAGGGATTGAGACTCGTCCTCACGGGACACAACACAAACTGAATATCTGCAGCAAATCCATGACACTCTATTGAGTAGATGTTGAGATTTGCAAGTGCTGTGGAAAATATAATGCAAATATTCTGCGTTTACTAAAATGAAAAGCCATACTGTATATGAGTACAAGGCTTCTGCAGCACTTTGCCACTTTCCTTTCAGCCTGCAAGCTCTGAGATTTGGTATGAGTGTGAAGATACTTCTTGATATTCATATTTTTCAGTTTCAACTTATGGACTCTTAATATTTCTTTTCAGCCCCCTCCATACAGACTAGAGACAAACACTCGGTATCTTTGAGGGGAGCATACTCTTTGGTTTGCATAAGATCAGCATTAAGTAATTGAAGTTCCATTGTGCATACAAACAAGAGAAAATGGTAATTTGTCACTCTCTGTGCCTCCATGTTCTAAAATGCTCCCTTGGGATGTGGCATGGTTCAGAGCAGAGAAAACAAATGCAAACCCCGAGTTTGAAAGATGAGCTGCAGCCCACGCTCCCCGAGACAATCAGATATGCACCTACTAATCGTTCTCCCTATTAGCCCCAAGCTTAGCGCACAGTAGCAGACAGAGAACATTTTTTAAGTTCGAGGTGTTGGAAGAACTGTTTATTGCAATAAAAGGGTGCAATGCCAGGCTTTGAAAGTGGCCTGGAAAAAAAAAAGCTACACTGATGACTTAGTTTTCAGGCTGAGCCAGAAGCAAAAGCCAGAGATATCATAGTATTGAAGATGCCAAATGAAGAAAGATGGGCCTAATTGCTCTGTCTGGCATCATGACCCTTGAGTTTGTTAAAAATTTCCTCACTTAATCCAAAAAGCAATTAAAACACTTTGCATCAATACAGTGACACTCACATTGCAATTATGCCTGCCTCTTTCACATGTACTATTGACTTTTGCAAGTCCAGATGCACTTTGTCCTGGTCCGAAGGGATTTTAACAAAGTTTGCAACAATTAATGACCGCCCTGTCTGCATACAGATCGAGGTTTGAAGGAGCAAGTGGGAGAACAGTTGAAAACGTCACCATTACTGCTCAGTAGACAACCATTTATTTCAAGAGTCTCAGTCCCTCTTTAGACTTGAAGTGGACAGACAAAGCAGATGCTCAGTTGACATCAATTCCTTATGGCAGACATATTAATGCATTGAAGAGGTGCTGAGTGGATTGGTACTTGTGGCTCACGAACCCTGGGTGATATTCTGGTGTGTAGTACCCCTGAGAGTGAGGAATGTTGACAAGGCTGGCTGTAAGCAAACATATGGTCCATTTGAGAAGTTGTAGTTGATTCTTCTAGACTTACAGTCCTGTATTTTTCTGCTTTGCTGTATAAACCAGCCTTTTTAATGAGTAAGGGTACACATCATATTGGTTAATCAATTCATGAATTCTTTTAAAAGAAATTGTGTTCGCGGTTAAGATACAGTTTACTTCTCTAAACTTAATTTTATGCATTAACAACAACAACAGGTTTGATAAACCATTAAAGCTACCACTTATATATATATACTGTATATACATATATACTCGAGTCACCATACAGCCCAGCAACATAATGTAAAAGTTGTCTCTATGGCCCACGTAAAAAACATGGCTTCGAATTGGGGATTTGAATTGGCTCCTGTGGTGACATAACAACAGGAGTGATATACTGTATATAAGCATGTACTCCTACTCAAAATCCAGGTCCACTTTCTTTGACACTCAATTTAGCTTCAGTGTTGCACGGTTAAGATGTCAAAAATGAAAGGCAACTACGTCAACTATGTCATCTCTATATCATAGATGGTATATATCATGGACAACTTGGCTCCGCCTTCCGTCATTATCCGAATTTTAAAGCCGAATTGCTCTCGGTATTTCTGGGATTTTGGGACATGTGTAATGTACTGGTGCAGGTTATCCTGGAGTGCTCACCATGTTGAGTTACTTTCACCACCTCTGTCTCTCTCTGTCTCATTATCATGGCAGAAGGTTGGAAACAGTTAAAAATACCACTATCTGCAACATTTGAGTTTCTACTAAACAGCACTAAATATTAACACAAAAACTCTTAACTCTTAGATAATGTAACAGTAAGCTAGCTACCATTACTGTTTTTCACGAAACACCGAAATCAGGAATTGATGCTTTTCCTATCATGTCATCTAAACTATCCATTAGAGGCATGGTTGACAATTGGAGAGATTGGTAATTATTGAACCTCGTTTATATGGCGATCATGGTCCTATCTGTTCTGTCCTATCTAATCTGTTCACCCTAGCAGGGCTGCAAAAACACTGACCAATGGGAGCCATCCGTCCTGGACAGCTTCTATTGGTAAATCTTCTGCTCTACCTCTTCATCCAATCACCTCGCTGTATTTGACACACCCCTCTCCCACGTTTCCAACTGATCCCCTCCCACTGTCGCGGCCCTCCCCGGAGCTCTGAGCAGCTAAAAGTAAAAATAAATGAAATAAATAAAAGTTCTGCTTGCCCCACAGCCAAAAGTGCTAAGAAAACGCGAGCCGATGGAAGAAAGGGCAGCGACGAAGAGGAAATGTGACCAAGCGAGGAATAAACCTCGGGTCATCCTTTGAGCGGTGGAGAAAGCTCAGCCAGAATTTGGGCCTGAAAACAGACACCGAGACAGCAGAGTTTTTGTTGAACAGGTAATTTTTGCCTTTTATTATGGCATGTTATTTAAATAACTCTTATTAGTCTCTGCAATGTCAACACGGTAGCTGTCCACACATGTTGTACCGTATTACTTTGTATTTTGACTTATTTCCATATCTGTGTTTTTCCACTGCTGGTGAGGAAAAAAGTAAAAATTTCCCATTTACACATCTAGAGCATGTCAAAATAGTTAAATCCCTCTGATTTCAGCATTTGAACTTAGCACCCTCTGCATGACGTCAGGATGAACCATAAATATTTATATGGTGACGTGCTCTGGTTTTCAGACATCACAAACTTCTGGTGAGTTTCTCTCTCTACTTGTAATGATTATTTTTCCTCCTCATAGCTCCTGGCAGCTGGAGGTCTGCACTCAGCTGCTGACAGGAACCTCTGACTACTTCTCAGTCAGAGGAATATCATAAAAGTTGTTCAGCGCTGAGAAGAGGTTGTGATGAAATTTCTGCTTGCAGATAAAGATACATCTTTTAAATTAACAAGGGCTGCATCAAAGTAGTAACATGTGCTAGAAACTCAATGCACAGCCAATTAGCAGACCGTAAATCAGTTTTATCACTGGAATTATTTGATTTTCCCCTATGCCATATTAAAGATTTATTGGACAACTTCAACACCTCATGCTGGAAGTAGAAGGTGAAAAAGGATGACTAGGACCTTTTGAGTGCCACATAAGTCACCTCTAGCATGTATACATTAGCCTCATATAATAACTTTATCCTATACTATAGCTACTTGCCTTAACTCGCCTACTCATGTTAATGTGTTATTTAGCGAACTGCACTATCTGTGGTGGTGATAAAAAAAAAAAAAAGACTAAACAAGAGAAAGGGAGCAAAAGAGGTGCTGTTTTGAGTGCTAATTATATGCTAATGTGGTACTTTTAATGCAGATCAACATTTTAGTGGAGCTTTATTTTTGCCAAAAAAAGTATGAAATACTGTAAGTGATCATTTAGAAAAATCCTTTTCAGATAGTGACTGTGGAGAATTACATGTCCGTTGGCAAAATCACAAATTAAACTGCATGTGAATACCAACCAAAATGCACACATCTTGTCTGTGTAGATGTGGTTTTGACTCATGAGTGTGTGTCATAACAAATGTGGTAAAGAGAGTGTTTAAAGCCACAGTGTGGTCACAGCAGCTAGACTGGATGCCACTAATAGCTAGGAAACCCAGGCTCATTAGTGAGGTGTATTTGCGCTATCATTCCCCCAACGTTGTTTGTGAAGGCGGCATTGTCATGTTTATTTACAGTATAAAAACAGTGAATACACAGACTCTGGAAAGAGGTTAGTGTGGTTTACTGCATATATCAGCGTGATGCATAACTGCGTAAGTTAAACAGCACATCATAAAGCTCTACCTACAATAGATAAGTATCTATTCAACCACAATGAAAACCTGGAACCATCCCTTTTAGAAATATTCGTACTTACCAGGTTAAGTTTTATCGATCAAAGTAACAAAATATAAAAACATAAAGCACAATAGACTTACATGACTTACTATATAATACTATCAAACTATTATATAAATAGTACAATCATTGACTGTAGTAACAGAAGTGTGTCTACATTATGTAAGAAATAATTTATGGTGATTGGGGTTTTTATGCGAAATAAAATCCCAACATGGTGAGCAGAACCTCAGTGTCTGTTTCTGCCACAGTGTGAAAAGGCAGAGGTGAAATCATTTCTTTATACTTATTGATATGATATGATTTGATAATCATTATTGGGGTTGTGGGGCTTTTGATAAGTCAGAATAAAGTGTTTCAAAAACCTGTAATCCTAATTTTTATCGTGGTCTTCGTTCCTCAATGCCTGACTCATGTTTGGTATAAGGGACTAAGAAAAATCTCCAGGTCCTGCTGGAGAATGGAGTTGCTGAAACAATCATTTTGGGTGAGTAATGGGACTTGCAGTAAATGGCCATGGCTGGGAGTCAGACCAGTGACCACCATGATCCGGAGCAGAGCCTCTACACATGAACCTGAACAAGTTTGTGTTTTTATCGTCTTAGGTATAAGTGAGCCCTCTATTGAACTTGTTTTGATTTAATGTTTGTGCTTGTGAAGGCAAGCCCTGTCATCAGGTGTATATTGCGGCATATAACCAGAAAAACAAAAACAACTTCAAGCGTACGGACCACAATACCTGATCTAAAATCCCAATCTTTGCTTAAGCTTTTCAGTGTTGAGAGGTTGTTGTTTCTCAAGCAATGTTTTTATTTTAGGTTAAACATATATCTTGATAATAAGCCAATAGTAGACATTATGTCAATACTGTGAGTCCTTTTAGGATCTTCTGGACAGGGGGGGGCAGCCTTATAAGTTCATGGAGGTCAAAGGTCACAGCTGATAACAGATGAGTGATAAACTTGTGATCATTTTGAGTTGAATTCGCTCACAAAAACACTTTGATATTCACTATACTGACAGCTGTCATTAAGTACTCAGACAGTATGTCAGACATTTTTACATCTTACACTCTTTAATCATTGTTGTGGTTATTTCATCACAGTTAAAAGGGGTCACGAGAGTTTGTGAACTTGAAAATTGACAGAGATGTAATACATGTACTTAAATATATATAAAAAAAAAAAATCCCCTGCCTTGATTTAACATGCCAGCAGACATCTTTGTGATTGATGTGTACAAGTTGAAAAAGGATTAAAGTGGAGTTTCCTTTTCTCAGCTGAGTATCATTGCCTCATGTTACAGGTGCTGAAAAAAACATCAGGCAGTTAAGAAAAGCCTCACGTGTGCGCACGTCCCTGCACTGCAGAGACAGATTCAGATGTACGAACAACAATAGCTAAGAGGTGTGAGGTTCTGATTAAAACAAGACAATCTGTCATTGTCAGACTTAAGGGAAGAGAGAGACAGAGGTGTTATGAAAATATCATTAAATCACTGTGGTTGTGATGAATTATTGATCCGATGTGAATCTGGGTGTTGGAATTGCATTTTTTTTTTGTTCAACCAATTAATGGTGTTGTTGCTCCCTATAGCAAAAACCTGTTTTTGCTGTGCGTAAGAGGAGCTGTCTCAATATTGGTATTCAGCCCTGAAATATCTCACGAGTTTGTTTCTATTTATTGGTTTTGCTCCAAAGGATTTATTACACTTTTAATAATAGCCTGAAAACACAAACAGTCCAGCTACAACCTCATGTCCCAAATTAGAGGCAACAAGCTGAAAAAAAGAAAAAATGTTGTTGTTATGATGGTTGCTTGGTCCCAGCTGAAATGAATGTAAGAGTGAAATCTATATCACCTCAGGCTTATTGGCTTTTTACATTAATGTGGCTCTTTACAGTTTGTTTAATCTTTAGATATATTTGAAAGGCTTTCCCAAATCTGTATTCATGTTATTATAATGTTTTTGCTGGTGTTCTTTATAAAACCCTTGAGAAGCACAAAAAAAAAAAAAAATGTGCCAAGATACTTTTGGTCTACCTAATGAGGTTGGTTTCGGAAATACAAAGTATTGTCTTCTGTGCATCCTTAAAAATGTATTAATTGAGAATACACCTATTTTATTTATAAACTGAGGAGATAAAATGCATGTTTTTATTGAATCCGTTTTTACAAGGGTTAAATGACACTAAGTAGTTGCTGTTAGAGGGTTCAACATTTAGTTTACATCACTGCAGTGTCATACCAAAGCTTTGCCTTCAATGTGCCTTGCAGCAGCAGCAGCAGCAAAGAACTGGTTTCAGGGTATTATATGAACCCACCTCATACAAAGCTTTATCAATGCATTTATAAAGCTTTATAACATTGATTATAAGAGATTTTAGGCATTTACAACAGCTTATAGCAATGCTTATGAAGTGTTAATAAGCAGTGGGTATAAAGGCATTATAATCTGTAATTTATCATGTTTATACCATGCTGCAAAAGAAAACATATATAGATATAAAAATATGTAATTGTTGCACTGTCTAACACTTCATTTGCAGCTACAAAATACTGCTTAGAAGTTTCTGTGAATTAGTCATAGGAACATATAATTGTTAATTACTTATAGCGCCATAAGTCATGCTTTACCATGTTGAGTATTAATAAGATATTTTCCAAATTTAGAATCAGAGAAATTATAACTTTTTTAAAAACATGAAATGAGTTACTTATGAACCTCCATAGCCTGGTGAAGTTGTCAGATTTAGAATGTATTACTGTATTATTAATGTATAATGTATTGTTATTATTAAACCAGGAATTAAAAAAGATGCTGTTTTTTGTTTTGCATTATGCTTGCTGCTTGTAACACTTCATAAACATTGCTATAAGCTGTAATAAATGCCTATCATCATCTATAAGTGTGCTCATGATGCATTATAAGAGCTGTGTTCATATAAAGTGTTATCACGTTATGTTACGGTGTTGCAGAAGCACAAGATGCACACACAGCACAAACTTCACATGCACACTCTGACTTGAAACGGTGCTGTTCCATACTGCCGGCTTTACCTATGACCTATGAACTGAGTTTGAAGGTAGTCATCGCTACATATGTAGTTTATAATAAACTATTCTGCTAATCAAAACTATCATTTCATCTATTCATGTAATAAAATGTAAAAGACCCAAAATTTATGTTGAAAGAATGTAAGACAGGGGCTTTGCCTCAGAATTATACCTCCATTGCATTTTAATTGGCAGGTAGGCATAACAGTTCCATCTCACAGGCAGAGTAGAGGGGGATTATGAGGCGTATGAGACTTTGAAAAATATGTATCACTCTGCCCGAGGATGTTCTGAATTCTCCTGATTAGAGTTACTGTCATTTATCAAATATAACAATCACACACATTTTTATATTTAGTGCAGCAGAAATCCATTTCCTAACATAACAATCAGTTTAACTTAATACAAGCAGGTACTGCATGCTGTTGTCAAGGAGTCTAATGCTGGATAATTTTAAAAAGCATTTACCGTTTTACCCATTTGATAACACTTTACTTGATGCCCAACTCTATAACTCATTATAAATATATGTATAATGCGATATAGCACTGTATAACTATAGTTATAAACACTCATAAATGATCATAATGCTTTATAGCAATAATCATAACACATTTGAAAGCATTTTATCATGACTTACAAGGTCAGGTATTATAATGTGTTTTAACTGTTAACAACTCACTGTCAATGCCCACATAGATAATACATTATACATATATTTATGATGTGTAATAATTAGCTTATAAACTTGTATAACTATCATTATAAACACTCATTAATTATCATAAGGCTTTATAAACAATAGGAATAACACATTATAATACCTGACCCTGTAATTCATGATAAAATACTTTATAATGTGTTATGATTATTGCTATAAAGCATTATGATCATTTGTCAGTGTTTATAACTATAGTTATACAGTGCTATTACATGATTATAACACATTATACATATATCTATCATGTGTTATAGAGACAGGCTTCAAGTAAAGTGTTACCAAACAGGGTAAACAGATGTTAAGACAGTTACACTACTACCAATTAGTTAAGCATGTTAAATATGTTTTGTTGCAAGGCAAGAAAAGGTCAGGCTGATTGATGTGTTTGTGTCTTTATATCATGTTAATACCTATGATTGTGAAATGCTTCACAGTAGACAGTCTTACAACCTTTAAATAGAGGATTTCTCATGTTACTCACCCCGTTTACAGGGTAGGTCTTCCAGTCCAGTTCTCCTAGTACTGTCGTAGTGTCCAACAGAACCACTGGAGAGAGTGCAGGGTGAAAGAAAGTAAATGTAAAATGGAGGAGAAAAGTTGAAAGAGTCAGAGAATGACAGTGGAAGCAGGAGGAGTGAGAGGAGAGAGCAGAAAGGGGAAGAGAGTGCACGAGAGGTTGGACAGTGAATTTAAAAAGAAGGGAAATGGAGGTGACAGAGTAGGAAGAAAGCAGACAATAGTTATCAAGCTGTCAATGAGACGCTGACAGAGCTGTAAAGCCTTTATCAGATTCAACCACCTATGAAATAACAGCTCTTAGAGAAAGTCCGGGACAACACCAACACTAACACGGATCCGCCCCCCGTCAAGGAAAAGTCTGGATGATTAGTGCTCTCCTTCTCAGAGGTCAGTTTTCTCTGCAGTGTGTCGTCAAAAATAGGACCAAGATGAATAAAGCACAAAGACTATAACTGTAGAGACTCTGAATGTTTTACTTACTAAATACGACTTGATTAAAAGAAAAATGAAGCTGGCTGACGTACTGTTGGGAAAACCATGGCAGTAACAAAACACATTGTAGCTTACATTAAGGTACCACCTTGAGCCAGGCGCAGCCAAGTAATTACACTTTTACTGGATGATGCTGCACCTCACATTTTTGGATCCAGTTCCAATAATCAGTGCCAGTGCAGGAAGTAGTGGGTTTTGCTGGCACATCAGCAGCACATTGTTATAAGTATCAGCAGGCTGAAAAGATTATACAAAATACTGAGTGTTATATATGATTAGTTTGTGAAACCTTTGAGTGTAAATTCACAAGATGCTCCTCATTCTTCATCTAATTGTCGACAGCTGGCTGCTTTTATTCTATTTCCCATTACAATTACATACAGGCTAACATAGAGTACAATTACGGCTTTATTCTTATGATAATTTCACTTTTTTTTCTGGTACATCTGTAATGTCTGCAATACTGCAACGTCTTAATCCATGGACAAATACCTGATGTTCAAATATACAATAATTGGGAGTGATGACTTCCGTCCTAGGCTCACTGTGTGGCTATCCTAACCATGTAAGGGTCCGCACCGACCTGTTGTTGTTTTTAAATACTTAAAAGAACCACATAAATGAGTTCTTTTGCATCAAGACTTTTTGACTTCGTCAGGAACCTCTATTTCAACAAAATAAAAAATTAAATTGACTACATTATAAAATACTCTTATTAAGATTATGGCACTTGTCATGTTAGGGTCGCTGTTGACCTGGTTAGATTAAAATCTAATAATTAGAGCAAAAACTGAAATCATACGTGCACTTTCAGGCACCACACTGACAGTCAGATCCTTTTCCAATCATGTGAAATTTAGGAAATTCTCATTTTGCCTTGTTCTTCCCTGCACAAAAAACAGCCTCAGGCATGTCCAGACATGTGAGATCAATTAAGTATAGATGTCTGTATGAGGGGTATACTGACAAAGAAAGGCCCAGAGACCCACAACAAAAAATATTATCAGCAGTATTTTCATGGATAATGAAGCCTAACGAGGTAACCTAGAGATGAAACCAAATTGGATGATAGAGAATTGTTTTTAGTGTAATTTACAGCTGATTTAAGACACGGGTCAAAACGGATTTGTTAACATAGTGGGTGCGTAGTGAAAGCTAACACAGGAGGAAGGTAAAGGACTTCTAGTCATGACTTCCTTTTCGTGCATTACCTTTTTGGTCTCTCTCTCTGTAACAAACTGCCTGCAGACCTGAGGTTGTAACTATCTCTCCTTTAAAACTAAACTTAAAGTCTACCAATTTCCAAAGTGAAAGAACAGTTGCTTTATCAGTGTCTAAATATGATGACTTAAATATGATGGTTGGTTGCATGTGCAACATTGCTTTTAAGATCTTTATTTCTGTTATGCTTTTAATGTTGAACTGCTAAGAGGTGTGTTTGGTGAATGTTGGGTACATGCTTCATGGATTATTTTTCGATGCTTTCGGATTAACTCTCAATGACACAGCACAAGATCTAACTCTGTATTTTAAGGAATCCTGAGTTGAAAAAGTCTTCTATGTCACGCCAAGCACAGGTTATCTTAAAAGTTTTTCAGCATTGATATTTGACACTGGGTGGGCATGTCAGAAATATCCACATTGTGTACATACAAGTGTACCAATCTTGAGCTGTCTGCACTCTGCTCACGGCTCAGGCATGAAAAGAGCCATTATCTGGCCCTTGCTAAGCCCCTTAGGCCAATTTGATATGACGAATGTGCAATTTCCTTTGTCTCCACACAGCCAGTTAATTACAATCTCTATCAATAAAGTGCGTCCTACTTCAGTGGTCGACATTACAGACCAAAGAGTCACATCTTCAGACGACCTGCCACTCCAGCGTACTGCGAACTAGTCCAAATCTGGACTAATTTAATGGGGTTTCTCCTGTTTTAAGAAGAAGTCAGATAACCAGAGAAGATACACTTTGGTGGGACTAAACGAAGCACTTCAGTATTTACAGAGACTTCATTTAGCCTTGATCCCCTGCTGGTAATTAAGGGCTGAATTATAATAAGATGGCCTTGCCTCTGTTCAAAAGGAGGACGTAGAGAGAGGGAGGATGAGAGAGCCAGTAAGACAGAGAGATATTGATTTTTGTATAAATTAGAAAAACAATCTTTCATGATCATATGTAATGTCAAACACGATGCCTGACAACAAGCAAGCTTTTTAACTCTCTCTCCTACCATCTCTCCATCCCTCTCTCTCTTTCATACATGCCTCAACATAAACTTTAATGTAGTCATTGGAAAAATAAAACAAAATTCCTCCAACAGGAAATAATAAATAACCTCAGACATTCAGAGAGCTGAATTTGATACACAGATTTTCTCATTTCACACACACACACACACACACACACACACACACACACACACACACACACACACACACACACACACACACACACACACACACACACACACACACACACACACACAGATGAGTATTTATCAGAAGGACAAATCACATTACTCTGGTCTGGGTATTGTGTCTGGAAGCAGAATAATCTGCAACTGTCCGCTCTGAACTCTCCTCAAGAAGAAAATTATCACACTGAAAAGAAGGTGAGTGCAAACAATCAACTTTGGTAAATTGGTATCCCTAATTTTTGGTACTTGAAGTATTACTGGCAGCCATCACAACAAAAACGTCACAAGTGAAGTCCTCCTGATAAACTGTATTTTGTACATTAAAGCCTATAACTGGATCACAAACAATCTTGACATGAATACTCTGCAGTAGAAGGCTCTGTATTTACACAAGTACACTCTTGTGTTAATATCCCAGTGTAATGAACAATGATAAAATCAACCCCAGAGACTGTTACTCTCAAACTGAACAGAATGATTCGGATCGCAGCACTAATTGCTGAATTCTACTTCTCCCTCTCCGGTGTCATGATGGCATGTCTGTATTCAACCGGCGCTCAGAATTCTACTGTGTTAGCCTGAGTGTGTTTATGTGTATGTGTCTTTACAAGATTGAGACTGCAGGTGCTTTGTTGAAAACCGTTTCATCTCCGAGGCTCCCTGTGGAGTTTTTGACCTCTAGTGGTGCTGTGGAGCTGTTTCTCTCTGCAACTGTTCAAACAAAGCCAGTGAGGGACAAAAAAAAAACAGCAAGCTGGTTAACATGACTGTAAACATCGTGAGATTTGAAAATATTTTAAGTTTGCTTGTGGGTCATGGTGAAAATAGTACTTTCTTTAAACCTCAAGGACACATGCAATGAATTTTGGTGAGTAGTCCTAAAAGTAAATTTGACTATTGATTGTTGAAATAAAAACGTCAGCATGAGGTATTTTCGCACCAAACAGTTCTGAAGCTGTTTAAGTGTAAATGATCACTTAAAGGTGGGGTAGGCAGGATCCTGTTAAAGAAGCATCTTTTTTTTTGTGGTGTGTATACAAAAAAGCTTTTAATATCAGTCAATAGCTATTAGTTATTGATGACATTTAGGAATATAACAATATCGCTGTGTTTTGTAATGCTTGTGTCGTCAACATTTACAGTTTTTGACTGTAAACAAAGCCTTTCTCCGCCTCCCCTAACCTGATTGGTTGTGAGACAGATGCTGCTCCCTCGTGTTGTGAAGCAAGCACGCTCCACGTCCTCCAGTAACGTGTGCTATAATATCAGACAGTAGAAACCAACTAGAAAGCACGGAAAACAAAAGCAACAAAATGAAGTAAATACCCGAGACTCTGGCAGAATAACAGGCGCTTAAAATGGAGGTAGACCGGACAAGAGCTAAAAAGGCGGGTTAATGATTAATGATTAAATGATGGGGGACGCTTCAAGATCTTACGAACCCTACGTAACCTTTCTGCTGGACAGGTAAACCGCTTTAACAAAGTAAGCGTCTGTAACAGAAGTGTTTCTTGTCAAACGGGACCTGCTGCACATTGTAGCACCGCTAAACTGTTGACCTCGGTTCCTGGACTATGTCACTTTATCCTAGTTGTAGAAGTCCTGCAAACGTTGTGTTTGCTGGTAGTCTGTTGACATCTACAGTAGCACCAATGCTTTTTACTTTCATGTTGACTGGGCCCCAGTTATAAGTATCTGAAGTATTTATCTGCATTATATCTGAATTTAATTAAAACAACACAAGCGAGCAGGAGCGTCTGTTTGTGGGCGGAGCTTGTTAGAGCAGAGCGGGAGGGGAGAGGAGGAGCTGAGGGGAAAACTGGTTGGGAGGGGTGGTGTTTGCATTTAAGATTTCTCCCCAAAAACTGGCACTTCCTCAGATCCTGCCTACCCCACCTTTAAGATTTTCCTATGAACTACACACCATGGGGACTTTTTTCTCTCTGTCGGTATGAATGTAAAAATAACAATAGTCGCCCAACAGTTGTTACAGCAGCTTCATTTGCATGTCAAAACTAAAAAAAAATATATATATATGAGAATGGAGCCACTCTCTCTTTACAGGGTCTTCAACAGCAGACTAGCCTCTATATAAAAGCCCAGCTGATAAATCCTTAAGCCTGCATATAATGAGGGTAGCGTCCAGTGTACTGAACCACTTGTTAGTTTTTCTGTCAGATTCATTTTTACTGTTATTTTTCCAACACTGACAGTGGGATATAAAAGAGCGGTTAGTGATAATGTCGTATTTTGGGGCCAATCAAAGTAGACAGTAGGCTGTTTGGACTGACTGAAAAGAACTGGGGACACACAGTCCTCACAATGACTGGTTCATGTGGCCTTGGATCCTTGGATGGAGTCAAACTCCCATTCTGAGTTATTATCCCACTCTGTCCCTGATCAACACTTGTTTTGCAACCCCACAGGGACAAGACCATGTGAAGTTGCTTATCTCAGCTTCCAAAGAAACTGCTGTGACTCATGATAAAACTCAAACTTTTTAAATTCATGACTGGATAAAATTAAACTGGAAAAAACACTCGATCACAATGTGTGACTTTTGAGGTGCTGGTAGAAAATGTGCAAGGACAGGATTACTTGAATAAGGTATCAGGTATATTCATGAACATTTTAAAGTTAGACATTCAGTTGTCAAGTTTTTGGCTTCAGATATTCATGAAGACAAGCTTTTAGCGGGGAACTTAAAGACACAAACCTTTCTACCAGAGCTTTTTTCTCTCCAGTATGTGGTTTTAGAAAACCTGTGAGAGAGGAAAAATCATTATATCCTATGTGAGATTTTAATAAAAGTTGGCGGCAGCATGTATTTCACTTTTCATGACACCGTCTTTTTAAGGAGGAAGGCAGTGTTGCTGTTACGCAACTGCTGTGTTCTGAGATGCCAGCCTCTTCTTTTTTGACTACACCCTCGGCAAAAAAAGTATGCGCATATATATATATATATATAAAAATAAGGATCAAGTGATAAGGAGAGTGACTGAAAAAACTGACGACAGCTGAATTTAGTCAGTTTTCTCAAAGAAAACTGGCAAATACAATATTTCATTGTGTAAAATGGTTCTTCTTGATCTGCTGACCAGACAAAACAACCACTAGCCCTCTCTATAAGCCCATCCCCTGAACACCAGTTACCCAATGTTTGCTTATTAACGCAGTGACAGGGTCAGAGAGGAGTGAAGTCGGTTAAAATGGACACAAGAAGCTGTGCTGCTGCAGACTGGATTGGACAGGAGTGTCTTTGCCATTACTGTAAGATTGTGTGGAGAGCTGGTTTAATTGAAAATACTTCTCATCAATGGACCCCTCAACTATCGGTGAATTTGCTGAGCTCAACTAACAAAATGCTAGCCAGCAGGATTGTGAAAACAGGTGGTGCTACACAGAGTTTTTACACTGGTGTTATCAGTTGACCTCTTATTGCTTGTCTGTCATCTTTGTGTGTCTCTGTGTGTCTTTTTTAAGGCTTCATGTTTTATAGTTTAGCCTGGCTGCATAGCAAATTTCCCATAGGGGACAATAAAGTGAATGATGCATAGAAGCGGCATGTTGCTGAAAGCAAAGGGAATCTGCAAGAGTAAATAAGCGTCTTTCCCTTTAGGTGGCTCCTAAAAAAAGGCAGCATCTTTTAAAGTGGTGTGATTTAAACTCCAAATGTTACAGTAGTTATTTGTAGCTCAAAAGAGAGGATGTGACATTATAACCGACCGCTCTGTTGGCGAATGTGAACATCCATGATTAGTAAAAGAAAGGAGGAACAGCATTAGAAAACGGCTCCATAACTGATAATGTCTGGTTTAAATCAACACAAGAACTTATTCTGTTGTGAAATGTACCAACTTAAGAGATATTTTTAGTTGTATTGCCAACTTAAATGTGTGATTTAGTTTGAGGCATGAGGTGTGGTGTTAATCCCAAGGCTCCATTAGCAAGATCGATTATTTTCAAGGTTTGGTTTTAAATTTAATCATCAGCTGTTTAAGAGGAATTTTGACATCCTCTTTTTAATGGGAGCAGGGGACGCCTTGTCCATACCCGTAAACAGTTAATGGTCCACCTCTGTACCTGCAATGACAACCTGCCATCACGACCTTAAAAAAAGAGTATGTTTTGAATTTGATGCGAATCGGCAGGTCACAAACTGCACATTGTGCCACGTGAAGACAGTAAAACAAACCGACAAAACTGCACGTCACATGATTGTGTGTCTTTGAGGACACGATTCATGCATAACAGAAAAACCACTTGGATAAATTACTCCTTATAAACTATTTTCACCCTCGCGATATTCTTGTGTACATCTTGCCTCGAGTTTTTTTCTTTTTCCCAAATTTCCTATGCATGCATCCCTATCCCCTTCAAGCCTGTCACCACCACAGGCAGACAAGCATCCTGTGGGGAGGACTGAGTGTCTGCACTCACACACATACACACACTTACTGCACAGAAAAATGAAGTGAAGGAGACTTTGACATTTGGCTAGTGAAAGGGCTCCAGTCGTCTTTGAAAAATATGTAACCTGACCATTTAACATTCAAGAAGGAATATTAAACTGACCTCTGCAAATGTGCAAAGTAGGAGATGTCAAGAAGCGATCACAATATGGCAAATATTTACCCATATGACTTGTGGCTATACCATGTAGGGATGTTTCTCATATTGTGATACATTTAGTGGCTGCAACCAGTCCATTATGTTGAAATTCACAGGTTTCTCACCAGGTATATTGTCTCTGAGGATTCCTCCTGGGACCATATGGGGCCAAAATTGTTCTATATTTTCACAAGTGAATGTATACACTCGTCACAGCAATAGGGAGACAGAAATAGGCAACTGAACGCTTCACTATAGCTGACAGAGAATGCCAGAGGGTGACATTTACTGTAACAATATGTGGTCCCTATAGTCGTGGCTACATCTCTGTGCACCCAGATTTTGGAGCTGAAATATAGTGTCAGAGACTCCTCCATAATTTGGGTGACAGAGCTGCTGCATGTGCAGTGGGCCTAATAACATACAGCAGACACATAAGTATGACTTGATGCATGTTACATGTATATTTTAGAATATATTCATTGTTAGATTTAGAGTACTATTTCAAGGTTAAGTGTTATCTCTAAAACATGGATGAACTACTGAATATTAATACCTTATAGCTAGCAATGCACATCCTTGAAAGATTAATATTATATTGGTTTCACTTTTTCAATTGAAATAAAAAAACACATTCAAACCCATTTTAAGAGTAAAAAATGGGGTAAAATGTAAAACACACAATTGTGAGCAGTTGGAGTCTTGTCATTCATACTGTACAAGTACTTAAATCTACTTTAAATGTCACTTGTACTCATGCCAAGCCCAACCACACTTAAAAAACCCCCAAAAAGTAGAATTTTTTAAATGCAAAATATATCAGTGTGTATCATAAGACCAATTAAGAGTAAAGTAAAATTAGTAAAAAGTAACTAAAACATGAAAATGTTGACTTATTCTATAGTTAATGCAGCTAGACGAGCTCCGAGCCCTTGAACTAACATCTTTGTGTTTAACCAGCAAACTAATGATGTCTGACAATGCCTGTTGAGGTCTTTGTTATTCACACTGTTTGTCACATTCAGAGCCGATATTATCATTTTATATATCATAACATGACTCATGTTTATCAGTGTCGTATTTTGACAGGGTTGCAGTGTGAGGTTGAGCTGGCAACAATCCATGTCTTGTCAACCAGGGATGTTGTTTTTTTTGTCAACTACTTTGTTAAAAAGTGACAGAAAATGTTAAATACACTGAAATTTACAAAGGCATCTCTTTGTTTAACCAGCAAACTAATAATGTCTGACAATGCCTGTTGAGGTCTTTGTTATTCACACTGTTTGTTACATTCAAAGCTAATATTATCATTTTATATATCACATAACTGTAAAACATGACTCATGTTTATTAGGGTTTTAAGACGGGTTGCAGTGTAAGGCTGAGCTGGCAACAATCCATGTCTTGTCAACCAGGGATGTTTTTTTTTGTCAACTATTTTGTTAAAAAGTGACTAAAATGTCAAATAAATTGAAATTGAGACATGCATCTCCTGGTTTAGCAAGCAAGCTGACAACTTTAAGATGTAAATACATGCTTTTGACTGCAAACAGACAGACGGATATGTCATGATTCAGCTCACAGATTGACAGAGGTGGAGAAGCAAAACACATTTAGTGTAAACACATTAGTCACCAAGCCTTGGAGGAATTCTATAAATCTACTGAAACTATCATCATGAAGAGGTTGTAGTGGGCTGTTCTATATAAAAGTAAATTGATATGTTTGCTCATTAATCGTTGAGTTTTGCTTTTATAAATAGGTTAGATTTCTTTCATGTTCATAGTAGACTGAAGTAAAAGAGGGTAAAAAAAAAGAGCTTTAAGACTATAACGCCAAGTTAGCTCGTGTTTTGCGTGTGCGCGTGCAAGCGTGTGACGCGTGGAGACTTTAAAGTAGTCAAATTTGGTGCATCCACCCAAGAGGTCCTTGTCATTTCATGCAATGGTGTTTCTTTCAAAACAGGGTCTCCAAAGTCAGCTGTTGTGATGCATGCACGTGCCTGGATACACACCTTGGTTTGTGGTCCCCGGGTCCGACAGGCTACTTTCGAGCAAGAACAAAAGCACACAGTATATCCCAGAGGAGCGCATCGTTGAGTCAGACACCAAGTGCGCCCCGAACTAAAACGCAGCACAGACTCTAAAACAGATCCTCACGATGAACAGGTAAGGAGGTTTCATGAAAAGAGGCTGCTGTCCCAGCATCCAGACTCAGAAGGTCATTCTCAGTTTGTTTTTATTCTTGAATTATACGGTCTTTCAGCTGAGCATCCCGGATCCCTCCAAGTGGAAGCAGACAGAGAGACAAAATAAACAAGCTGCCATTGCGCACAAAAACGGGGACTTCTTTGAACATAAATTTACAGGAGGAGGAGTAATAGTCCTTAAAGCTTTGAAACGCGGGCTGTTCGACGTCTACACATCCAAAAAGTGTCCAAAGACGAACTTTGGCGATTTGAGACCGGGTGGAAAGTCAGTCTGATTCTTTTTGTTGTTTTTATTCCAAGAACGAGGACGAAGCAGGTAGAGAAGAGGAAAACCCCGGACTTCCCGCCTCACTTTCAGCCTGTGCATCCCTGTGACACTCTGTATCACTGCGTGCATCTCTCTCTTTCCCTCTCGCTCTCTCTCTCTCTCTTCCTCTCTCTCCTCAGGAAAGGAGGGATGCTCTGGCGCATTCAGAGGATCCCATTTTCATACCTCTACCAGGGATTTTACAGCCAAGTCCGTGCGTGCAGGTCTAACTTGCTCTTTTGTTATATTTGAGCTCATTTCGTACTTTACATCTTGTAGAGCGCGCTGCTCATCAGACGCTATTGATTCCAGAGGGATGAGGCAGGGGAGATGGAAGGAAATATGAGGCCATTATTAAACTCGTGTAACACTCCCGTGCTGTGATGTGGGTTCTACCTGCATTGGATTATGTTGTAGGAATAGTAATGTGTCTGGGGCAGATTCTATTTATGGTGTCAGGGGAGGAAAGCAGGCAGACAAATAGGGTTTAAATTGATATGGGGCATGCTGGGAAGAAGGTGTCCATACATAAGTACATTCATTTAAATGTTCTTGTGAGTTACTTTAATGCATTTTTTGTTCCAGAAAGACTTTGCGACTGATGCAACAATTCAACATTTCATCACCATAGTTTGGAGTTTAATTCTTCTTTTCCATTACATAGAGAAACATATTGATTTCCATCATTCACCTTGGCTTCAAATGATCCTGTCTGCCTGAGCTGATGGCCCGTTTGCTTTAATCTGGAACACAACAGAGGAGAGGACTATTACAGGGAGTCCAGTGGGAGCCTCAGTCAACGAGCAAGCATCATGGCCCCCTGGGCTCCTGCTGTTAAACTCTAAAGGTGCTGATTGAACTGATGGTCCACATCAGTCACTCATTGTCTGCTTGAGTGACAGCTGCACAATTACCTGAAGCATAGCCAGTTGTGATGTCATTTTTGACAAGAAGTGCTAACTGGAATTGGTCACTAAGTATCTATATATAGAGATGGTACTGCTTATAATATAGAATAGTATAGAAACGGCTTGCTTCTCTATGCAAACCATAGACTGTATATACTATGGACAACTTGGTTCCGCTTTCCGCCAGTATACGGATTTGAAGCCAAAAAATTCCTCTACTTCCTGAAACCAATATTGCGCAGTAGCATTGTAAGCATTCGGTGGAAGAGTCAGTGTGATGACGCTCGGCTCAAACAGCGTATCCCCCATAGACATTATATACGTACACGCCTCATTACATGCTGGAGCGTAATCCAGCGTCGCCGCCATATTGGATGGATCTCTCCACTCCCCACTTTGCACTCTATGGTTGAAAAACCTGACGCAGTATTTAAACCAGACTAAGTAGGATTATATATTACAAATGGGATCGAAAACTAATTTGATTTATTTTTAATGTATGACATTGTCCTGTATTATGGCTACATCCCTGCTGTTGTAAAAAAAACAAACAGTGTGAAAATTGGGCAGAGATTCAGAGAGTTATTATTAATATGGTTGGGCATTCCTACCTACCTTAGTACACTGGAGGCACATGGGGGATCCATCCAAGATGGTGGCCGCGCTGATATGTGAGCTCCAATAGGCAGCGTCAGGTTTTGAGGCGTCTATGTATATTTTGTCTATGGTATCCCCTGGGTGAGCTTCGAAATCTTCGTACGTCCATAAGCTGTATAAAGTGTCAATCATAGAAAACATGAATCCCCTCGTAACTTATAAAAATGGAGCTGCACAGAAAAAAAAGAGGACTTGAACACAAACCAGTCTTACTGTAACTACATGTCAACATCACAAGCAGGGGGGAAAAAAGGTATATTCTGTGTAATAAATTTCTAAAGTTTGTCCACAGCCCCATAGGGATTGCTTGCGGAGGCAGGATTTATGATCTATACTGCAGCCAGTCACCAGAGGGTGCTGTTCTCAGAGTGGCTTCACCTAGCATGGAGGCAGACTCTGTCCATTCAATATACAGTCTATGATGCAAACACAGTTAGTCACTTAGATATATGCTCAAACCTGACTCTTTTTCAGTTTTAAGTTTTGGTGGCTAATCTTATGTTTGTAAAAAAATATGTCCCTCCACCTCCTTCACTCAGAATCTAAAAGACTGAACAGATGTGTTTAAAAGGACTGCATTAAGTACTGATTTCAGTTGAGGTTCCTCAAAAGGTAAAGACTAGTCCTCGGCTTAACTTTAAACTCAATGTAACTCAATCAGCAGCTACAGTAGGCTAGAGCGTTTCAGCACCATGGACAGCGACAGCAGACCATATGCTGCTGCTTCGCCTCAGCTGTGTTTTGGTGTGCTCTCAAATTAATCTAAATCATGTGTGAAAGTTTCAGTTAGACGGCTTTTGTCCAAATTCTCCAATAGATTGCTTTCTTTTATATTAACAGATACTTCTTTTCAGCTTACTAAGTCTTTGTTTGTATTGTATCATGTTAGGTTAGGATACTCTCAATCATGATCCGTTTCTACTGTATGTCATGTAACCTTCAATCTGAAGAACCTTACAGTGACTCACAAATTTATCAAAAGATTTATGAGAATGAGAGGAAGGAGTTTACCTACTGTTAACCGTTGGAAAGGTCATGGCTGATAACATGCTGCGAGGTAGGTTAGGATACTGCGACAGTGCCTCTTTATGGGAATGAACTAGATAAGAAATCCTCCTGAGGAAGCAGCCTTGACCAGAGGGAAGACCACTTTAAGGAGGTTAAAGAAGGAAGGAAACGATTTTTAAATTGGCCAGTAGTACTTTTAAACTATAAAAAAATGTGTTAACAGTGTCTAGTATGAAAAAATATAACCAGAAATGAGCCCTTTTCAGTTTAATTGAGTGTTTTACTCAGTTGTTTCCTCATTTGCGACTCCACTGACATGATATTGAAAAACTTTGTATGTGTTCATTGGTTCTCACTGTGAATTTGAAGTCATTTACTTCCTGCCGAGTAAAAGGAGCACAGCTGTTCATTATACTGTGTTTCTATGATTCTGTTTCACTACTCAGGCCTAATAATGACATGTTCATTTGGTTATAAATATCTTTTGCTTTAAAGGCATGATAAGTCAACAAAGTTGTGCTGTTTTTGTAAAACTTGGTGTGAATAATTAGGATTTCTTGGGTGAGAAGTTACTTGTTGAGTGCTGCTTTTAAATTCTCTTCTTGTCAAGAAGGTCCATGGCAGAGGACTTGTTATTTCTTTTTTGGAAGTATTCAGATTCAACTTATCATGGTGATCATGATTTAAGCAACCATCTGCTCTACTCCTGGCAAAACTTTCAGCCAAAAGTTCCCACCAGAAATGAACAGGAACTATCAATGAAAATCCGACATAAAGTCTAAAACGTGTGGGCCAATTACTGGTAGCCAAACCAAAAGATAGGTTGAGTTAGCAATTACAATGTGGCGACCACTGCCAAAAATCTTTGTAACTCAGCTTCAGAAACAAATGGGTGGCATCCCTGACATTACTTCTATGGCATCACTTTATTGACAATGTATTTCCATTACCATGATACACGTCTGACTCATTTGAAGAATTTCTGCTATTTGTATCTCCATTTTTGTTACTCTTTTAACATATTTTAAAAGATATATAAATATCTTTTTAATTTTAGAAGCTTTCTGAAAACAAAAACAAACAAAAAAACGCTAACACTTTAATTGACGCCTATCTCTATAACGTATTGTAACTATATGTATAATGCGTTATAATCACGTTATAGCACTGTATAATATAGTTATGAATGATCATAATGCCTTATAGCAATAATTATAACACATTATAAAGCATTTTATCATGATTTACAAGGTCAGGTATTATAATGTGTTATAACTGTTAACAACTCACTGACAATGCCCACATAGATAATGCAATGCAACTGCTGTTAACAGTTATAACACATTATAATACCTGACCTTCTAAGTCATGATACAACGTTTTATAATATGTTATGATTATTGCTATAAAGCATTATGATCATTCATGAGTGTTTATAACTATAGTCATACAGTACTATAAAGTGATTATAACGCATTATAAATATATTTATAATGCATTATAAATATCTTTATACTTTGTTATAGAGATAGGCGTCAAGTAAAGTGTTACCTGAAATCCGTACTATTTTGAGCTAAAAAGACAACAGAAATTTTAAATTCTGCTCAGTAGACTTTGGGAAATGCTGTTTCCAAATGAGTCAAAGTAAATGTAAAAAACACAAACATGTATCCTTTTGCTTGATATTGTAGTTAATTTTTTGTAGTAAAGGTTTGTAGTGAATAATGCATCATCAGAAGTAGAAATCATTTTGAAAGCCTCTGTAATCAAACGAAAAGGCCTTCTGTTTGGATTCCTGCTGAGAGAGGTTGAAGGGAGAAGGTTAACAAGAGTGAAGCACAGCGGTTCACCTCCTGCTGAGGACTCACTACTGTTAATGAAGGATGGTGCTGCGTTTTGTGCCGCACAGTTTACATTTATTTCTACCGCTCTTCTAAGACACAAAAGTCAAGACAACTTCATTTTTCATTAGACCATGACATAATCAGGGGTGTATTTTGGAATAGGGGTTTACAGTGTTAAATGGTCAAAAGCAAGTTAATTATAGCGAACAACAGACTAAACAAAACAGCGGGAGACATGAATATTCTTACTCAACGTCTTTGCTACTGATCTTGTCATTCCAGGGATAATCCAATACAAACAGAAATGTGTCAGACCATCAAAAACAGCTCAACTCTGTATCTTTGGCTATATACCCTGGGAACCATGGGTGTCTGCATAAAGTGTTTAAAAATATATTTTATTTTGGACCAAAGAAGCTGACCGAAAGTCACCAACTGTGAAAAAGTGAACCAGGCACAATGAATCAAACACCAGATCTAACAAAAAGGTTTTAAAGATAGTGTTTAGGTGTAATTCACGTTAAGCCTGCTATATAGGCTTTTAATCATAAGTAATCATAACACATTGGAACTGTTGTACCAACGGCAATCATAGTCACCCTCTGCAACAATTGCTTTTTTTTTATTTTTTAAAACTCGGTAACACTTTACTTGACGCCTATCTCTATAATGCATTAAAAATATATGGTTATATAAGGTTATTGTTGTGGTTGATATAGCCTTCATTGTCTCTTAAATGAACATAAATGACCCAAACCGACACTAAAACTCAGGATACTGAAATACAAATACATCCCTCCGTGATTCAAACTTAATGTGTTGCGCTCCAGTTTTACCCCCAAAAATCTAAATTTAACTCCCTCACAGTAAAAAAGTACCATAAAGAAGAGAAAGTGTCAAAGGGTTATGGTATTTTAGAGTGGCAAAGTGAGCAGAGGAGGAGTATAAAAAGAGCAGCTCTACCAGTGAGACGTCTTTCATGATGGCAGGACAGAATGACCTGTGGAAGAATGAACCCTCATTAAGTCCTGGATGGGGATTATCACTCTCGAGCTTCAGACTGACTGGGACCGTAAAGAGCTTTAGAGCATCATTTCCTGCAATCCATTTACTCTTACACGTCTTCTCTGCTGTCGAACACAGCACATTGTGCTGCCTGATTATTCCTGATTCTGTCTGCCTGTCAGTCGACATCTTTATTTGTCCTCCACATTCCCCCCTCTGCTGCTCCTTAGCCTTTCTCTCTGTCCTGTCACACTCTTCAACCTCTCTCCGCGTTTCATTCTCTCTGCCTCTCCTCAGCCCTCAACACCTTCCTCTCCCCTTTTCTTCCCTTTCTCTTCTTCTGCACAAACAAGCCGTTCCTTCTCCCTCAGATCTTTCTGCCGTAGCGCCCAGCCACCTTGCCATGCACTTTTTCCCTCCGACCATCTTATTCTGTTATGTGTGACCTCTCTCTCTCTCTCTTCTCTCTCTCTATCCTTTTTTCCCTCTCACTCACTCTCTCTCTCTTCTCCTCCCATCCCTCCTTCTCTGAATATTTCATGATTTGGTGGCACAGTGCTGAGGTGAGGAGCCTTCCTCTGTCTAGAGCTTGCACTGCACAAATATTTACTCCCTGAGCTGAGCTTAGTCAAGTGTTAGGACAGACTAACAGTGTGTGTGAGGGCGGCTGAGTGTGTGTGTTGTATAAGTCACAGTGATTACATGTGACACTGGCCCCAGAGGGAAGAAGAGGTCTTTGGTCTCTTCCGACATTGATGTTGGTGCTCCACTGCACCCTCTGAAGTATAGATAGATAGACAGATAGATAGATAGATAGATAGATAGATAGATAGATAGATAGATAGATAGATAGATAGATAGATAGATAGATAGATAGATAGATAGATAGATAGATAGATAGATAGATAGATAGATAGATAGATAGAGGGCAACAGCGGAAAATGCATGTGAGGAAGAAAGGGAAGTAAGAGAGGGAGGGAGAGGGAATCTCACGCTGCCTGTGCATTGACGAATGTCTGTTCTGTTTTGGCTGGCGAGAATGGAGCTCAATTGCAGGTCTGGAGGAACATCAAAACACAATTAGGAGCTGACATGGAACTGGTCATGCAGAAGAGTGAGGACAGGGTAAGGAGAGGAAGGAGAGCAAGAGGAAAGAGGAAAGAGGAGGAGGAGGGGGGAGTAGAGTCAAGACAAGACAGTGAGATATTTGGGTAACTGAAAGAGAAACAGAGTCGCATAATTGAATTCTATCGGTGATGATTTGAGGAAAAGTGGGAGGGGATATGATGGAGAAGAGGGAAAGAACATCATTTAGCTGGCGTGAATGTGTGCGTAAATGGGAGGAAAAATGTCAAATTATGTTTGGAGCTGGCTGGCCCTGCTCATTACCTGTTTAATTATTTCTTGTGTACAGGAATTATTGTGCTTTTGGGGAGGTTAATTTAATTTTCATCCAAGTGATTTTAAAATTTACTTTTTGTGAACATGTTTGATGTCAGTGTGTGCAGACAAGGCCATTAATTCTTGACAGATTATTAAGGGTGGCTGCGGGTTCAGTTGGAGGAAAATTAGCTGCAGGGCGAGTTTCACTCCCTGAGTCAGAACCTGAGAATAAATCGAGGGGCTTTTAAATGGATCATATTCAGGATCCTTTGAGATAAGCCTCTGAAACGGGCGATCCACTCTTGATTAAATCTATCAGGGTTATAATAGTTTTGAAATTTTCATTAGTTTTAATCTTTTATTGCGTTTTGGGTTTTTCCTTTTCAATTTGAGTTTAGTTCTGATTAGTTTTTAGGGCTGGGTTTTGAGTTTTAGTTGAGTTTTTATCATTTCTAGAGTTGGTTTTAGGCTTCTTGTTATAAGGGACCAAGAACAGAGCTACTTAAATCCACTTTTACTTATCGAGTCATTACAGGATGGAACTCAGTACTTAATTATATAATAAAATTCAAGCACAAAATTGGTTTTCAAGAAAAACTTAAAGCAACACTTGATGAGATTAAGCCTGAACTAATCCACAGAGGCACTAAACTCATGTATATGATCCTGTCTTATTTCAAATTGATTCCTTCTGTTATTTCCAGGTAACACCCTTTTTCCAATTTTATTTAATTGTTTTGTAGATGAGGGGTTGTATAATCATGGATGAATGTTTATGTAATGTTTTATTTTCTGTGTCGGACCCCAGGAAGACTAGCGTTGTCTTGACAAAAGCTAATGGGGATCCTAATAAACAATAAACCCCCAAAACACAGAACACTGTCTAAAAATTAACTTTAAACACGATCTGATTTGGTTATTTCCTTTTTTAGAGACAAGACTGGTGTTAAAATTAGCTGGACTCATAAACTTCATACCACCCCAGCAGTGTCAGAGCTGAGGTTGGGCCACCTCAGTTTAAAATGTCTGGCACGCCCCTGGTTATGTGTTCATACCTCAGTGAAACGACAGTGAAAGACTGGGGCTCAACTCGCATGTAACAGTTAGACATCATAAGGGTTTATGTCCATGTCGAGCACCACCCTCTCCAAGTAAATTAATGTGGGTGTGCAAAGACAAAAACTCAACACAAGCGAATAATACGTCAATATGTCAAGATCATCAAAAAGAGAGGATTTTCATTGTGTCTAGAAAATATAAACTTCCCCACAATCTACAGTAAAATATGGACAGGGTGATATTTGAAGAGGTTCTAATGTGCGTTGACCAAAATATTAAAAGTTGTCAGATGAACACCAAGTTGTCTCTGTTAGTATTTCAGTGTTTCAGAGAAGGACCTTATGCAAGTTCATTAAGAGTAGCTTGTATAGTGATAAAGAGAAAGGGTATCAACTACTGCTTGTTAAAATGTCTGGCTTAAGTTTCACTCTGGCACTGCTCCAGGTTGTGTGTTTCTGTGTGTCAAAGAAGAAAACAAAGGGCAAAAATAACTAAGAAAATTGTTTTTTGGTATTTTTTTAAGCACAGACTTTAAGTAAGTAAATATATTTTTGCCAAGCCTCATTTTAGTTTTCATGACTTTGTAAGTTTTTGTTGACAGTAATAACCATAATAACATTAATTATTGTTTTCTGCTCTTGATGAAACTTGTCTGTCTCAAAATGCAATTGAGGCTGTCTCATTTATATTTTAAGTGTTTTAACTTTGTAACAGAATCTATCTCTATCCACACCAACACGTCTAAAAATCATAGACTGTATAAAACATGGATGTGAATTCTGTGAGGTCCTTCACTGGTTTCTGGGAAGATGGTTTAAAGACAGACCAACGTCAAGCACCATGTTGGTAATGCTGACTCGACCCTCAATGTAAAGAGGTGAAGCTTATAGACTCTTGGCCTCCCAGCAAACTTATTTATCTGTCCATCATCTTTCCTTAACCATGCAAGTTTATGAATAATGAAAGCCCCTTCCTTATGCTCATAAAATCTCCCCTCAAAAGTAGACATAAGTAGATGAACCGTTTTTTGAACGAGGCTGTAAACATGATTATTTCTGCTGTAAAATTAGGTATTTTATCATTAGCCAATTGGGGATTCTTTGCCCTTTGAGGACAGTTTCAACTATTTGCACTTTTGTTGTTTTTCAGAGGGCTGCTGCTTACCAAAAATGCATTTTTCACAAATACACTGGGCACGTTCATGAATGTGAGTTCAAACAAGCTTTTGGTTTTTTCATCAAGAGTAGTGGAGCTCCATGTCAAGCTAACGATACAAATTTCTGAAGTCAATGTTCATGTATTAAGAATTCTAAAACTCAGAGATTACCAGCACATAACTAACTCAAGTTGTCAAGAAGCTCTGGTTCTTGTAACCAGTTGCTAATGTAGAGTTATCTGTGGCATGTGGTGCCTGATGTCCTTGATTCTTTTTCTTTTTTTCCTCAGTGGATTTCAACCTTGAAATTTGGTTGAAAACAGGGTGAAAGTCAAGTCTGAACAGCCAAGACCTTTGAAACCAGCAGCTGATTTATGCTGCAGTGTTGTGGGATCACAGTGGGAGACAGCGACGAGTCACAGAATACAGAATAATTGTAGTGGGCTTAAATACAGGCTGTGCACACATCTGTGTTTTCTGTAGTGACAGTGATGCACTGCCCATCTATGCAACCAGTTTAGCTCCTATATGTTCAAGATGTGACCTGAAAAGCACTTTTAGCATGCGTTTAAATAAATCAGTCCTGTGACAGGTTCATTTCTGGTATTTGGTCTTAACATTGACATTTTATCAATGTCCTTGAATAGTTAGTGAAATGGGGTTTTGCAAATCAAGAAAAACAAGTTGTGACTGATGAGTCTCACTTTTCTGCATACAAGGCCTGAATGTTGCAAAAATCATTAGCACTAAACAAATGTAAGAAACAGTCTGTCAGTCTTGTTGTTTGCTGAGGATAAGATATTTTTCCAGGCTTTTATTTAAGCAAGAGCAAAATCTTGGCGATAATTAGCTTAGCTTAGCATAATGATGTTATTCTCTTCCAAAGTTTGAAAAAATATCTCGAGAGTTGAGTCATTAACACATCAGTTCTTGGTTGCATAAGACAAACAGAGAGTGAAACAAAATCTAAGAACCCCGTCTTTGCCCAAGTCTGTGCCTTACAGAGAATTATCCAACAACCTGTGCCACAGCTGTTACAAAATGCCATCCTGTTTCTTCAAGTAAATGACTCCTTCAAAACTATCTCATAGGAAATAAGGGTTTGTGTTTACATTTGGGGTCTCCCTAACCCATCAAAAATCCTTTACTGTGCTTTACACGCCTTCAAACTTTTGCTTGATTCCACTCAAAGTTAACATCACCTCTTCATTTCTTCAGTTTAAACATATTTCAATAAATTTAAGAACTTGAGCTTTACTGTGGAGGGACAAAATAAAGTTATAACCGCTTCTGACAGTTACTATTTCCATTAGCAATTAGTCCTTGGAGAATGAATTATAATTGATGCGCTTGAAGAATCTGGATTTGAACTTTCAAGTAGCTGTTAAGAGTTATCTACCTAAAGGCTCGGCAGCTTTAAAGCTGTGAAGTCAGCAGAAGGAACCTTAACTTTAACACTACAGTCCAGTGGACTAAGCCTACCTCTGCTGTGACAACTTCATTGCTATTAAATGGAACAGTGAGCATTGAACAAGCTAAGAGCTGAGAGAAAATGGGCCATGAGAAAATTAAGTCATATGCATGTTAAGTTTTGTATTAATTCTGGGCCCATTTTGCCCTTTTGGAAACATGTAGTGTTTGATTGATAAACTTAAATTCCCCTCAGGGAAGAGTTTTATTTGAGGCGAAAGCGTAAAGGTTATAATTAACATTTGTTGATGTTTTTCTGCCTCAAAGAAACAAAAAAACTTAAATACTAGAGCCAAGCTACACTGAAAAGATAAGCTACATCATGATGTGCAAAACAAGTAACCGAGTCACAATCATTATTGTGGTCCCATTGCTGATGAAGGCCATGATATGAAATATAAGCAGAATTCACAAAGTCTGTGTGTGGAAATCTAGAAATGATATCTACAGCAGATTACTGTTGAATACTTCAACTTAATGAGAGAAAAGAATTGTGAAATTTAAAGTTTTTGCTAAATTTAAAGTTCAACTTGCTTTATTAGGTTCACAGTGTCTGTTTCCTTCATGTCTGTGTGTACTTTACTTGAACCTCAGCCAATTAGGAGCAATGTAAGGTTAAAACTTTACAGCACTTACAGGATCTGGTAACTGTTGAGTCTCTCCAAGGTGTCATGGGCTTAACCAGTTCAGGTGGGTTCGTTCGGCTACTCCGTCTATCCCATCTCTTTCCACCTTTATGAGGGACATAAGGGGCCATGTGAAAGGTTATGTTACTTGGAAATGAAGCATAATTATAAGGAAAAGGGTATTACCAGTGGGTACTTCTCCTCACCATTAGAGCACAAGTACCTTGTGTAGCTTCCTAAAGAATGTCTGTTTTTTTTGTTTTGTTTTGTTTTTTGTAAATACCATATTTTTACAACTCGTCATAAAACCCATTTTTATTCATTGGCTTTCAACTCTGCATGAGACTTGGCTCCTGTTTCAGTGTTCTTTGGTTTGTTTTTAGTTATTTGTTTCTATGTTTTTAAATTAGTTTTTGAAAAACATTGAAACTATATTTTACTTTTTTAATATCTGCTTTTATTTTGTCTATTGTTTTAATTGTTTTTTATGTCTGCTTGGTTTGTCTATTTATGTACAGCACTTTGTTCAGCTGTGGTTGTTTTAAAGTGCTTTACAAATAAAGTTGAGTTGAGTTTTTTTTTTAATCTCATATCTAACACCATGCTGTGTCTTATGTCCTATTTTTGGTCATTGTGTATTTCATAATTCACTTTATGATCTAAATGCTGTAAATATTTTGTTTTAATACTTCTTTAAAATACTTTGTCATGTGTGTAAATAGTACTTTATCAATGAACTTGCCATGCCAAGGCCTGGCTCAGGTTAAAACAGATGGTCTGGTAAATATGAGTGTAGAAAACTATGGCAACTGAGCTCACAGACCTTTCCCTCTTTCTCATTTCCCTACTTCACCAGGTGACATTTTATCCACTTGACAGTGTTGCAAAGACACTGATTTATACTCTTTCTTCCAGATTGTGGATGTGACTGATGTCCATAAGTCTGCATATATGCAGATGATTGTCCAATGCAAGAAGTGCATGTTTTGGTTGGATGAATAGGAAGCTATACCTGTAGCCATAGAGGGAAGCGATGAGTATTTTGTATTTCATTTTATCTTTTGAGTTTAGGATATGCATTTGCAAGCTGTATTTTATGTCAAATTGAAGATTATCTAAGCGTAACAATATTTAGTAGTACAACATCAGCAGATCACGATTGGTTTCGATTAACATCACTATTTGCTAGTACTTCAGTGCTGTTTGTGAGAGTACCAGTGTGTAATTGAGTAAAGTCAGTTTGTTTAAACAGAACATCTAAAACCCAAAGTGTTCTAAACTTAATCTGTTAATATTTCCTCCCTTAAAACAGAAGTTGTCAGTGACTGATTAAATTGAGGGGATTGTTGAAACACAACAAAACTTGCTCTGCAGGTTATCCTGATTTCATCGGTGGGGGAGAATTGATTTTTGTTGGAACACATCGCTTTTTTTTTAGAGATCTAACAATCCCCCATTTTTCCCTGTAATTGGAGCATCACTTGCAGATGTGTTGATATTGGAAAAATGTTTATAACTATAATTCCTGTATGCCCACCGTCAAGAAAAAAGGATACGTGAAGAAGTCGATCTCAACATCCTCAATACGAGAAGGTGACATATCAAGAGGATTCACGTAAACCTTGACCCCCACTGCACACACACACGCACACAAACACTTTTCTTCCCACTGAGCTGATTTCCTTTGTTCTAAAGCTTAGGAAGGCTTTCAGTCGATGTGTGAGCACATTTGAACACCTGTGAGCACCTGTTGTTACAGGATCGATCTTGGTGGCAGGAGGGGACGCCCAGCTTTGTGTTGTAGGAATTGGATTGAAGCTGTGTCAAAGAGGCCCAGTGGGATGTTGAGTCCTCTAA